CCGAGTGCCTGTGCTGTCAGACAGAAAAGGGCCTGCCCATGAGGAAAGTGGTTGGCCCAGATCTAAAGGCGAAGGTTCGCTTCTGGCCTGTGCAGGTCCACTACCGAGTGTCTTGCGCTGTGAGGGGGACAGAAGGTGGACGCCCAGCAGCACTGTCACAGAGCAGCTTCCCAAATGTCCGTCACAATCCATGCTCACAAATGGGACGTAATCTGAAGGTGAAGGGGCTTTTTTGTTTTGGTCCTGAAGCTTGGACTCAGGGCCTCACACTCACTTGGCTTCTCCACTCACGGCCGGTGCTCTGCCACTTGAGCCATTGAGCTCTGGCATTGACTGTGTGTGTGTGTGCACATGCACGTCAGTCCTGAGGCTCGAACTCAGGGCCTACGTGTTGTCCCTCATTCTTTTTCTCAAGGCTAGTGCTCTTCCACTTGCGTCACAGCACCCCATCGGCTTTTTCTGAATAGTTGTCAGTAAAAGTCTCGTGGACTTTCCAGCCCTGGCTAGCTTATTCCTCAGATCTCAGCCTCCTGAGTAGGTATGAGCCACCACTACCCCGCTAGTTCTGGCTTTTTGCTAGTTAGATGAAGATAAAAGTCCCAATTTGTGTGGGCTGGCTTTGAACCTTTATCCTCAGATCTTAGCCTCTTGAGTAGCTAGTAGCAACCAGCTAATCAGAGGGGTTCAATTACCTGTAATAAGTCCAGTAGTAAAGATGTATATAAACAAAAAGGACCAAACTGGTGGGGTAATGGTGGTTCACTTGTAATTCTAGATATTCACAGGCTGAGATCTGAGGATCAAGGTTCAAAGCCAGCCTGGGCAGGAAAGTCCATGAGATTTCTTTTTTTTTTTTTTTGGGTCCGGTCGTGGGGCCTGAACTCTGGGCTTGGGCGCTGTCCCTCAGCTCTTCAGCTCAAGGCTAGCGCTCTACCACTTGAGCCACAGCGCCACTTCCGGCTTTTTTCTTTTTGCTTATGTGGTGCTGAGGAATGGAACTCAGGGCCTCAGGCATGCAAGGCAAGCGCTCTACCACTGAGCCACCTTCCCAGCCCGGTCCATGAGATTTCTATCTCCAGTTAACCACCAGAAAACCAGAAGTGGTGCTCTGACTCAAAATGGTACAGTTGCTGGGCACCAGTGGCTCATGCCTATAATCCTAGCTACTCAGGAGGCTGGTATATGAGGATCGTGGTTCAAAGCCATCCCAGGCAGAAAAGTCCATGAGACTCACCAATAAAGTACTAGAAAACCGGAAGTGAGGCTGTGGCTCAAGTGGTAGAGCGTTACCTTGAGCTGAAGAGCACAGGGACATTGCCCAAACCGAGTTTAAACCCCATGACTGACAAAAAAAGGGGCGAGGGGGGGGGGGTGGAGAGGATTCGGGAACCAGTGGCTCCCGCCTGTAATCCTAAGTACTCAGGATGCTGAGATCTGAGGATCATGGTTCAAAGCCAGCCCAGGCAGGAAAATCGTTAAGACTCTAATCTCCAATTAACCACCAGAAAACTGGAAGTGGTGCTGTGGCTCAAGCAGTTGCCTTGAGCCAAATAGCTGAGGGATACCACCCAGGCCCAGAGTTCAAGCTCCACAACTGACCAAAAAATAAAATTGTAAAGGACAAACTATAAGGTCTCATTTATGTGAGATTCCAAAATAAAATGTGTCAGTGGTGCCAGGACAGTGACTCACTGGGGAGCTAGAGAGGTTTAGGGTCCGAGCTCTGCTTTGGCCACATCATCATTGATCTGGGTGCTGCTTTTCTGGCTCTTGAGTCATCTTTCCACTGTCACTTGTGCACCTTTGTATTTTACTTCAATAAGCTGCTTTGTGTGTGTGGGTACACATCTGCCAGTCCTGGAGCTTGAATTGAAGGCCTGGATGCTGTCCCTGGGCTTTTTTGCTCAAGTCCAAGGCTAAAACTCTACCACTTAAGCTACAGCTCCAGTTCTGGCTTTTTATTTATTTATTTATTTTATTTAGTTGGTAGTTTATTGGAAATGAGAGTTTCATAATACTTTTCTGACCAGGAAGGCTTCAGTCCATGATCCTTAGATCTCAGCCTCCTGAGTTGCTAGGGTTACAGATGTGAGCCACCAGTACCTGGTCAGTAAGCCACTTTTTTCTTTTTGTCTTTTTTTCTACATTGTCCAGGCTGGCCTTGAACTCAAGATCCTCCATCCTCAGCTTCCTTAGTAGTAGGATTGCAGTCATATGCCACCACACCTGATAAGATTTTTGTGTTTGCCCATCATGGGTCTTGAACTCTGGGCTTGGGCGCTGTCCCTCAGCTCTTCAGCTCAAGGCTAGCAGTCTACCATTTGAGCCACAGCACCACTTCAGGTTTTCTGTGGCTTATTAGAGATAAGAGTCTCATGGGGCTGAGAAGGTAGCTCAGTGGTAGAGCTTGCCTTGCATGCAGGAGGCCCTAGGTTCAATTCAGCACCACATAAACAGAAAAAGCCAGTAGTAGCACTTTGGCTCCAGTGGTAGAGCGCTAACCTTGAGCTGAAGAGCTGAGGGACAGCACCCAGGCCCAGAGTTCAAGCCCCACAACTGACAAAAGTTTCATGGCCTTTCCTGCCCTGGCTAGCTTTGAATCGTGACCCTCAGATCTCAGTCTACTGAATAGTTAGGATTACAGGCGTGAGCCACCCGTGCCCATTTTCTTTTTTAGTGAAAGCAAAAGGGGAAGATTTGTAAGTTGTGAAATGCAGCTATAAGGGATGGCTGGTATTCTTCAGTGGCTAGTGTAGGTGCTGTATGACCACCACTAGCCAGAGTATGTCGGGCAGCTGGGTGGATAAGAGAGAATGGATTTTTTTTGTTTTGTTTTTGGGTCCGGTTGTGGGGCCTGAACTCTGGGCCTGGGCGCTGTCCCTCAGCTCTTCAGCTCAAGGCTAGCACTCTACCACTTGAGCCACAGCGCCACTTCCGGCTTTTTTCTTTTTGCTTATGTGGTGCTGAGGAATCGAACCCAGGGCCTCAGGCATGCAAGGCAAGCGCTCTACCACTGAGCCACCTTCCCAGCCCCGAGAGAATGGATTTTAATACTAAAATCACAAACTCAGAACACTGTAACCACCTTCTAGCCTGGCTCTGGCTTGAACTCTACTGCTAAGTCTGTCTTACCTTTTTTTTTTTTTTTTTATGGTTTTGGGCTTGAACTCTGGGCTTGGGCGCTGTCACTTAGCTCTTCAGCTCAAAGCTAGTGCTCTACCACTTGAACCACAGTGTCAGTTCCAGTTTTCTTAGTGGTTTATTGGAGATGTGTCTCATGGACTGGGAAGGCGGCTCAGTGGTAGAGTGCTTGCCTTGCATGCATGAGACCCTAGGTTTGATTCCTCAGCACCACATATGCAGAAAAAGCTCACGGACTTTCCTGCTGGGGCTGGCTTTAAACCAGGTTCCTCAGATCTCAGCTACCAGTGCCCAGCTGCTAGTCTTTCATCTCTTCTCCACTCACTCTGTCCTCCATCTCCACGAAGAAGGCTGTCCTCACACTGATGCACCACCAGCGCTTCCTCGCTGCTGCCCCACCACCCGAGCAAGCACAGCACATGCTGCCCTTCCGGTGCCCACTGTGAATAGCCTGCCCACAAGGCACCACGTGGAGAGCTGGCCCACTGAGACTGGAGACAGAAGTCTGCCCTGATGTGGTTTCTGGCTCCAGGGGCTGTGTGTTCTCTGCAGGGGAAATGGAGCACCACAAGGAAGGGCAAGCGCTGCATCCCAAGGACCTCATGAGGTCTGGTGGATGGCTGGGCAGCTCCTAGGATGCAAAAGCCCATTCCCATCCCACAGCACTGCATCTAAGGGGGGGCGGTCCACCGCAGTGAGGTGGAGCCCTGAAGCGGCAGGGGTTCTATGGGTTCCATGAGCACCAAGAAGTAGAGTAGGGTGCTCATCACATCTGCCACGACTGTGCCCCACTTCTATGTCTTTTATTTATTGCCAGTCCTGGGGGCTTGAACTCAGGCCCGGGTGCCATCCCTGAGCTTTTTGCTCAAGGCTAGCACTCTACCACTTGAGCCACAGCACCACTTTTGGCCTTTTCTGTGCATGTGGCCCTGAGGAATGGAACCCAGAGCTGCATGCATGCTAGGTAAGCATTCTACCACTGAGCCACCTTCCCAGACCATGATTTTAATTATTTTTAACATCTTTCCTGGTCTAGGGGAATCTACCAGTCTCCTGATTTTTATTGCTGATGTACACGTACCAGCAGGGACTGGATGATGTCCCCTGGAATGGGGGTGGGGTAGGGCTGGGAGTGTCCAGTCACAGTGGTGGTGATGCCTCAGATCTAGCAGCATGAGGGGAGGAGGGGTGAAGGACGGCTTCCTGGGGAAGGAGGTGGGTCTGGAGGCGGCTTAGGAATTCAGTGGAGAGAGGCACAAGACAAGTCCTAGGGCAGCCTGGGTGCCTGGAGGGCGGGCCAGGAAGAGGTCCTGCCTGTCTTCAGGCTCTGGAAGAAGTCAGATGTTGTGCTGTGTCCAGGGGCGTAGAGCCATTTGAGGGCCACCAAGTGCTGCTCACAGCCCCCTCGTCCAGTAGACTAGTACTAGCGCTCACAGGTCCTGAGTGCCCGCCCGTCACGTGGCCACCCCCGGAGGGGGGAGCCCTATGTATAACTCTTAAAAGGCAAAGAAAAGCTCTATTCTTCCAGGATCTCAGTCCTTTCCTGGCCCAGTGACCAGAGGCAAATGACCAAGAGGCTGAGAAGAAGCAAGCAGCTTAGAAACATCCCAACCTGAGCCGCCGCCAGGAAGGAGCTGGAGAGGATAGTGCAGGTCAGGTTTGTTCGCACAGGCAGCAACGTCCACACTGCAGAACTCAAGGTCCTGACCTGGAAGTGTCTAGACTCTGCTGGGCCTCTGCTGGGCTGACCTGTCTGGCCAGAGAGAGGGTGAGTGTGAGTGCAAATCTGGGGGTTCCCAGACAGAGCACCTTCTGAGTCTTCCTGTTGACACCGTGAGGCAAGCACCTCCTGGAGCAAGATGCCGGCTGGAACTGGAACCGGCTTCGGCCCTTCCGACCCCCCGGTCAGGACTGTGCCCACACAGGGACTGAACTCCATCCCGACAGCCACTCCTTACCTGGCGCTGTCTGCCAACCAGACGGGACCCTGGTGCCTGCTGGTGCCCATCCCGGATGGCCTCTTTTTCAGCCTGGGGCTGGTGAGCTTGGTGGAGAACGTGCTGGTGGTGATTTCTATTGCCAAGAACCGAAACCTGCATTCACCTATGTACTTGTTCATCTGCTGCCTGGCTTTATCTGATCTGCTCGTGAGTGTAAGCATTGTGCTGGAGACCACTGTCATCTTGGGGCTAGAGGCAGGGGCCCTGGCCACCCGGGAGATGGTGGTACAGTGGCTGGACAATGTCGTTGACGTACTCATCTGTGGCTCCATGCTGTCAAGCCTCTGCTTCCTAGGAGCCATCGCGATAGACCGATACATCTCCATCTTCTATGCACTGCGCTATCATAGCATTGTGACACTGTCCCGGGCACGGTGGGTCATTGTGGCCATCTGGGGAGCCAGCATCTTTTCCAGCACTCTCTTCATGGCTTACTACAATCACATGGCTGTCCTGCTTTGTCTTGCTACCTTTTTTCTAGCCACACTGGCCCTCATGGCCATTCTGTACCTTCACATGCTCTCACGGGCATGCCACCATGCCCGGGCCATTGCTCAGCTCCACAAGAGACAGAAGCATCCTGTTCACCAGGGCTTCTGGCTCAAAGGTGCTGCCACCCTTGCTATTCTCCTGGGCATTTTCTTCTTATGCTGGGTCCCCTTCTTCCTGTACCTCACACTCATCACCCTCTGCCCCAGGCACCCTACCTGCAGCTGCTTCTTCAAGAACCTCAACCTCTTCCTTGCCCTCATCATCTTCAACTCCATTGTTGACCCCCTCATCTATGCCTTCCAGAGTCAGGAGCTCCGCATGACGATCAAGGAGGTGCTGCGGTGCACCTGGTGAGCGGGGAGGTGGTTTTGGTCCCATAGCCAGGTGCCAGGCAGAGGGAGAGAGTGATATCCAGTGTCCTGATGCCTATGGGAGCATAGGCAGGCAGTCCCCTCCTAGCCCTCACTTGCCCAGCAATGGACTAATGAACTGTGATGATTGCTCAAGACCAGGGAGAGGTGGTGTGCATCTCCAGGCAGGACACTCACTGGCAGCCGCAGCCGCAGTGAGGAGCTGCAGAGGAGCAGGTTGGGGAGAAGGGCTCGAGCACCAGGCACAGAGCTGGAAGAGAGCCTTTCCAGGACAGCTCCACCTTCACCCACTGACCAGGCCATACCTACTGCTACTTTTTTCTTTTTCTTTTTTACTAGTCATGGCTTGAATTTAGGTCCTGGTTGCTGACCATGAGCTGCTTCTGCTCAAGGCTGGCTCTTTAGCACTTGAGTCACAGCTCCACTGCCAGCTTTTTTGGTAGTTTATTGGAGATGAGTATCACAGATTTGGCTGGGAAGATGGCTTAGTGGTAGAGTGCTTGCCTCACATGCATGAAGCCCTGGGTTCCATTCCTCAGTACCACATAAACAGAAAAAGCCAGAGGTGGTGCTGTGGCTCAAGTGGTAGAGTGCTCGCCTTGAGCAAAAGCAGTTCAGGGACAGCACCCATGTCCTGAGATCAAGCCCTAGGACTGGTACATGCACGCACACATGCACACACACACACACACACACACACACACACACGCCTCACTGATAGATTCACCTGCTGGGCTGGCTTTTGAACTGTGATACTGTGATTCTCAGATCTCATTCTCCTGAGTAGTAGGATTACAGGTTGAAGCCCACTGGTACCCAGTCCTCTCTGCCTATTTTTTGCTGCTAGCTCTTGGGACCTGTACCCTGGGTGGCAGGGCAGGCAGTCCCTGGACTGGCAGAGTGAAGAGGGCTGTGGAGGAGCAAGACTTCTCCAGTGAGGGCTTTTGGAGCTCCAACCCTGTCCACAGAGCCACATGGGCTCCATGGGACTGGACTTGCAGGATGAGCGTCTTGAACAAGGAGACCACCAGATTTGGACAGAATGGATGAGAGGCTGACCCCTCTGGGAGCAAGTTCTGAGGCTCACGGAACCCTAACCAAAGGAGACTTTGATGTTTGCTACCCTTGCCCCAGGAAGTGGCTCTGCACCTGTCCCGGTCCTGGTAGAGGCCACTGGCCTGAGTCAGTGACCCGAACCTGACAGGGGGTCAAAGTAGTCTGGCAATAAATGCTGTGTGGCCTCATCCATCTGCCTGGCTGCTTCCAGAAGTAGTTTGAAGTTTGGGTGGAAGGTGAAAGGCAGTAATCAATGTCATGAGAGGAAAGAGTCCCAGAAGCGACTGCCATCTGCCTACATTGGAAGCCTTCCCCCGCAAAGGGACCTCATGCTCATGGGAAAAGTGTGGAGGCGCCAGCCGGGCCCACTAGGCTCCTGTCCCTTGGCCCGGGCAGCCCCACCCGTCCCCTCTGGGTGACACTGCAGTGACGGCTTCAGTGTGCCTCTTCCCTGGCCCCAAATGTGTACTAAACCCCAGCCCAAGAGCCACGCCTGGCCTTGGCCAGTGCGCCCCTTTCCTGCAGCCCTCCAGAGGAGGCTTGCAGGTGGGCCTCCATCTTCCCTTGCCAGCTGGGAAATGGATGAGGGGCTCTTTAACTCCGTTTCCCAGTGAAGTGGCAGGCTGGCTGGCCTGGGCAGGGCCCCTCCTGAGCGGCCTGGGTCTCTCTGACCCACCTCCTCCCTCACCTCGGAGGTGGTCTGGGAAGCGCATGCCCGCCCAGCCCACCTCAGCCTTCGGCTGCAGTCCTGGTGCTGACCTCAGGCCTGGAACTGGGGCCCAGCGGGGCCAGGTCCGCCAGGGGCCAGGCTGGAGTCCACGGTCGGCCGGGCACAGGAGCCTCTGGGGACAGAGGGGCGCGGGCGGCCCTAGCTGTCCCTGTGGGGGGTGGAAGGGGACGGAGGGGGTCGGAGGGGATGGGAGGGGGACGCAGGGGGTGGGAAGGGGACGGAGGGGGTGGGAGGGGGTCGGAGGGGATGGGAGGGGGACGCAGGGGGTGGGAAGGGGACGGAGGGGGTCGGAGGGGATGGGAGGGGGACGCAGGGGGTGGGAAGGGGACGGAGGGGGTGGGAGGGGGTCGGAGGGGATGGGAGGGGGACGCAGGGGGTGGGAAGGGGACGGAGGGGGTGGGAGGGGGTCGGAGGGGGACGCAGGGGGCGGGAGGGGGACGGAGGGGGCGGGAGGGGGATGGAGGAGGTGGGAGGGGGACGCGGGGGACGCGAGGGGACGCGGGGGTCGGGGGGACGCGGGGGGCGGGAGGGGACGCGGGGGGCGGGAGGGGGACGCGGGGGGCGGGAGGGGGACGCGGGGGACGGAAGGGGACGCGGGGGGCGGGAGGGGCACGCGGGGGGCGGGAGCGGGACGCGGGGGGCGGGAGGGGACGCGGGGGGCGGGAGGGGACGCGGGGGGGGCGGGAGGGGGACGCGGGGGGCGGGAGGGGCACGCGGGGGGCGGGAGGGGCACGCGGGGGGCGGGAGGGGACGCGGGGGGCGGGAGCGGGACGCGGGGGGCGGGAGGGGACGCGGGGGGCGGGAGGGGACGCGGGGGGCGGGAGGGGACGCGGGGGACGCGGGGGGCGGGAGGGGACGCGGGGGACGCGGGGGGCGGGAGGGGACGCGGGGGGCGGGAGGGGACGCGGGGGACGGGAGGGGACGCGGGGGGCGGGAGGGGACGCGGGGGGCACGCGGGGGGCGGGAGGGGACGCGGGGGGCGGGAGGGGACGCGGGGGGCGGGAGCGGGACGCGGGGGGCGGGAGGGGACGCGGGGGGCGGAGGGGACGCGGGGGGCACGCGGGGGGCGGGAGGGGACGCGGGGGACGGGAGGGGACGCGGGGGGCGGGAGGGGACGCGGGGGACGCGGGGGGCGGGAGGGGACGCGGGGGGCGGGAGGGGACGCGGGGGGCACGCGGGGGGCGGGAGGGGACGCGGGGGACGTGGGGGGCGGGAGGGGACGCGGGGGGCGGGAGGGGACGCGGGGGGCGGGAGGGGACGCGGGGGGCGGGAGCGGGACGCGGGGGACGCGGGGGGCGGGAGGGGGACGCGGGGGGCGGGGGGGCACGCGGGGGGCGGGAGGGGGACGCGGGGGGCGGGGGGGGGACGCGGGGGACGCGGGGGGCGGGAGGGGACGCGGGGGGCGGGGGGGCACGCGGGGGGCGGGAGGGGGACGCGGGGGGCGGGGGGGGACGCGGGGGGCGGGAGGGACGCGGGGGGCGGGAGGGGGGACGCGGGGGACGCGGGGGGCGGGGGGGGGACGCGGGGGGCGGGAGGGGCACGCGGGGGGCGGGAGGGGGACGCGGGGGGCGGAGGGGCACGCGGGGGGCGGGAGGGGGACGCGGGGGGCGGGAGGGACGCGGGGGGCGGGAGGGGGACGCGGGGCACGCGGGGGGCGGGGGGGACGCGGGGGGCGGGGGGGACGCGGGGGGTGGGAGGGGGACGCGGGGGGCGGGGGGGGACGCGGGGGGCGGGGGGGGACGCGGGGGACGCGGGGGGCGGGAGGGGACGCGGGGGACGCGGGGGGGCGGGGGGGAACGCGGGGGACGCGGGGGGCGGGAGGGGACGCGGGGGACGCGGGGGGCGGGAGGGGGACGCGGGGGGCGGGGGGGGGACGCGGGGGGCGGGGGGGGACGCGGGGGGCGGGAGGGGGACGCGGGGGGCGGGAGGGGGACGCGGGGGGCGGGGGGGGACGCGGGGGGCGGGAGGGGGACGCGGGGGGCGGGAGGGACGCGGGGGGCGGGAGGGGGACGCGGGGCACGCGGGGGGCGGGGGGGGCACGCGGGGGGCGGGGGGGGGGACGCGCGGGGGGGGGACGCGGGGGGCGGGAGGGGGACGCGGGGGGCGGGGGGGGGACGCGGGGGGGCGGGGGGGGGACGCGGGGGGCGGGGGGGGGACGCGGGGCACGCGGGGGGCGGGAGGGGACGCGGGGGGCGGGAGGGGCACGCGGGGGGCGGGAGGGGACGCGGGGGGCCGTGTCCAGGCAGCTCACTTCCCGCCCAGCCAGGAGGCAGAGCCCCTGTCGGCACGCGGACGGCTGGAGCCCAGCCGGGGAGAGCCGCGTCGCGGGCCGGAGGCCTCGGGCCTCCTGAGGGCGAAGACCCGGTTCTGAATTGTCTCCGAGGAGGGCGAGCGCGGGCCGCACGCGGGAGCTCTTCCTGGAGGGCTCGGACCGCGTCCCTGTCCTTGTCCGCTCCCGCTACGGCCGCCATGAAACCGGCCGCCATGACGGCCGCGTGCCCGCGACACCGACGGCCCGTCCCACGCCAGCGTTCCCAGCGTTCCCGGCTCCCGCCAGGGGTCTGAGGGTGCGGTGACCGCAGGGCCCACCAGCCCCCCACAGGACCCCGCAAGGACACCCGCCCCGCAAGGACCCCCGCCACCCCCCCCCGCAAGGACACCCCCCCCCCCCCCGCAAGAACCCCCCCCGCAAGGACCCCCGCCACCCCCCCCCGCAAGGACACCCCCCCCCGCAAGGACCCCGTCACGCCCCCCGCACAGTACCCCCGCCACCCCCCCGCAAGGACACCCCCCCCGCAAGGACACCCCCCCACAGGACCCCTCCCCCCTCCCCCCTCTCGCACAGGACCCCGCCACCCCCCCCGCAAGGATCCCCCCACAAGGACACCCCCCCCGCAAGGACCCCGCCACCCCCCCGCAAGGACCCCCGCAAGGACACCCCCCCACAGGACCCCCGCCACTCCCTCCCCCCCCACAGGACCCCGCCACCCTCCCCCCCTCCCGCACAGGACCCTCCCCCCCGCACAGGACCCCGCCCCCCTACAGGACCCCGCCCAACTCCCCCCTACAGGACCCCGCCACCCTCCCCCCCCACCGCACAGGACCCCCCCCCTTACAGGACCCCGCCACCGCCCCCAACCCCCGGGGCAGGACCCTCCACCGCTCACACCGCCGGCACTGCGCACCCCTCCCCGGCCAGCCGCCTCCTCCGCGCGTTCCCGGGCCCGGCCCCAGGCAGGGAATCCGCTCAGGCCGGAGGGCGGGGGCCGGGGCGCGCAGACCCCCGCACAAAGCCAGGGTGGGGCCTTGGCTGGGGCGGCGCCCGCAGGCGGGGGGGGGGGGGCGCCATTGTCCTCGGAGCCGCCGCGCCCGGCCGGCCCCGCCCTTCCAGTCGCGGGCGCCGCATTGTGCGGGCGCGGCCGGTGCGGTGCTGATGCTGCAGAGCCCGCCGCGCTGCCGCATGCCGGGCGCGGCCCGGGATTGGCCCGCCCGCGCCACCGGGCGGGGCCACCGCTATAAGAGCGCGCGCCTGCGGCCCGCGGCCCTCCGCAGCCCGCCCGGCATCGCTCCGTCCGCACCGCCCGCCCGCCGCAGCCAGCATGAGGGAGATCGTGCACATCCAGGCCGGCCAGTGCGGCAACCAGATCGGGGCCAAGGTGAGGCCGCCCCCGGCGTCCCGCCGCCCCGCGCCCCGCCACCCCGAGCCGCCCTGGGCGCGGTGGAAGCGCAGTGCCCGCGCCCGCGCCCCTCGCCGCGCCCTCCGCTCCAAGCCGAAACAAAGGGTCGAGCTCCGTCCTGCGCCCGCCCGGGACCGGGCAGGAAAGGCAGGGCGCCGCGCTGCACCCCACGCGCCTTGCCTCGCGCCCCGGCCTTCCCTCCGCGCGGCCCACGCCCCGGGCCTCCCCTCCGCCCTCCCCCGCCCCGCGCCCGGCGGAGCCCCCGCGGTGGTGGCTTAGCCTAGAATGAGGCGCGTGGGCCGCCGGGGCCGGGAGCGCACCCGAGGGGCAGAGGTGCCCGCCGCGCCTGGGCCTCGGCCCCCGCGCCCCGCCCGTTCCTTTGTTGGAGTGTTGGGCCTGGCCCAGGGTGACCTTGGTCCAGATCTCGACTCTCCTGGCCGGAGAGTCGCATCTTCCCACGGGGCCCGGCCGCGCCCACCGCGCCCGGCCCGCAGAGACCGAGGGTGGGCCGCGCCCTCCGCGTCCCTGCTCGGCCCTCCCCGCTTTGCCAGCCCCTGACTGGCGCTGGCCCGAGGCCGAGGAGGCCCCGATGCCGAGATTCGGGGCCCGGGAGTCGGCCGCCCTGGTCTGCCCCGGGGAGTCCGCCCCTGGCCCAAGGTCACCCGGGCCACTCGCTCGGCGCGGTGCGGCCCGGGCGGCGGGGACCCAGCGCGGTCAGGACCCTGGCCAGCGGGCGCGGAGGGCGGGGCCGGGAGGCGTGCTTCGAAGCGGTCACCACGGAGACCGCGGAAACAAAGCCTGACGACCGAGGGCGGGGCGGCCCCCCGGCCGGCGCGGGAATTGCGAGTGTGGCTCGGGCGGGGCCCAGGCGCCTCCGCGCTGGGAGGAGGGCCTGGCCTGCCCTAGACGCCTGCTCGGGCTCGGGTCCCGGCGAGGCCGAGCGACCTCCCCTGCGGCCGGACTGGACTGCGCCCTCCCCGAGCCCGTCGGGCCCAGCCCGGGCCTTGTGGGCTGCGGAACGGCGGCAACTCTGTGCTGCCGAAAAATGGCATCTCTGATTTATTGTTAGCCCTGAAGCGTGTCTGTGGTCTGGGGCGGGGTGGCCCCGCGCGGGTCCCAGGCTGTCCGGTCTGGAAGTCCCCTGAGACGGGCGCGAGGCCCGGCCTGGCGTCTGGGGTCTTCTCGCTTCTCTTGCTTCCGACGACTGGAAACGTCTCGGCCGCGTTTGCCTCCACCGTGTGACTGACTGTCGCGTCCCCGGTGGCGTTCTCCCTGCCAGTCGCCAGCGCAGCCATTGTGTGAGCTAGGCTGGGGCTCGCCCGCTGAGGTCCCAGGTGGTGCCTGGGGTAGCACAATGGGCAGCCCATTGTGGGGGGCCCACTGGGGGGGCCGCGGCCGGGAGGGCGCGGCGGAGGCTGGGGAGGGCGGGGTGCGGGGGAGGGCGCGGGTCGCGCGGAGGGCGGGGCGCAGGGAGGGCGCGGCGCGGGGAGGCCGGGGCGGAGGCTGGGGAGGGCGCGGGGAGGGCGGGGCGGAAGGCGCAGGGCGCGGGGGAGGGCGGGGCGCGGCGGAGGTTAGGGAAGGCGGAGGTTGGGGAGGGCGCGGCGCGGGGGAGGGCGCAGGGCGGGGCGGAGCCGGGGAGGGCGTGGCGGAGAGCGCAGGGCGCGGCCGAGGCTGGGGAGGGCGGGGCCCGGGGAGGGCGGGGCCCGGGGAGGGCGGGGCCCGGGGAGGGCGGGGCCCGGGGAGGGCGGGGCCCGGGGAGGGCGGGGCCCGGGGAGGGCGGGGCCCGGGGAGGGCGGGGCCCGGGGAGGGCGGGGCCCGGGGAGGGCGGGGCCCGGGGAGGGCGGGGCCCGGGGAGGGCGGGGCGGAGGCTGGGGGGCGCGGCGCAGGGCGCGGCCGAGGCTGGGGAGGGCGCGGCGCGGGGAGGAGGGCCCGGGGCCCTGCGGAGCAGCAGAGTTCAGGAGCGAGCGCGCGAGGGTCTTTGTGCTCGATCGTAGAAGCCCCGCGCCAGAGGCTCGATCCCTTCCTCTCAAAGGCCCCAAACTAGGAGTCCCTAGCTCGGTCACAGGCAGTGCAGATGTGATGTGCCAGGGCGGCTGGCGGTGCTCTTGCTGGAGACGGACAGCCCAGCTCACCCTCCTCCCCGGGCGGGGGAGGGGAGGGTCCTGCTGGAAAGCGGCTTTGCGGAGGCTTTGTCTGCGCTGCGCTGAGCGGGCCGCCGCGGGCCCCACCCAGGGCGGCGGGGCGGGGCGGGGCGGGGCGGGGCGGGCCGGGCCTGCCCGACCTGAGAGCCAATGAGAGAATGCGTTCCCCTCTTGCCTCCAACCCCCAGCAGGTGGGGGCGGAGGGCGCTCGCGCGCGCGCGTGCCCGCGCTCGCGGTGTGCTGGCGGACGGGGACTGGGAAGGGTCAGCACCATGGACGGAGTCACGGCCTCCTAGGCGTTTTCTGCAGGGATGCTATTTGATCGTCAGAATTGCATTGCTTATTGAACATGCTATGGAATAACACCTGGCTCGACATTTTGTGATGTTATTGTACTTCCATTAGTTCTTATTACAAAAACAATTGTTAATTAGGGCGCCAGTGGCTCACGCCTGTCAACCCTAGCCACTCAGAAAACTAAGATCTGATGGCTGTAGTTCAAATCCAGCCCAGGCAAGAAAATCTGTGAGAGTCTTTTGCTGTTGTTGTTTGGGTCATGGGGCTTGAATTCTGGGCCTGGTGGTTACTTGGAGATAAGAGTCTCACGGACTTTCCTGCCCGGGCTGGTTTTGAACCGCAGTCCTCAGATCTCAGCCTCCCGAGTAGCTAGGATGACAGGCATGAGCCACTGGCCCCTGGCTCATCCTTCCTTCCTTCCTTTCTTCTTTCCTTTTTTTTTTTGTCAGTCATGGGGCTTGAACTCTGGGCCTGGACGCTGTCCCTCAGCTCTTCAGCTCAAGGCTAGCTCTCTACCTTTTTTTTTTTTTTTTTAATCATCAGTCATGGGGTCTGAACTCAGCCTGGGCCTGGCCCTGCCCCTCAGCTTATCAGCTCAAGGCTAGTGCTTTATACCATTTGAGCCACAGCACCACATCTGGCTTTTTCTGCTTATGTGGTGCTGAGGAATTGAACCCAGGGCCTCATGCATGCAAGGCAAGCACTCTACCACTGAGCCACCTTCCCAGTCCTCTTTCTAGCTTTTTGAAGATAAGAATGTCTTGGATTTGTCTACTTGTAGTTTTAAATTTCTATCCTGCATCTCAATATTCTGAGTGACTAGGCACACACCAAAAATCCTAGCAACTCAGGAGGCTGAGATCTGAGTATCACAGTTCAAAGCCAGCCAGGATAGGAAAGTCCATGAGACTCATCTGCACCAAAAAGCTAGAAGTAGAGCCATGGCTCAAGTGGTAAGACACTTGCCTTGAGGAAAAAAGCTTAAGAGACAGCACCTGGGCCCCGAGGTCAAGGCCCAGTGTCAGTACAAACCAAACAAAAACAAACAAACAACCAAAAACAATTTAATACGAATGAAGCTTTTGTCTACTGAATGTTTTGTCAGTACAAACTACACAAAAACAAAGAAACAACCAACCAAAAACAATTTAATACAAATGAAGCTTTTGTCTACTGAATGTTTTGTTTCCTTTGGGCCAGTTATATATGTGTAATGCTGTCAGGTTTGCTCTACAGGTTAGAGTAGTCCTGGGAGGCTGTTCACACCCTATAAAGAACTCAGTGGACTCCAGGAAATTGCAGTTATACATGCATATCCTTGGGTGTCCACCCATACTTCTGCAGGGCTGGTGATTATTGTGTCTCTGAAACCAGATGTTTGAGGGACCTAGGGTTGGGTAGGTTGTGCCCTTGACCCAGGTGCAAGCAAGCAGCAAGACCAGGTCCCATATGCATTTTGTTTTCACTCCCAATTCAACTAACACACTCTTACAGGGGAAAAAAATAATACAATGAAATAAAACCAAAATAAAAGAGAAAGAAATTCAACCCCGCCCTTTCTGAAAGGTGCCCTGAGGGTAGTCCCTGAGGGTAAGCTGCCAGCCCAGTGTGTTACATTATTCTGTTTAAAGTTTTTAAGCCTTAAAAGTTATTTTTAACTTTTCTTTAAAGCTAACATGCACATGATGAAATTCCAACAGTACCAAAGGGTACAGTGAAAGGAAGTCTCTCTCCTAGCCTGGGATATAACCTCAGGCATGGCTTTCTGTGTTTCTGTCAGAGTTATCCAAATATAGATGAGCACATGCACACTGTTTTATAACCTACTTTTTGCCAACACATGACTCTGATGTAGAGGCCCTTTGTTCTTTGAGGCCTTGATGCCATTGGCTCATCTGGAAGTCATTCCTGCCCCAAGGAGTAAAGAGAATTCCAACTGCCTCAGGAGCCATGTAGCTTGTGACCAGGAGTGTCTCCTGTCTGCCCGCAGGCCCTGTGTCTCTACAAGGAGGGTAGAGGGGGGCAGAATGACTGTACAGGTCTTCTGTTCACTGTGTGTGTGCATCTAGGCTCACAGTCCTGCTTATTGCTGCCCTGCTGCCCTTGTACTTTGTGTAGATTAGCTTGCTATATTCTCACATGGGCCTATTACCAGGCTTATTGTTGAAACAGGACCCTTGTTGACCTGAGGTCACATAGCTAAGAGAAGGTGGGGTGGGCCCCAGACTGAGTCCAGGCCTTGCCTTGTGCTGTCCTGCTCTGCTGAAACTGTGGATGCAGAGTTTGAGAAGCACGATGTGTTCTCACCTGAGAGGAGACAAGAAGTGAGAAAGTGAGGCCATGCAGACTGGCCAGTCATCTGCCACTCAGGATCCCCTGTAGGCCTGAGGGGGTGTAGGAGCTTGTCTCCCAGACACACACAGGCCACACTGCCTATGGTCAACGATGTACCTGATGTTGCTGGACTTGTCACTGGAGTTGTGTGCTGACACTGAAGGCCACACATAGTGGCCAAGAACAGGTTGCTGGGTTTCAGGCTTGTATTCCTTTCTACCTCCTGCTCCAGGCGATTCTCTGTACCTTCTCTGTGAGGTATTTGTACCTTGTCCACATGGCTGTATCTAGGAACCTGATCTCTGTTGGCTGAGCCCTGGTCTTCCTGGGGTAATGTCAGCCTGGACGTGCAGATACAGTGGCTTGCATGGTTGCTCTTTTCTAAAGTCAGCTGGGCTGGTGAGGTCCCAGGCTCTAATTTGGTACTAAGGCTATATCACAGCCCCTTACCGACTCCTTCTCCCCCTCATTACAGTTTTGGGAGGTCATCAGTGATGAGCATGGCATAGATCCCAGCGGCAACTATGTGGGTGACTCAGACCTGCAGCTGGAACGCATCAGTGTCTACTACAACGAGGCCTCCTGTGAGTGCTTGCCCCAGTTCCATTCCCACCCTGGGGAGGAGGCTCCTGAGGGGGTGGAGTCCTAGCATCTCTGACCTCTGGTTAACCAGAAGACCAGCAGGCATGACTGGGATCCGCACTCCAGACTCACTAAAGATAGCCACCCTAGTGTGAGATAACTGTACTTGGTGGCCATGCAAGTTTCACTTTCCATGGCACATGGGGCAAGGCGATGAGTGGCTGTTCTCTGGGGGCTGTGGGCAGATACAGAGCTGGGGTCCCTTGGATGGCTCGATTAGAGGTTACTGGGAAACTGGTACAGAATGATTTCTTTATAACAGATTGGTGCTGTATTATCCTGCCCATGTAGCCAAGTGACTGGAACTCACCTAAGCCTATGAGTTGAGTCTAGGTTGGGGTGTAAGATGATGGGAGGTACTGACTCTGACCTACATCCTTGGGTCCTCTCTCTCAGCTCATAAATATGTGCCTCGGGCTATCCTGGTGGACCTGGAGCCTGGAACTATGGATAGCGTACGGTCAGGGGCCTTTGGACATCTTTTCAGGCCTGACAACTTCATCTTTGGTGAGTTTCCCTTGCTCCAGACTCCAGTGGTAGAGAAACTTGGGCAGGGCAGGCCACATCAGTAGATCGGGACAAGTGTCAGGAAAGGGGAGAAGCCAGCTCCTCACTGGGACCTTGTAGGGTAAAATAGACCTTTCTGTTTTGTAGTTGGGGATTAGAGCCCCAGAGAAAAGATTTTGTGTAGGAAACACACCACTCATTTTAAGCATAACAGGTACAGAACAATAAGTTTGTGGAATCATTATAGAGATATTGGGGCAGAAGTAGGGGCCATCAGAGGACATAAGTCTGTGGCAAAAAAAAGTTAGAGCGGCCGGGCACTGGTGGCTCATGCCTGTAATTCTAGCTACTCAGGAGACTGAGATCTGAGGATTGTGATTCAAAGTCAACCCAGGCAGGAAAGTCTATGAGACTCTTTTTTTTTTTTTTGCCAGTCGTGGGGCCTGAACTCTGCGCCTGGGGGCTGTCCCTCAGCTCTTCAGCTCAAGGCTAGTGCTCTACCACCTATGAGACTCTTATCTCCAGTTAACCACCAGAAAACTGGAAGTAGCACTATGACCCAAGTGGTAGAGCACTTGCCTTGAGCTGAAGTGCTGAGGGACAGTGCCCAGGCCCAGAGTTCAAGCCCCATGACCAACAACAACAACAAAAATTTAGCACATCCTTGTGCCTGTGTCTTGGTGGCAGCCACTGCTGCTTACACAGATACAGGAAGATACCTCACCTCGCCTCTGCCTCAGGGACTCCACACACCTAGCTCTAGTGGATACTGTTTCAACTGGTCCCCAGCTACACAGAACTCTGGGGTTGCAGTTTATACTTCCAGCATGCCCAAGGAAGAAAAGTGTTTTGGAGGGGAAGGGCTAACCAGAATGCTCTTGGGAGGCAGTATGGCTATGGCTGATCCCAGGTTTTCAGTTCCCATTCCAAAGTCCTTAACATGCAGCTAGGACCTCAGCAGGCTGCAAGAGCTCAGGGCCAGCAGGGACATAGGAAGTTGTTCATCAGCTGTATACTTTACAGAGGGACCAGCTTCCATAGCTGTCCCCTGAAGTGCTCAGGGAGGCCCTTGTCTTGACTATAGACCATCAGATCCCTTCCTGTCACTTCTTCCTCCTCCTCTCCCCAACAGGTCAGAGTGGGGCTGGCAACAACTGGGCCAAGGGTCACTACACAGAGGGTGCGGAGCTGGTGGACTCAGTCCTAGATGTTGTGCGGAAGGAGTGTGAGAATTGCGACTGCCTGCAAGGCTTCCAGCTGACCCACTCCCTAGGTGGGGGCACAGGCTCGGGCATGGGCACCCTGCTTATCAGCAAGGTGCGGGAGGAGTATCCTGACCGCATCATGAACACCTTCAGTGTGGTGCCCTCACCCAAAGTCTCAGACACCGTGGTGGAGCCCTACAACGCCACACTGTCCATCCACCAGCTGGTGGAGAACACGGATGAGACCTACTGCATTGACAACGAGGCCCTGTACGACATCTGCTTCCGCACCCTGAAGCTGGCCACACCCACGTATGGGGACCTCAACCACCTGGTGTCGGCCACCATGAGTGGGGTCACCACCTCCCTCCGCTTTCCTGGCCAGCTCAATGCAGACCTGCGCAAGCTGGCTGTGAACATGGTGCCCTTCCCCCGCCTGCACTTCTTCATGCCCGGCTTTGCCCCACTCACAGCCCGGGGCAGCCAGCAGTACCGTGCCCTGACAGTGCCTGAGCTCACCCAGCAGATGTTTGATGCCAAGAACATGATGGCTGCCTGTGACCCCCGCCATGGCCGCTACCTGACAGTGGCCACTGTCTTCCGTGGGCGCATGTCTATGAAAGAAGTAGATGAGCAGATGCTGGCTATCCAGAGCAAGAACAGCAGCTACTTTGTGGAGTGGATCCCTAACAATGTCAAGGTAGCTGTGTGTGACATCCCTCCTCGAGGCCTCAAGATGTCTTCCACCTTCATCGGCAACAGCACGGCCATCCAGGAGCTGTTCAAGCGCATCTCTGAGCAGTTCACCGCCATGTTCCGGCGCAAGGCCTTCCTGCACTGGTACACCGGTGAGGGCATGGACGAGATGGAGTTCACGGAGGCCGAGAGCAACATGAATGACCTGGTGTCTGAGTACCAGCAGTACCAGGACGCCACAGCCGAGGAGGAGGGCGAGATGTATGAAGATGATGATGAGGAGTCTGAGGCCCAGGGCCCCAAGTGAACCACCTGCGGGTGGAGTCACATGTCAGCCAGGGCCAAGACAAGCAGGTCTGTCCCTCAGAGCCACTTAGCTGCTGACACTGCCCCCCAGCTTTGCTTCTACCAGCTTGCTATGGTGTCACAGGGCCTCCCGAGTTACGTCCTTCAGTATTTATGGCCATCCCCACCCAGTTTGAGTCCATTGGCTCTGTCCTCCCCACATACCCACCTCCTTTTTTGTGTTGCCCCTTGTCTCTTGGTTTTATTGTGGCTCCGAGCCTGATGTTTTATAGTTTGTTTTGTTTTGTTTTTTTTACTGATGTATGTTTATATTTTGGGGGGGGGATACTTAATAAATCTATTGCTGTCAGATACCCCTTTCTGGTGCTGGAGATTTTATTTGGGAAAAGAGGGTTACCAAGCAGGTTCTGGAGTATGAGTACGGCAGGCAGGGTGGTGGGTAGGGGAAGCCCTCATCTCTAGAACTGGTGGCTTAGGCAGATCTGTGTTGGATATCTGAAAGGCCTAGGGAGGATGGGAGGGAGTTATAGAAAGGAACAGCCAAGCTGGGCGCTGGTGATTCACACCTGTAATCCTAGCTACTCAGGAGACTGAGATCTGAGGATTGAGGTTCAAAGCCAGCCAGAGCAGGAAAGTCTGAGACTCTTGTCTCCAATAAACCACTAGAAAAACCGGAAGTGGCGCTGTGGCTCAAGCGGTAGAGCTAATATATATTGGTTCTGTACCACCCCCTTGTTTTTTTTTCTGCATCTGCAAGATACCCAGTGTCTGGTTGCACAGATACCTAGAGGAAAAAGCAGAATAAATGCCTGCTTTCATTTTCTCACCATGACAAAAGTCGAAATTCTAAGAAGTCCATCACTTACCTACAGTGAGTGATCACAGCTGAACAAGGTCCCAAACTTCTCCACTCAGCCTTTGTGTACCAAGACAATGTCAAGTCTTTTTTTTTTGTCAGTTGTAGGGCTTGAACTCAGGCCCCAGGTGCTGTCTCTGAGGTCTTACGCTCAGGGCTAGTGTTCTAGCACGCTGAGCCCGCAGTGCCACTTCTGGCACTTGGAGCCAAGGTCTAACAGGGACTTTGCTGCCTGGGCTGGCTTTGACTGTAATCCTCAGATCTCAGCCTCCCGAGTACCTAGGAATACAGGCGTGAGCCACCAGTGCCTGGCCAACATTGTCAAATCTTAATTTCCTACTCTCTGTCTGGCAGCACCCTGTGAGGAGTCCTTCACTGTAGACAGCATTTTCTTATGCCATCTCTCAATGTAGTTTTATGTGACAATAAGTCCAGGGCTGTGGGCACTCGTCTCAGACTAGGGAGCTGAACCTCTCAGAAGGGCCACATGCCTGATTCTGGCCCTTTAAAACAGGCTGTGCTCTGATATGCCACAAGGATGGGAACACAGATGGGCAAAGCTGTGTCAACTCAGTTGCTGAGACTTAATCACCAGAAGCAACAATGTATTCTAGATGTATTAACTAGATGAGTTTTTGACTTCTCATGGTGTTGCCTAGACCAAGGCTAGGTATAGAAGTGCACTCCTGGAATGCGTATTCAACATGGCTGACTAGAGCACAATCGCTGACCTCCGTGGGGATTGCTCCGCATGGCCACCTAGTCTTCCTGTCACACGGGTCTCAGGGTGGCTCAATGCCTTACATGGCAAGGGCACCATGCCATCTCAAGGCCAGGTCAGGAATGAGCCCAGTTACACTGTGCTGCCTGCAATCAATCAGACACAAGTGATGGATCTGTGCAAAGGTATGCACTCCAGGACATGTCCTCATTTGGCCTGCAAAAATATAATTGGGCACATCTCAAACTCCATATGTTAAATTAGGGCTTCTGGCTTCCTTTCCCAGTTCCCCCCTTCCCCTGTTCTCCCCTTCCCCTCCTCTTCCCCTCCTCTTCCCTTCCTTTTCCTTCCCCTCCCTTTCCTCTCCTCTCTTCGTCCCTTTCACTTCCTCTCCCCTCCCCTTCCTTTCATCTTTTTTGTCTTGCTTTCTCTTTTTCTTTCTGCCTTGCTTTCTCTTTTTCTTTTTGTCTTGCTTTCTCTTGTCTTGCTTTCTCTTTTCTTTGCTTGCTTTCTCTTTTTCTGTCTATCTGCCCTTCCTCCTTCCCTTCCTTCCTTCCCCCCCCCCCCCCAGCCTTTCTTCCTTCCTTTCTGTGCTGGTACTGGGGCTTGAACTCAGGGCCAGGGTACTTTCCCTTAGCCTTTTCAGCTTATTTAGTGCTCTGCCATTTGAGTCACACTTCTATGTCTGACTTTTTGGTGGTTAACTGGAGAAAAGAATCCCATGGACTTTTGTCCCTGGGCTGGTTTTGAGCCAAGGTCCTCAGATTTTAACCTCCCAAGTAACTAGAATTTCAGACACAAGACACTAGCACCTAGATAACTATGACTTTTAAGTGGCAAAGAAGAGATGCTTCTAAGGGACCTTCTACCATAAAGAAATTGATTGAAGCTGGGCACCGGTGGCTCATGCCTGTAATCCTAGCTACCCTGAGATGTGTGGATCATGGTTGAAAGGCAGCCTGGGCAGGAAACTCCATGAGACTGTTTTTTTTGTTGTTATTGTTTGTTTTGTTTTTGTTTTTGGGTCTGGTCGTGGGGCCTGAACTCTGGGCCTGGGCGCTGTCCCTTAGCTCTTCAGCTCAAGGCTAGCACTCTACCACTTGAGCCACAGCGCCACTTCCGGCTTTTTTCTTTTTGCTTATGTGGTGCTAAGGAATCGAACCCAGGGCCTCAGGCATGCAAGGCAAGCGCTCTACCACTGAGCCACCTTCCCAGCCCCAGCTCCGTGAGACTGTTATCTCCAATGAACCACTAGAAAACCAGAAGTGGTGCTGTGGCTCAAATGGTAGAGCGCTTGCCTTGAGCTGAAGAGCACAGGGAAAGTGCCCAGGCCCAGAGTTCAAGCCCCATGACTGACAAAAAAAGAAAACAAATTGAGCTGGGTGCTGGTGGCTTATGCCTGTAATCCTAGCTACTCAGGAGGCAGAGAAAGGATAATAGTTCAAAGCCAGCCTAGGCAGGGAAGTCCATGAGACTCATCTCCACAAACTACTCAGAAAAATTCAGAAGTAGTACTATGGTTCAAGTGGTAGAGTATTAGCCTTGAACACAGAGAGGTTCAGGGGCAGAGCTCAGGCCCAGAGTTCAAGCCCCAGGATGCCCCCCCCCCCAAAAAAAGATAAAAAAATGTTAGATTGACCACAATTCCTTGGTTGTGACAGAAAATCTAATCACAGCCAGCTAAATGAAAGTTTCTAATTAACTATCACCCCATAATGCAGAGTTCTTACACAGGAAAAATGCAGGCTGTCCAGGGCTGTCCGGGGCTTCCTGCAGCACCCCACCTTGTACACAGGTCCACCTCTTTGGCCCAGCTCAGCCTCTTCAGATTACTGCTCAGAGACACTTGCTCCAATTTGAAGCTGTCCACAAATGGAGGAAAAGAAATCTGGTTAATCATGGGTCAGTGATTCCTGATGGGTGAGAAGAAACCTCATCAAGAGTTCACAGGTTGAGGGGAGCAGCTTGTGCCAGCCAGGTGGGATATGCCCACTATTGGTGGCCTCACTGGCTCTGGCCCTGCTGTCCAGGGCCAGTGGGAGCGTGCAGGCAATGAGGAAGGAAAGGTGACTGAGGAGTGGTGGCCCCTGAAAGAGGAGTTGTTTGGTAAATAGGGATAAAAAGTGGCTGTCATAATATGTGTCCCATCATGACATTTCTAGCTCCCTTAGTGTCTCAGACCCCTGCTCATAATTCCTTGGGTGCCTACTCAACCTAAGGAAAGAGCCAAGGCGAATCACTGAACAGCCTGGGAGGTGCACAATACTGCCCTCCAGAGGACTTCATGGAATTCATTTCAGTCCCTCTTTTTTTTTTTTTTGTTGGTCATGGGGCCTGAACTCTGCCTGGGCGCTGTCCCTAAGCTCTTCAGCTCAAGGTTGGTGCTTGACCACTTGAGCCACAGCCCCACTTCTGGCTTTTTCTGCTTATATGGGGCTGAGGAATCGAACCCAGGGCCTCATGCATGCAAGGCAAGCACTCAACCACTGAGCCACCTTCCCAACCCGCCTCTTTGTTTTCAAAGATGCCCTCTACCACTTGGCACAGAGCTTCATGCATGCTAGACAAGCACTCTACTGCTAAACCACATTCCCAGCCCCTCCATTCTCTTTTAAATAGTGTTTACCTTAAACACTTTTTTGCCTTTTAATTCTTTGATAGGGGAAACTCATAAATGATAGACATTAGATGATAGATGAGAGCTGCATGTTTCTACAGTCACAGACTACTTCAAAGTTCCACAACTCCAGTTGCTTCTCCACCGAACAGCTCCACTACCTCCCTAGGCATCAGTTTCTCTTTAAGGTGGGTGAATCGGCACAGGGTTTGCAGGGTTCTTCTCTACAGGGTTCTTCAGGATCTTCTCCCTCCAACAGCTAGGTGGCTTTTTGTTGTTGTTGCCGGTCCTGGGGCCTGAACTCTGGGCCTGGGCGCTGTCCCTCAGCTCTTCAGCTCAAGGCGAGTGCTCTACCACTTGAGCCACAGCCCCACTTCTGGCTTTTTCTGCTTATGTGGTGCTGAGGAATCGAACCCAGGGCCTCATGCATGCAAGGCAAGCACTCTACCACCGAGCCACTTTCCCAGACCCTAATTAAAAAAAATAAAACCGGGCGCCAGCGGCTCACGCCTGTCATCCCACTACTCAGGAGGCTGAGATCCGAGGATCGCGGTTCCAAGCCAGCCGGGCTGGAAAGGCCGTGAGACTCTGACCTCCACTGAGCCACCAGAAAACCGGAAGTGGCGCCGTGCCTGGAGTGGCCGGGCGCTGGCCCGGAGCCGGAGGGCCGAGGGGCGGCGCCCAGGCCGGGAGCCGGAGCCGGAGGGCCGAGGGGCGGCGCCCAGGCCGGGAGCCGGAGCCGGAGGGCCGAGGGGCGGCGCCCAGGCCGGGAGCCGGAGCCGGAGGGCCGAGGGGCGGCTCCAGGCCGGGAGCCGGAGCCGGAGGGCCGAGGGGCGGCGCCCAGGCCGGGAGCCGGAGCCGGAGGGCCGAGGGGCGGCGCCCAGGCCGGGAGCCGGAGCCGGAGGGCCGAGGGGCGGCGCCCAGGCCGGGAGCCGGAGCCGGAGGGCCGAGGGGCGGCTCCAGGCCGGGAGCCGGAGCCGGAGGGCCGAGGGGCGGCGCCCAGGCCGGGAGCCGGAGCCGGAGGGCCGAGGGGCGGCGCCCAGGCCGGGAGCCGGAGCCGGAGGGCCGAGGGGCGGCGCCCAGGCCGGGAGCCGGAGCCGGAGGGCCGAGGGGCGGCGCCAGGGCGCCCAGGCCCCGAGCTCAAGCCCCACCAGGGTTTACGCGTGTTGGACTCGGGCTTGAACCCGGCCCCTCTCGGCCGTATTTCCTCAGGGCTGAGTTCGAGCCGGAGTCGCCCCTCCACTCCAAGCTATCCGCGGGGCGCGGTCGGCGGGCGCCTCGCAGTCTCGCCCGCCGCGCCGGGCTCCGCCGGGCTGACGCCCCCGCCACGCCCCCGCGGGCGGGGCGTCGGGGCGGGGGGCGGGAGTTCCGGAGGAAGAGAAGTGAAAAAGCGCGGGAAGAGGCGGGAGAGACTGGGAAGGGGTGTGAGGCGACGCGCCTCGTGCCGCGGGGCGTGTGGCCCGCGGGCCCTGCGGGAGGCCAGGGCCGACCGGGAGCCCGGGACGCCTGCGCAGGGCTGAAGGCCGGCATCGGGGCGAGACGAGACCCGAGGGGGAGGCGGCCGGGGCCGGGCGGTGGCGGGCCCCGGGGGTTTCTGGCTGGGTTGCGCAGCCGTCCGAGTAGCCGGGTCAGGGCGTGAGCGCCGGTGCCCGCGTGCCAGCGACCTGCCCGTGTGACTCAGGCCCTCGGCCCTCTGGCGCAGCCGGGCTGCATTCCCGGGAGGGGGCGCGGGCGGACCCGGTGTTATTCGGTCCTCCGGGCCCGAGGCGGCGGCAGCGAGCGGCCCCGCGGGTTGCACGGCGGCGACGGCGGCCCGGCGGGTTACGATGTAGCGGCGCTGGAAGTCAGGTGAGCGGCCGGGAGGCCCCCGCGGGGCCCGGGGTGCGCGGCCCCGGCCTTCGCGACACCCGTTTCGGATGCGGACGCTCGGGGCGCGGAGCCGGCTGCAGGCCCGGCGCGCCGGGAGCCGGGCCCGGCGTCGGGCCTACACAGCCAGGCGCGGGGCTGAGGGTTGCACCTCCAGCGGCTCCTCCGAGAGAGGGTTTAGCCTGCTTCCAGGCTACCATCGGGGGTGCGGACCCGCAGCGGCGGTGGGCTCCGTGCCCGTCTCCTCTGTGCAATGGGTGGGCACGGTGGCCAAGGCTGCGCTCGCGGCTCCCCGAGCTCACTGGGTGGCTCTGGGTCTGGAGCAGCACCTGGGGCCAGAGGAGTCCTGGTGCTGAGAGGCAGGACCGTGGGCTTCAGCCATCTGTCTTAGGACCTTGGGTAAGTCTATACCCACATGATGGGTCTAGACCATTCCATGTCGCTGTGGGCTCTTCTGAGAAATTGCCTCAGTGGAGGTGAGGGTAGCCTCGGTGGTTTGGGGAGAAGCAGAAGACTGAGGTTGCTAAGTAGCCATACCTTTCTACAAGAGAAAGGGCCTAAGGGGGTGGAAGGGGATGGTCCACGATGAGCTCTGGACCTGGGCACTCACCCAGCGGTGCTTCGTGTAGGTGGGATGCTATGGAATATGATGAGAAGCTGGCCCGGTTCCGGCAGGCCCATCTCAACCCCTTCAATAAGCAGCTTGGGCGGAGGCAGCATGAGCAGGGGTCCAGTGAGGAGGCTCGGGACACTCCTTCTGAAGGTGAGTAATGGTGGGGTAGGAATTGTGTGGACCACCTCCCTACTTCCCTGTTCATGTCGATTTCGTTTAAAGTTAGTTTGGGCTGGGTGACTTATGCCAATGATCCTAGATACTCAGGAGGCTAAGATCCAAGGATCACGGTTGAATGCCTACCTGGGCCACAAAGTCTGTGAGACTTTTCTCCAGCTAAGTACCAAAAACTAACAAACAAAACTGGCAAGTGGAGCTGTGGTTCAAGTAGTAGAGCACTAGCCTTGAGTGAAAAAGGCCAAGGAAGCCATGGTGGCTCATACCTGTAATTCTAGCTACTCAGGTGACTGACATCTGAGGTCAAAGTTTGTTTTTGTTTTTGTTTTGTCAGTTGTGGGGCCTGAACTCTGTGCCTAGGCGCTGTCCCTCAGCTCTTCAGCTCAAGGCCAGCACTCTACCACCTGAGCCACAGTGCCACTTTGGCTTTTTCTGCTTATGTGGTGCTGAGGAATCGAACCCAGGGCCTCATGAATGCAAGGCAAGCACTCTACCACTGAGCCACTTTCCCAACCTGAGGATCAAAGTTTGGAGCAAGTCTGGGCAGGAAAGGCTGGGAGACCCTATCTCCAATAAATTACTCAGAAAAAGCCAGAAGTGTTGTGGCTTGAGGGGTAGAGCTTTAGTCCTGAACAAAAGAAGCTCAGGGATAGTGCCCAGGCCCTGAGCTCATGCTCCCCAAGACTGGCCCTCCCCCCAACACACACACACTTGCCAACTGTCACCCTCCCCCACATACACACAAACTTTAGAGCATAGGCCCTGAGTTCAAACCCCAAGACCAGTACAGTATTTAACCAAGTACTGAGTATATACTCCAGAGGACAGGAATTTGTGTCTGGCCAGTCATTGCTGAATCCCAGGGTCCAGCACCTAGTAGGTGTGATTTTGTGGAGCAAGATTACAGCTAAGATCTGGTGGAGAAAAATATTGGTTAGAAAGTCATGTGCCCCATTCTTCTGGGAATTATGAGGGTGTTAGCCCTAGAAATTGCAGACGAAGCTAGGAGGGAGAGCTCAGGCCAGGGTGGTTTCAGAGAAGTTGTCACACAGCTCATGAATTTTATGGTATAGTCAGTCAGTTTATGCATAATGGCCTCTGCTTTAGCAATCAAGATGCTTCTATCACTTTTTTTTTTTTTTTTTTTGTCAGTCGTGGGGCTTGAACTCTGGGCCTGAGCGCTGTACCTCAGCTCTTCAGCTCAAGGCGAGCGCTCCACCACTTAAGCTACAGTACCACTTCCGGTTTTCTAGTGGTTTATTGGGGATAAGAGTTTCACGGACTTTCCTGTCCAGGCTGGCTTTGAACCACGATCCTCAGATCTCAGCCTCCTGAGTAGCTAGGATTACAGGCGTGAGCAACCGACACCTGGCTCACTTTTCTTTGACAGTACTAAGTTTTGAACTCAGAGGCTTGTGCTTGCTAGGTAAGCACTCTACTACTTGACCCATACCTCTAGCTCCCCCCCCCCCCTTTTTTTTTTTTGCCAGTTCTGGAGCTTGAACTCATGGCCTTGGTGCTGTCCCTGAGCTTCTTTTGCTCAAGGCTGGTGCTCTAGCCATAGTGTCACTTCTGGCTTTTCCTGTTTATGTGGTACTGAGGAATGGAACTCAGTGGGTTTGCCTAGCATGCATGCAGCCCTGGGTTTGATTCTTCGGTACCACATAAACAAAAAATGCTGGAAATGGCGCTGTGGCTCTAGTAGTAGAATGCTAGCCTTGAGCACAGAGAGGCTCAAAGACGGTGCCCAGGCCCTGAGTTCAAGCTCCAGGACTGGCCAAAAAAAAAAAAAAAATCATCTGGGCCCTGGTACCTCACTCCTGTAATCCTAGCTACTCAGGAGGCTGAGAGCTGAGGATTGCGACTCAAAGCCAGCCCCGGCAGGAAAGTCTTTATTTTCCATAAACTACCAGAAAACCATGAAGTGGTGCTGTGGCTCAAGTGGTAGAATGCTAGCCTTGAGCTGAGGGACAGCACCCAGGCCCAGACTTCAAGCCCCACGATCAAAAAAAAAAAAAAATTATTTTTTTTTCTTTATTCGTTTTAAGTAGTTGTACAAAGGGATTTCAATTTCATTGTTTTCTAGTAGTATCTCCTGTTTATGCTGAGCCATATTCCTAGCCCCTCTCGTGAACTTTTGGCTTGGGCTAACCTTGAACCATCATCCAGTTTCTGCCTCCCAAGTAGACAGGATTACAGGTGTGTCACCCCAGTTATAATGCTACCTTGTTTGCCTCTTTCAGCACCACAAAGTGCCTGACATTCTATCTCTTCTTTCCTATTTGGCAAAAAGCTGGATTTCTTTCCAAATGCATATCAAACAGAACCCACCTTTCACCCCTCTCCCTAGGTCTTCCTGTGTTTTCTTTCCAGCTCTGACCACTAATTACTTTTGTGAGGGTCTGGAAGCAGGAGGGGCAAGCTGACACCCCCCCTCCCCCCCCACCAACCCCTTCCCCCCGTCCCCCTTCCCCACCACCACCAACCCCCCCCTCCCCCCCCAGCCCCACCAACCTCTATACTTTCCCTGTCCTCCAGAGATCCTGCCTGAATTGTCCCCTGGGGAGCCTGAGTTCCACTGCTCTGAGCGCATGATGGATCTTGGCCTGTCTGAGGACCACTTCTCTCGCCCTGTGGTAAATGTTTTGGGGTCTGGGAGGAGAGGGGATGGAGCCCTGAGATACTGAGTCAACAGCTTCCTGATTACCACAGTCCTGGTAGCAGGGATGTTGGTTCATCGCACTCTCAAGAGCTAGAGGTGCATTTTCCCATCTCTGAAGTTCCACCATCAACCACCCACCTCACTGGGTCCTCAATTCTGAGACCTATGTTAGCCCTGGCCCTATTCTCACAGGGAAAGTTGAATAAGCTTAGACCCAGGTAGATAATCTGAGATGTTTCTTCACCTGAGAGACTTACTTGCAATTACAAAAAGCTGGAAGTAGTGCTGTTACGGCTTCAGTGGTATAGTGCTAGCCTTGAGCACAAAAGCTCAGGGACAGTGCCTAGGCTCTAAGTTCAAGCCCCATGGCACAAACAAGCTTCAAGGCACAAACGAAAAAAAAGTACCAAGTTTTGGGGTGGCTGGGCACACCTACACAATGTTGCTGGCATCTGCTTGGGCCTTACAATTCAACCAGAGGCCGTGTCCTTTTTTTCATACTAATTATAATTTCCTTAGCTCCCCTCCAAGGAAAAGCTCTGTAGAAGTGAATCCATGTAGCCCCCCACCCCAAATCATTTGGATTTGTACAAGAAGGAAGTGTGTATGTGGTGGTGTATGTGTATGCGTGTGAGAGCTGGTGGGGTGGGGGACAGGAGGGCGCAGGATTCTGGCTATCAAACTCAGACCCTGTAGCATGTTAGGCAAGTGCTTTATTACTGAGATACCCTTCCACCCCTTGAAAGTTGTCTTTTTTGTTTGAATTTATTTTGTTTTGGAGACAGGGTAGCACTGTGTATACCAGGCTGGCATTGAACTAGAGATCTTCCTGCTTTTATTTCCCAAGTGCTGGGATTATAAGTGTGTATCATCATACCCAGCCCAGAATTCCTTTTTTGAAAAATACCCTGAGTTGCATCTTCAGAGGCCTGTGGGTCCATCAGTCCAGCCAGGGGGAAGACAGTGATCAGTAGCCTCTCCTCACCTGAGGACGTGGGACTTCTGTTATGTGTAGTCAGTCTTCATTTGGTGAAGAGGTTGAGACCTGCCCTGAGCCTCCCTACCCTTGAATACAACCCTAGCCTTCACAGAGAATCTGTTAGGTGATCATCTGACCACAGCCCTCCCACCTGGGCAGGGTCTTTTCCTGGCCTCTGATGTTCAGCAGCTGCAACAGGCAATTGAAGAATGCAAGCAGGTGATTCTGGAGCTGCCGGAGCAGTCCGAGAAGCAGAAAGATGCCGTGGTGAGGCTCATCCATCTGCGGCTAAAGCTCCAGGAGCTAAAGGTGCGTGCTGGCCTATCCCCATGAAGGTCCCAGGAGCCATGGTTGAGATGGTAGGAGGCAGAAGGGCTAGGTAGCCCCTGCCTTCCTCCCACTGAACTCTGAGAGGCTGATTTAGAATGGTACCAAGAAAGGTAGAGTGGGCTGGGTGCCAGTGAGTGGCTCACACCTATAATCCCAGCTGCCTGAGGATCAAGATTTGAAGCCAGTCCAGGCAGGAAATGGATTCCATAGTCTAAATCCCACAAGAGCCATCATGTTGAGTTGGGTCTGAGTCTGAGTTGGCTACCACTGAGTCCCATATACTGTCTCATTAATTCCTTGGAATTTAGAACTGAAATATCCATTAGAAATAGTTAAATGTGTGATAAAAACAACCTAAACAGTGACTTAAAGGGGATGTGTGTGATTTTCTTCATGCCTGTGACAGTGGTATTGGAGATACTGGGTTATCCTATTTCGTTTTTCTTCCAGTCACTGAAAGGAAGAGTCTAAGATAGCCCCACTCCACATCTTGTTCTGCACCTAACCAGTAAAAGGAAGGAAGGGCAGATTGATTCTTGTTCACAGGCCCTTGGACCTAGGCAGCACAAGGCTGCCAGGATTGCTAGAAAAGTGGTGTGATCTTGTCTGCACCTGACTGACTGTCCTCCTCATGCTATAGGAGGAAGGAGAGCAACATGCATTAGGCTGAAATGCACAATCTCTGCTAGTGGTATCTGGAAAGCATGAATTAAACTTGACAAAAAGGAACAAGCTGTAGCCCAGTTCGCTTGTGACTCTTCCTTTTCCCTTCCCCTATAGGATCCCAATGAGGATGAGCCTAATATCCGAGTCCTCCTTGAGCACCGCTTCTACAAGGAGAAGAGCAAGAGTGTCAAGCAAACCTGTGACAAGTGTAGCACCATCATCTGGGGCCTCATCCAGACCTGGTACACGTGTACAGGTGGGCTGACATGGGAGCACACTCTTCCTGTCCAAGTCCCTCAAGTAAGGTACAGGAGCCAAAGCTCTGATTGCAGATGTGGGTTATTTTCAGGTAAATTTTTGATAGTACACTCATTTGGCCAAGCTTTCTGTATGCTGGGAATGTTAAGAATGGAAAAACTAACATGCCTGCCTTCACTGGTCTTCACTAAGCTCTCCATTATGTTGGCCATGAGCCATGTAGGACTTTAAATATATGAAAGAAGGAGTTCCTTAGCTGTCCTGTGTACACTGTAAGTACTCAATGGCTGCATGAGTCTGGTGGTTGTCTCAATGGATAGTGAAGGGAACATGGTAGAAATTTTCCTTTGATGGTGCTGTTCTGAATGAGAAACTCATTAATAAGTGACATGATATTACAGTCATACTAAGTTAAAGAGAAAGAATAATATTTATTTGGCGTTTGAGTTGGCACTGCTGAAAAAGCCTTATTTGATGTTTAAGCAAATGCTTTGAGGGTCAAGAGGCCAGTCAGGGTAGAGCTTGGGGCAGGCCTGCCTGCAAAAGCTCTGTGACTGATCTATGCCCAGTCTTGAAGAAAAGTGGGCTTTAAAATGTGCATGCATGTGCACATGAGTGTAAGTGTATTTATCTGTCTATACTGGGCTTGAACTTGGGGCTTTGTGCTATCACTCGACTTTCTTGCTCACAGCTTTCACTCTACTACTTGAACCTCCAGTCCAGCATTTTTCTGGCTAATTGGACAGAGTCTCATCAGACTCCTCTGCCTGGGCGGGCTTCAAACCTCAATCCTCCAAGTCCCAGACTCCTCCTGAGTAGCTAATTTTACAGATGTGAGTCCCAACAAAGGTGTCCAGTCGTCATAGTAACTAAAGCATTGTACCTGAAAGAGAGTATTGTAGAAGTGAGCTGAGGGTTTTTCTGTAAGTGCAGTAGGGACCATGGTTAGATGCTCAGACTTCCACTGCTGATATACACATATACTGGAAGGGAGAGCGAAGTTGGAAGAAGAGGAAAAAGAAGGAAGATGAGGAGGAGGGAGAAGAAAAGAAGAACAACAACAACCTATTCTGGGATCAACATGACCTTGGTGACAGGTGGCTGAGGTCAGTGCTAGCTGGAAGTTCTAAGTGCAGTTAGGAGATAAGAGAAGAGGCAAAGTGATTCATGATGTTTAGTCTTAGCAGTAGGTTGGAGTCACTGAAGTCTGAGATGAGAAATGAGGGAAGAGGGTTGAGATGGAAGAGAATAAACTCTATTTGGACAGTTTGAGTTTGAGGGTGGGAATAGCAGGTTGACTCTGGATGTGTGTGTCTAGAATTGATAGGCAAGGCAAATGTTGAGCAGGGTCACAAGGATCTTTGAGGAGCCAAGATGTGAAGAATTGCCTGGTTTGTCTTGACACTGGAGTGGATCTCATGAAGGTCACTGTGGACACCTCTCTGTGACTTCTAAGAGGCATGGTTGCTCTCCGTCACAGGGTGTTACTACCGCTGTCACAGCAAGTGCCTGAACCTCGTCTCCAAGCCTTGTGTGAGCTCCAAAGTCAGCCATCAGGCCGAGTATGAGCTGAACATCTGTCCTGAGACAGGGCTGGACAGCCAGGATTACCGCTGTGCAGAGTGCCGGGCTCCCATCTCTCTTCGTGAGTGATAAAGAGGGTCCTTTCTAAGCAGAGCAAGAGCAGACTGGAAGCTGTCTGACAGCTGAGGACTGACCTGAGGGCTTTAAGTGGCAAGGGTCAATACTGACATGTCTTTATTTCCCACTGTAGCAAAATGAGGTTTCAGTTGTTCTTTGACTTGCCCAGGTCACTGTAGGGCTGGAGCCTGAGCTCAGCCTCTGTGTCACAGAGTGCCTAACAGACAGGACGAGGGAGAGAGATCATAGTAGTCATGGAAATGTTAACAAATGTGAACTCATGGGCTCCCTCCAGCAGTCCCATAGCATGGTCCTGTTGCTCTGTTTTACTTGTGAGCACATTGGGATCTACAGAGGCGCTGTGGCTAAGAAGGGGTGGGTCAGGTCAGTGGGGTGGGACCCCTGGCCCACCTTGCTCTTTCTTGTGCTTTTGACCGGGAGAGGAGGAGTCTGTTGGTCAGGGAGGAGACTTGAGGCCTGTGAGCCTGACTTGTACCAACCCCCACACAGGGGGTGTGCCCGGCGAGGCAAGGCAGTGTGATTACACCGGCCAGTACTACTGCAGTCACTGCCACTGGAACGACCTAGCTGTCATCCCTGCACGTGTTGTGCACAACTGGGATTTTGAGCCACGCAAGGTAGAGGGGTGTGGGGGCGGGTAGGGGTAGCCATGGGAAAGGAGAGCCTGTGGGCAGGTTTCTTGTGCTGCACCCTGCAGGTTTCTCGTTGTAGCATGCGCTACCTGGCACTGATGGTATCTCGCCCAGTGCTCCGGCTCCGGGAGATCAACCCCCTGCTATTCAACTACGTGGAGGAACTGGTGGAGATCCGGGTAAGGTTGGGGCCTAAGGTGAGGGATGAGGCAGTACTGCATCAGATAGACCCCTTTTCTGGTCGGTGGGAGGTGCTGAGTAAAGGAGGCATGCCATCTCAGCAGGGCCCTTTGATGGCCCTCTGGATTAAAGGCAGTAGAACCACGTTCAATAGCAATCTTGATTCCAGCCATGGAGGCAATTAAAATTTTATTCTAGTAGCCTTTTTTTTTTTTTTCCACTTTATTTTAGTGCTCTTCTTGGGGTTTGAACTTGGGGCCTGGATGTTGTCCCTGGGCTTTTTTGCTCAAGGCTACCTCTCTACCACTTGAGCCAAAGTACCACTTCCGGTTTTCTGGTAGTTAATTGGAGATAAGAGTCTCATGAACTTTCTTGTGTAGGCTGGTTTTGAACCATGATCTTCAGATCTCAGCCTCTTGAGTAATTAGTTACTCAAGCGTGAGCCACTGGTGCCTGGCTGGCTTTGAACTTTAAAAAAAATAAATTTGCCAGGCGCTGGTGGCTCACGCCTGTAATCCTAGCTACTTAGGAGGCTGAGATCTGAGGATTGCGGTTCAAAGCCAGCCTCAGCAGGAAAGTCCGTGACACTCTTATCTCCAATAAACCACCAGAAAACGAAGTGGCGCTGTAGCTCAAGTGGTAGGGTGCTAGCCTTGAGCTGAAGAGCTGAGTGGCAGTGCCCAGGCCCAGAGTTCAAGCCCCGCGACCAACCAAAAAAAAAAAAATGTTTTTTATTGTTATTATTAAGATGTTGGACAGTGGGCTACCATTTCATAAGTCAGGTAATGAGTACATTTCTTTTTTTGTGCAATGTTGCGCCTTGGCCTTGAACTATTTATTTATTTATTGGTCATGGGGCTTGAACTCTGTGCCTGGGCACTGTCCCCAGGCTCTTTAGCTCAAGGTGACTACTCTACCACTTGGGCGTCACTTCCGGTTTTCTGATGGCTAATTGGAGATAAGAGTCTCCCAGACTTTCCTGCCCAAGGCCAGCTTTGAACCCTAATCCTCAGATCTCAGCCTCCTGAGTAGCTAGGATTACAGGTGTGAGCCACTGGCACCTGGCTGTGGTGGCCAGTTTTATCTAGAATGGAGATCCAGATGTTCTAGAAGACAGGACCTGATGGTGTTGTGGGGCAGGCAGTAGAATGAGGTCCAATTCCCTGTTACTGTGGAAGAGCAGGCAGAGCAGAGTGAGTTGCCCAGATCACAGAGGCTGATGAGGAATGTGGGATCTGAGTAGGTGTTAGGCCTAGTGTGTCAAGTGTGTCCTAGTGTTTTACACATTACTGCTCTCGGAAAAGCCATTTTGTATGCTTGTGGGAGTAGGTGAGTAGAGTGGATGGTGATGGTAAATGAACCTCAAGGTCCTGTGTAGCTTAGAAGCTGAGATTTGCACTTGAGTTTCTTTGTAGCACTCAGATCTAATAACATCCTGGGGAGCTCAACAACACCTTTCCCAGCCCCTGTTGATTTTGCTGCCACCAAGAGAGTAAGCTGAGGATTCCCTGTAAAGCTAGGACATGGAAGAGATGGCTGAGGTACAGCCCTCTGATCTGGCTGAGCCCTGCCTGTTGCCCTTATCCACAGAAGTTGCGCCAGGACATCCTGCTCATGAAGCCGTACTTCATCACTTGCAAGGAGGCCATGGAGGCACGTCTGCTGCTGCAGGTCAGACTGCTGGGGGGAGCAGCCCAGCAGTGATAGTACCCTTAGTCCAGGACTTCCCAGACAACTTGGTAGCAGTATATATTGTACTTTTAGCAATCTTCCAAACTGTGCCCCAGGAATATCAGGCCTGTAATAAGCTATTAGGTACCCCAATCACAAAACTGTTCTCTGATGATCTCAGGTTGGGAACTGAGATAAAGAAACATTGTCTGAAACTTTTATGTGATTGTGGGTGGAAGTATACGTCCACCGCAGGCCAGTTGAACACAAGCTTTAATGTGTTCATTATTTATGTGTGCAATATGTATAGGTTTTTTTTTTTTTTTGGCCAGTCCTGGGGCTTGAACTCAGGGTCTGGGGCACTGTCCCTGAGCCTCTGTGTGCTCAAGGCTAGCACTCTACCACTTGATCCACAACACCACTTCCTATGTGTTCAATATTCACAGGCATTGGACTAGATTCTGGGAAACAATAAGAAAAACAGGCAGGAATCCTTGCCTTGTAGAGTTTCCATCAGTTTGGAAGTGTATGTCAGGGTGGTAAGCAATATGGACAGGACGAAGTTGGGGAGGGGCTAGGGAGTACTGTGGAGGTGTTAAACAGGGAGACCAGGCCTGGGATGAGGTGTGGCAGGCAGGGGAAAAGCCTAGTGATTGGGGAGCAAGGATGGTTGAGACAGGATTATAGGAGTAACAAGAGTATGTTTTGGGGAGCTGGGTTACACAGTTCAGGAAACGTGGCCCTGGCGCCATTTTCCTGCTTTGTCTTCCCCAGGCTCTCTAATTCTGCTCTTAGGGCTCCCTCCCAGGGTCTTTGTCTCTGGAGGCTTCTAGTTGTCCCTGACTGGGGCTGTTCACACCATGGTAGCTGCTGGACCTGGCCAAGGGTTATGGCCTGGACAATGTGAACAACCATGGGAGGGCTGTGGGAGGGTTTCTTTTCCTGTGTTTGGGGTTACAGCTACTGGGATTTGGCAGCTCCAGGACCGGCAGCATTTTGTGGAGAACGATGAGATGTACTCAATCCAGGACCTCTTGGATGTGCACATGGGCCGCCTTGGTTGTTCGCTTACTGAGATCCACACACTTTTTGCCAAGCACATCAAGCTGGACTGTGAGGTGGGTCTCTTCCCTCCCCCGCCTCCCCCCAGTCCATAGGAGACCCTAGGCTATTCTCCTGGCCCCTAGTCTAGTCTTGGGGGCTGCGATGGGCAGGAGAAGCAGCTTGCCCCACTGTCCTGGCTGGCACTTACCTGCATATATTCTCTAACCTCTCCACACTCTTTCCCCTCCCCACCAGCGGTGTCAGGCGAAGGGCTTTGTGTGTGAGCTCTGCAGAGAAGGTGATGTGCTGTTCCCATTTGATAGCCACACATCTGTGTGCATGGACTGCTCCTCGGTCTTCCACAGGTAGGTGTGACCCAGGCCCCTCCCTCAGAGGAGGTGTTGAGGCTGCCCTCTGAGTGGCTTCCTTTCTTTGGTCTCAGCTGTATCTGGTCTTGAGGAAGCAGTTTCTGGTGTCACTGAAAGAGGGGGAGACAGACATTTGGACCTTTGCTGCCTGGTTTTCAGAGCCCTTTGCTGATCCTGAGCCACAGAGTTATGCACTGATGTCTATGTGGAAAAATTCTATTAGGAATGAATGCTTATGTGCTAGGAAGGGGTCACTACAACCCAGACCATTCTGTCAGGGTGGATTTTTGTTGTTGTTGTTGTTGTTGTTGTTTTTGGGTCCGGTTATGGGACCTGAACTCTGGGCCTGGGCGCTGTCCCTCAGCTCTTCGGCTCAAGGCTAGTGCTCTACCACTGGAGCCACAGCGCTACTTCTGGCTTTTTTCTTTTTGCTTATGTGGTGCTGAGGAATCGAACTCAGGGCCTTATGCATGCAAGGCAAGCGCTCTACCACTGAGCCACCTTCCCAGCCCCTGTTGTTGTTTTTGGCAGTCGTGGGGCCTGAACTCTGGGCCTGGGCACTATCCTTCAGCTCTTCAGCTCAAGGCTAGCGCTCTACCACTTGAGCCACAGTGCTACTTCTGGCTTTTTCTGCTTATGTGGTGCTGAGGAATCAAACCCAGGGCCTCATGCATGCAGGGCAATCACTCTACCACTGAGCTACCTTCCCAGCCCCTATTTTTTTTTTAATTTTAATTTTTTTTGGTTGGTCGTGGGGCCTGAATTCTGGGCTTGGGTGCTCTCCCTGAGATCTTCAGCTCAGGGCTAGCGCACTACCACTTGAGCCACAGTGCCACTTCCGGCTTTTTCAGCTTTTGTGGTGCTTAGGAATGTAACCCCGGGCCTCATCCATGCAAGGCAAGTTCCCAGCCCCACCCAGACCATTGTGGATTACTTCCCAAAGCCTACTTAGATTTGCAGCATCTGCCCTGCTTCTTCCTGCACTAAGCAGAGGTTGCTAAACATCCTAGTTTCTGATATCCTTAATATTTCAGCACCTTTTCCAGTGTCTAGTCTAAAAGAAATACCTGATTCTTTTGCTTATTTAAGTACTTACATTTAAACAATATCATGAGGATTTATATTCTGCATATTTAGTGGCTGTTTGAAAAAATAATACATATAAGTTAGAAGCAAAACAGTTAAACTTCATTCTACAATAAGCACAATTTCTTTTTTTTCTTTCTTTTTTTTTTTTTTTTATACTGGTACTCAGGCCCTCATGGTCTCCCATAGCTTTTTGCTCAAGGCTGATGTTTTCCCACTTAAGCCATAGCAACAGTTCTGTTTTTTTCTGGTTAACTGGAGATACGAGTCTCATGGATTTGTCTAACTGGGCTGGCTTTGAACCTTGATCCGCAAATCTCAGCTTCCTGTGCCACTAGGATTACAGGAGTGATCCAAAGCACAATTTCTTAACTATGATTTTGTGCATCTGCTATGCTCTGAGTTGGATGAGAACCTTCCATCCCTATTTCTGTCCACAGTTTTTTGGGTTTTTTTTTTGCGCCAGTTTATCATAGCAACTGCCAATCTTTTCATAAAAAGTGATGTAGTAAAAACTTGCTGAAACATGAACTCTCTTGAGCTAGTAGTTTCAGTGGTGGACACATGTCAAATATTGATGAATTTGAGCATGAACTCTGTCCACATTCTCTCCACATGTTCAAATGAGCCCATAGATCCCTATGTATATGATGTTGAGCCCTGGTATGCCTTGACACACAGTTTGGGAACCATACTTGAAGGCTCCACATTGGTGATGATAGGTGACAGTGGTAATATAAGAAACTTGGAGCCTGATTGTGAACGCTAGGGGAATGCATTGTCCAGATACTATGCTATGAGTACCCTTTGACAGAGACCAGTATACTGGACACACAGGTCTTGTCATGCTTGGATGCCACCCTCACTTCTGACCAATGGTGGTGAACACCTGAGCCCCTTACCCCTTTGTACAGGGGCAGTAGGAGCTCACCTCTTAAGCTTGTAAGGGTCCAGTGGTAGAATTTTACATGTCTGTCTTTCTGCCCCCAGGGATTGCTACTATGACAATTCAACTACTTGCCCTAAGTGTGCCCGGCTCAACCTGAGAAAGCAGTCGCTCTTCCAAGCATCTGGTCCAGATGTGGATGCTTAGACTGCTAGGGAAGAATGCTGGACTCTGTGCCTGCCCATCTGGTTTCTGCTCTGTTGGCATTGCCAGTCAGCTCTGGAGACTCCTTTCTGGTGCACCCCCTGGACCTCTTTACCAACCAGGCCAGAAGGGTATGAGTGGTGCCTGCCAGGACTGCCACTCCCCAGGTGCCAGCTGGGACTTAAGGTGACTGTACCGCCTGTTACCTAGGTATGCTGTTGTAAGTGGTCATGCTGTGGCCCCTGTCCTTCCCCCATTGTAGGATGCCTTGAGCAAGGGAGCCCAGGTGTGACTCCTACTCCCTCGTGGTACTGAACACTCCAGGCTTCTAGATCCTATAGATGTCCCTGCTCATGTTCAGGTTACCCTAGCAACTGATTAGGCCAAGAACCTCAGAGAGTAGCCAGTGATACTTGAGGATGCTGGCTCCATACATCTAGCCTCATCTGTTGCCATAAACAATTTAGGTTTATCTACAGGCCCCCTTCCTTCTCAGTACCTTCTCTCTTTGGGGTCATCTGGTTGTCTATGAATGGGCTATTCATGGTGGTATCCCATGGACCTCTCCAACCTCCTGAGGCTCATAGGCAGTCAGTGAGGTTCCGTGCACAGTGGGCAGGGAAACGGGCTGTGGAACTTCTCCCTGAAGGGTTATCTGCTGCTGTTTCTGCCCTTGCCTAGCCCACCTTATTCTGGTGCTTTGAGCTAGGTAGCTATGGGCTGAGCCCAAGGAAAATGTCCTGGCTTCTAGGTTTGTAGCAGAAACAAAGCATCCAGGGAGACTCTGGGTTAGGCAAACAAGTTGGTTACAATAGGCCTGCATAGCAGTTCTTGGGACTAAATTTGCCCCTGAAACTCTGTTGGCTGCCACTATGTCTATGGAGGGCTCTCAGTGATTTGGGGTTAACCTGCCAGTGACTTGGGTTGTAGGCCCAAGGTCAAGCATTGAGCTCCAGGCAGGAGGCTTATAGCTTGTGAAGGAAGATCTGGGTCTGGAAAGTGGGCAAGATCTACAGTTCTTCAGCAGGGGCCACACTCAGGCTCCATGTACCCTACAAATTCTGTAACTGAGGTTGTACTCTATCAGGGGATGTCTGTGGATAAGGCTTCTGTTTTTCCTCCTTGTGAAGGAAGGGTCACTGTCCCTTTCCTACTTGTCGTGTGTGTGGGGTATGGGTGTGGAAAGCCACACTTGGGTGTCTAGAGGGCACTGAGTGTCGCTGCTTAGATGTCTCTCACCTTTGACAGAGCCTGAGAGGATAACTCAATCAGCAGACACAGCTTAGCTTGCCAACCTATTTAAGGGGTAGACGAATACTGCGCCTCTCCTTTGCCCCTTGTGCCATGAGATGGCTTTAGGCAATGCTCTTGCTGTCTTTTGTCAGTTTCCCCACGGGAAATTGGGGAGAGTGGTATTGACCTACCTCAAGGTGAAATAGTAAAAAGTCCTTTAAGAAGTTTGATAGGTCTGGATGCTGGTAGCTCACACCTGTAATCCTAGATGATCATGAGGCTGAGATCTGAGGATCACAGGTTAAAGCCATCCTGGGCCAAGAAACTCTTATCTCTAATTAATCACCACAAAACTGGAAGTGGCGTTGTGGCTCAGGTGGTAGAATGCTAGCCTTGAGCAAAAGAGCTCAGGGACAGTGCCCAGGCCCTGAGTTCAAGCCACATGACTGCCCCCTCCCCCGCCCACGTCCCGAGAGAAAAATGTTTGGGGTCAACATAGGTCCCTCTCCATCTTCTTCCTTGTTTGAGTTGAAGAGGGGACTAAAGGACAAATGCCTTTTTCCTGCACCTCTAAATCTGCATTTATCACCACTGCATCACATTTTTGTCATGTGGCTAAGGACCTTGCTTAATTCTGTGTAATCAACATCACATTGTTCTAATGATAAATCACTGTGTTGACAGAAAATGTTAGTAGCCTGGCATTTGTTGGGCAAAGTGTTGAGTTTCTTTCTATAACCCACTCCAAACCTTCTCCCCTAGTTCCTCTTCCCCTTGAAGTGCCAGGCTTGGGTGATACAGAATGCAGAATCATGTGTAGATTTTTCTATGTGTCTGTAGCATGGGTAGGAGACCTCAGCCAGAAGCTCATTTATATGGCTACTATGTTATGGAACACTCAAAGGTATCCCATAGCATGGTGAATCTGGATCAAAGCAGTTAGTTGATATACAAGCCAATTCAATAGGCTTGAGTATGATCTGGTTTGGGGTAAAGTAACACTATTGATTGGTGTCAGACCAAGGCCTGAGCCTGCTCTCACAACAGATGTGGCCTGATTATACTCTTGTCTCCATTTTGACAAGGCCTGAGGTCCCAGGGTTCCAGAAGCATTTATTACTGTGCCTGTCTTCTCTTCTTTCTCTTCACCTTTCCCTTTTTCCTTTCTCTATTTTCCTATTTAAATTTCTTATTCTGAACTTCAACAGATTATACAAGGTGGTTACACTTAATATGTCCAGTGGCTTTTTGTTTTGTTTTGTGCTGGTAAGGGGGCTTGAACTTGGCCTCATGCTCTTGCTTAAGTTTTTCACTCAAAGCTAGCATTCTACCACTTGAACCACAGCTCCACTTCCACCTTTTTCTTGATTATTTGGAGATAAGACTCTTTGGGATTTGTCTGCCTGGGCTGGCTTCCAACCTTGATCCTCAGCTCTCAGCCTCCTGAATACCTGAGACTACAGGTATGAGGCTTTTCTCTCTTTCTCTGTGTGTGTGTGTGTGTGTGTGTGTGTGTGTGTGTGTGTGTGTGTGTGTGTGTGTGTGTGTGTGTGTGTGTGTGTGTGTGTGTGTGTGTGTGTGTGTGTGTGTGTGTGTGTGTGTGTGTGTGTGTGTGTGTGTGTGTGTGTGTGTGTGTGTTTGCATTTGCTTGCCCTGTGTGTATGTGTGTTAGCCTTTGCCAGTCCTGGGGCTTGAACTCAGCCTGAGTGCTGTGCCTGAGCTTTTTTGCTCAAAAATAGAGCTCTACAGCTTTGAGCTACAGTTCCACTTTTGGTTTTCAGGAGCTTGATTGGAGAAAAGTCTCTTCGAATTTTCTGCCAAGGCTAGCTTTGAGCCATGATCCTCAGATCTCAGCTTCCTAAGTAGCTAAGATTACAGGTGTGAGCCACCAGCACTAGCCTCTCATGCTTTTTGCTCAGTCATCCCTCTTTTTTTGTTAATGTGTAAACTATTGGATTTTATCGTTTCCATACCTGTATATAATGTTTTTTTTTTTGGGGGGGGGGGGGTTCCGGTCGTGGGGCCTGAACATCTGGGCCTAGGCGCTGTCCCAGAGCCTCTTTGTTTGTTTGTTTGTTTTGGGTCCAGTCATGGGGCCTGAACTCTGGGCCTGGGCGCTGTCCCTCAGCTCTTCAGCTCAAGGCTAGTGCTCTACCACTTGAGCCACAGTGCCACTCCGTCTTTTTTCTTTTTGCTTATGTGGTGCTGAGGAATCGAACCCAGGGCCTCATGCATGCAAGGCAAGCGCTCTACCACTGAGCCACCTTCTCAGCCCCTTATACCTGTATATAATGTATTTTGATCATATTCATCCCTCATTACTGTCTCTGGTCTCCCTACTGATCCCCTTCCTCTTCCCAAATAGTCCATTTACTTTCATATTAAAAAAAAAAAAAAATCTAGAATTTGAGTTCATTGAATAGAACTTTGTTTTCCCCTGCTGGTACTAGAGTTTGAACTCAGAGCCTCAAGATTGCTTGGCAGGCACTTTACCACTTGAGCTATACTTCACCTCAGCTTCTTACTGGTTCTTTTTTTTTTTGTTGGTCATGGGGGCTGAACTCTGGGCCTGGGCACTGTCCCTTAGCTCTTCAGCTCAAGGGTAGTGCTCTACCACTTGAGCCACAGCACCACTTCTGGCTTTTTCTGCTTATGTGGTGCTGAGGAGTCGAACCCAGTGCCTCATACATGTGAGGCAAGCACTCTACCACTGAGCCACCTTCCCAGCCCTTACTGATTCTTTGGAGAGTCTTGTAGACTTCTGCTAGGGCTGCTTTCAAACTGTGATCCTCTCAGCCTGTTATGTAGCTAAGATGAAGAGAGTGAGCCACTGTGCTTGGCCTGAATAGAAGTTTCTAGTGAATAGACTTCAGGAAAACTCTGAACATCCCTTTCAAGTTAGATTCAAAGGTGAATGGGTACTGGGAACATGGCTTAGTGGTAGAGTGTTTGCCTAGCATGCATAAAGCCCTGGGTTAAATTCCTCAGTACCATATAAACAGACAAAGCTGAAAGTGGCGCTGTGGCTCAAGTGGTACAGTTCTAGCCTTAAGCAAAAGAAGCTCAGGGACAGAGCCCTGACTCTGAGTTCAAGCCCCAGGACTAGCAAAAAAAAGTTGAGCCTAGTAGAGCATGCCTAAAGTTGAGCCTAGTAGAGCATGCCTGGAATCCTAAAGCTTGGGAAGTGAGGCAGGACACCCACCTGTTTGAAGAAGGCTTTGCTGCACAGTGAGACTTGAGACTCAAAAAAAACAAAACAAAGTTACAATCTTCATCCACTAATACACTGTAACTCCGTCTTTTCCTGTATTGGATGGAACACACAGACAATGTGAGTGGGTTGGGATGCTGGTATATTTGAGCACATTCCTCTAGCTCCAACTCATGGGTTAAGCTGCACTTTGGATATCCTCTTGTCTAGGAGGACATAATAGTTCCCCCTTTCAGGTTTCAAGTGTTTTTTGTTGTTGTTATTTTGTTTTTTTTACCAGTCCTGGGCTTGAACAACAGGGCCTGGGCACTGTCCCTGAGCTTCTTTTGCTCAAGGCTAGCACTCTACCCACTTGTGCCACAGCATACTTCCAGCTTTTTCTGTTTATGGGATACCGAGGGATTGAACCCAGGTCTTCATGTATGCCTAGGCAATCACTCTACCACTGAGCCATGTTCCCAGCCCTCAAGTGTTTTTATTATTTTTTTTTCTTTTGGTGTTTTCATTTTGGCAACTTTAGATTTACAGAAAAATTCTAACAACCGTATTGCTCATCTCCGGGATTCTCTATATGTTAACATTTTGCTACATTTGCTTTATTTTTTTCTTTACATATGTTCTCCAAAAATTTGAGGTTAACTTGCAGACACTGCCCCTTTGCTTACTACTTTTTTTATTGATTTTGTTTCAGTATTGAGTATTGAACCCTTACTAGACAAATAATCTAGGTAGGATTACAGGTGTGAGCCACTGGCGCCTGGCACAATTTTTTTCTTTTAAAAATGTTTTCCTAGGGCTAGGAATGTGGCTTAGTGGTACAGTGCTTGCCTAGCATGCATGAAGCCCTAGGTTCAATTCCTCAGTACCACATAAACAGAAAAAGTCAGAAATAGCACTTTGGTTCAAGTAGTAAGAGCACTAGCCTTCAGCAAGAGAAGCTCAGGGACAGCACTCAGGCCCTGAGTTCAAGCCCCAGGATTCCAAAAAAAATGAAGGTGCTGGTGCCTCGTGCCTGTAATTCTAGCAGCTTATGAGGCTGAGATCTGAAGATTGCAGTTCAAAACCAGCCGGGGCAGGAAAGTGTGAGACTCTTATCTCTAATTAACCACCAGAAAACCAGAATTGGTGCTGTGGCTCAAAGTGGTAGAGCACTAGCCTTGAACAAAAAGAGCTCAGAGATAGTGCTTAGACCCTGAGTTCAGGCCCTACAACCAACAACAAAAAATTTTCCTAGCAGAGCACTATAATCCTAGCTACTCAAAGGGCTGAGAGCTGAGGGTCGTAGCTCAAAGCTAGCCTGGGAGGAAATGTCTATGAGATTCTTACTCCAATTAATCACCAAAAAGCTGGAAGTGGAAGGTGTGGCTCAAATGGTAAAGTGAAAAAGCCAAGCAAGAACATCAGGCCTTGAGTGTAAGCCACAGAACTGGCACCAAAGAAAAAAACTTTTCCTGTTTCCCATCTATTCTTCTATGTGATATTTTAAAAGCACATAATTTAAATAAACTTTCGTGGCAGAAGGAGATACTCTGCTCTTGGTCATAGGCTGAGACTACCTAAGATCATTTCTCCATATGCCACTGCTCATTGCACAGTTCACTGCAACATTATTGTTTTTGTTTTTTCAGTTTCTACTCATTAGGGATATTACTGGTAAGGTTTTGCAAACTAGTCTCAAAATGAGAAGGCTGCTGGCAGTTGTGCTGATGTAGGTGAGTTAGAAGATTTCTACTCGCCCCATCTTATGGACTGTTTCTCGGCTTGCTTATCCCTGTTCCAGCTGCACTAGCTCTGCATTTGAGATCATAAGATAAACAACTTGTCTGCATCTGCTTCTATGACCTCTTTCAGGGTCACATTCTTGTCAAGGGTCACAATGTCTTTGAAGCTGTACATCAGTAATATCTGTTTGGGAAAAACTCTGTGTCTGAATACACTGGCCAAATCTTCCTCTACATACTGTTCATTATTACTGGTTTGGGCTCCTCTCAATTTATTGTAACATTGTCCAGAGCATCCTATGTTATACTTTCACCAAACTTCCTGGCCATAGTGTTTCATCGCCATTTGTTGCTTCTACATTATGTTCAAAGTTTCTTCTCATGTAGTGAGCTTTGAAGGTTGAGGCTACATCTTGGATTGAGTCAGCTGAACTTTCATGAATATACTACACTGTTAGGAAAAGATTGCTGAAATTTAGTGGGTGGCATGGCATATTGTTGAGAATGAACAATGCTTTTTGTTGGTGAGACTATTATACTGGGCATTCATTTTCAATGGCAGGAGCAAAATATGTGCATCCATGAAAGATGCCTCTGCTGGCTCAAGTTTTCATGTTTGCATGCCAAATCACAGGTAAATTTTGTTTTTTAGTACCAGTAAGGGCTTCCACTTAAACTCTGCAGCATTTCCACCAAGAAGCAGCATAAAGTGATCTTTGGATGACTTAAACCATGGCTCACTCTTCTGTGGATGCAAACATTCCTTTAGGCATTCTCTTTCAATAAAGCTCAGTCTATATTTAAAAAAAAAATGGCTGGGAGGCTATATTCATCTCGTGTGTGTGTGTGTGTGTGTGTGTGTGTGTGTGTGTGTGTGTGTGTATTGGGGCTTGAACTGAGGCTCTAAAGGCAGTAACTATTTGTGAACTTGCCTTTTATTATTATCTAGAATGGTTGCCATTGTATTTTTTTTTTTTTCCCGGTCGTGGGGCCTGAACTCTGGGCCTGGGCGCTGTCCCTCAGCTCTTCAGTTCAAGGCTAGTGCTCTACCACTTGAGCCACAGCGCCACTTCCGGCTTTTTTCTTTTTGCTTATGTGGTGCTGAGGAATCGAACCCACCAGGGCCTCATGCATGCTAGGCAAGCCACCTTCCCAGCCCATGGTTGCCATTATAGAAACAGCAAAACCTAAGGCCTTTGTGATTTGACCCAAACTAGCTGGTGGGTTCTTACCCCCCGTGCTGATACTGGTGCTTGTACTTGGGGCTAGGTGCTGTCCTTGATTTTTCTCTCAAAGCTGGCACTCTTCTGCTTTACCACTTGAGCCACAGCTCCCCTTCTGGCTTTTTGGGAAATTGGAGATAGGAGTCTTCCAGACTTCCTCCCCAGGCTGATTCTCAGTTTCACCGGCTCTGAATCAATTTAATGCTTCTAATTCGATGTCCCCTTTTCACTAGAGACGAGTCACATTTAAACAATCTTCCCAAACATTTCTGGCTCTGAAATGTCAGTTGCCTCAGCAGCTTTAAGACTGAGGTAAAGCCAGGCCCGGTGGCTCACACCTGTCATCCCAGCTACCCAGGAGGCTGAGACCCGAGGGCCGCGGTTCAAAGCCAGCCCGGGCAGGAAAGTCCGTGAGGCTGACCTCCAATGAACCCCCAGAAAGCGGGGAGTGGCGCCGTGGCTCGGGCGGCAGAGCGCCGGCCTGGAGCTGAAGCGCTGAGGGACAGCGCCCAGGCCGGGGTTCAAGCCCCACGACCCCCACATACAAAACTGCGCTTCCTCGCAGGCCTTGGGGAAAGGGAAAATGAGGCTTCGCAGGCCCTCGGGCTGACGGCGCCCCGGGGCCCAGAAGCGCACCACACCCGGGCGGTCAACCAAGTAGCCAACCAAGCCCGGAGTGCGGGCAACGCCGGCAACCTGCCGCCCCCCGGGGCCCGGGGCGGCAGCTCCACCCGAGGAGCGCCCCTGGCGTAGGTGTGGTGGGGAGGCCGGCCCACGGTAGAGCCTCAGGCGCTGGGCTTCCCGGGCACACCCGCCGCGCCTCCAGCGAGCGCGCTCTCAGCTGCCGAACCGCCAGGCAGGACGCCAGGCAGGACTGCCGTTCAGAGCCACAGGCAATCAGGCCAGTAAGTGGACACCTAAAGCGAGGTCCCGAACCGTGGGTGCGGCTCTGCTGCGCACGCGCACATCCTGCCGGCCCACGGAGCGGAGGTGCGGCGCATGGTGACCTGCGTGCTGCGCCTGCGCGCCCGGAAGGCGCGAGGTTGGCGGTGGGGGATGTCGCACCGCCTGGTGGCGGCCGCTGGCAGTCGGGCAGTGGCTAGACCGCTCGCCGTGCTGTGGCGATGCGGCGGCAGCGCCGGAAGCAGTGGGACGGCCGAGACCCGCACAAGGGCGCAAGGCACCGCCCGGCAGGTGAGCGGGAGTCGCGGGCCCGTGTGTCTGAGCGGCGGGGCGGGGGCCGCGCTCGGTGCCGCGGTGACGCCGTCCGTCTGCGCCGGCGCGGTGGAGCGGCCACTTCCGGGTCTCAGCCTTGGTGGGCGGAGGCCGCTGAGCCCCGGCCCTCCGAACCCACCGCCCTGCCCGCCGCCTCGCGCCCCGGCCCGCCGCCTCGCGCCCCCGCCGCCTCGCGCCCCGGCCCTCCGAACCCACCGCCCTGCCCGCCGCCTCGCGCCCCGGCCCGCCGCCTCGCCCCCCCCCCCCCCCCGCCGCCTCGCGCCCCCGCCGCCTCGCGCCCCGGCCCTCCGAACCCACCGCCCTGCCCGCGCTCTGGTCCTGGCGCCCGCCTTGTCCCCGGGCGCCCGCCGGGGCCGCCTCCCAGCGGTCTTCCCTGGACTCCCGCGGTCAGGCACTGGGACGTAGTGTGTCTGCGGTTGAGGTTCGAAGCCCGCCCTGGCAGACACAGCTGAGGGTCCCATTCCCGACTCACCACCAGAAAAGCTGGACGTGGGCCTTCGGCGCGAGTGCCATTCCTGAGTGAAGTCGGGACCGGAGGCCCGAGTTAAACCGCAGTACCTGCACGAAACCCCAAGGTCGTTGTAGCCCTTTATCGTGATAGGTCTGTGCCAATGCCTTCTGTCCTGTCATAGAGAAAAAACAATCTTTTTGGGTGGGGTGTGGGCCATGAACTCAGGCCCGGGCGCTGTCCCTGAGCCTTTTGTCGAGGCTGGCGCTCTGCCACTTGAGCCACAGCGCCACTTTCGGTCTTTGAGTGGTTCGTTGGAGATGAGTCTCACCGGGACTTTTTTGTCCCAGTTGAATTCGAACCTCGGTCCTTAGATCTCAGCCTCCTGAGTAGGTAAGATTACAGGCATGAGCTGCCAGCACCCGGCTGTGAAAAATCTTCATAATGTCTTTAGCCCTGGTTATGGTAGGAACTTATTTTCCTCCCGGAGGACTGAAGAAATACAGGGGCATCGGGAAATCTGTCTTCCTAGGTTGACTGTTTACTTCTCATGTAACATAGATGATCGTATGAAGGAAAATCTTGTAGATGTTAGTCTGCTGTTTTTTGGGACACTCTCAAATATGTAGCCCAGGCTAACCTTGAACTTAAGACTTTCCTGACTCAGCCTTCTGATTACTGAGATCACAGGCATGAGCTACCTGACAGGCATGTTTGATTTCAAAGCTGTAGTCTTTTTTTTTGTTTTTTAACCAAAATTGCATCAAGCAGGGAATGATAATCCCCACCCTCTATTGGATGCTGTGGCTATAGAAATTCTTCATGCATTTCTGCTGTGAATTTAGTTCACATTTATTCCATTTAAACCATTTTAAAATATGCATATATATACATATGTGTATAATTTCCTTTTAGGATGGTACTGGTACTTGAACTCAGGGCCTTGTGATCTCAGCTTTTTGCTGTTTATTTGGAGATAAACATCTCTTGGATTTGTTTTCCAATCTTCTCTGAAAGTTAATGCTCAGATGTCAACCTCCTGAGTTGCTGGGATTGTAGACATGAGACACTGTTGCCTGGCTTAAGTAAATAAATAAGGGCAGCAAAGTTACATTGCAGCTCACTTCCTGTACCTTCCAGAATGTTTTTTTTTTTTTTTGGGGGGGGGGGGTGGGTCCGGTCGTGGAGCCTGAACTCTGGGCCTGGGCGCTGTCCCTCAGCTCTTCAGCTCAAGGCTAGCACTTTACCACTTGAGCCACAGTGCCACTTCCAGCTTTTTTCTTATGTGGTGCTGAGGAATCGAACCCAGGGCCTCAAGCATGCAAGGCAAGTGCTCTACCACTGAGCCACCTTCCCAGCCTTACCTTCCAGAATGTTTTGGCCACATTAAGAAGATACCTTTTTTGCGGCTGGGAAGGTGGCTCATTTGTAGGGTGCTTGTCTTGCGTGCATGAGGCCCTGGGTTCGATTCCTCAGCACCACACAAGCAGAAAAAAAAAGCTGGATGTGGTGCTGTGGCTCAAGTGGTACAGCGCTAGCGTTAGGCTGAAGAGCTGAGGGACAGCACCCAGGCCCAGAGTTCAGGCCCACGAGTGGAACAAAAAAAAAGAAGATGCCTTGTATTGTAGATGCTTTTCATCAGATAATTTCTCTCTTCTGTTTCAGTGTCTTCGGGGGATCCACTTTCAGTATTTGCCTCTACAGGGAAGACTGACTTCATTGTCCCAGTGGTTCTTTTCAAAACCACCCCGAGGTACTTGTCTGTTCCTCCCTCCCTCCCTTCTTCCTTCCTTCTCTTTTTTTCTCTTTTCTTTATTAAATAGTTGTACAAAAGAGTTGCAGTTCCATAAGTCAGATTACAAGTATAATGTTTCCTGGTTGATGTTACCCTTTATTTTTCCCCATTTCCCCATTCTCATCCCTATTCTCATTATTCAGTTCATTTTTGTACATAATGCACATTGAATATAAAGACTACATTTGATCACCCTTCTTCTCCTCATCCCTGTGCATTCCCCCAAAACACATTTCTGTTTCCTGGTACTCATTTCAATAAACAGTACATTAGTTGTTCAAAGGAATTACGCATTTGGATTACTTCCTTAAGTAAGTTTATTTTTGTGTAAATGCATTGAACCCTATAGATGTTATGGTGCATAGTTGTATTTTAGATCCAGCTTCCACATAAGAGAGAAAACATGTGCTGTTTGTCTTTGAGCCTGGCTTACTTCACTTAACATGATTTGTTCTAAGTCTAATCTGTTTTCCTGCAAATTACTTATCTTCTCTTTCTTTTACCATTTACCATCAGTAGCAGTATGAGGTTTAGAGGAACTAGCAGCTTTCTTAGAGTGTCTCCAACAGTGGGAGCAGTCTCTTTATACCTTCACCGTGTGTGTGTGTGTGTGTGTGTGTGTGTGTGTGTGTGTGTGTGTGAGCAGTCTCTTTATACCTTCACCGTGTGTGTGTGTGTGTGTGTGTGTGTGTGTGTGTGTGTGTGTGTGTGTGTGTGTGTGGCCGGGGTGGGAAGGATGTGGGGACTGTCCCTGAGCCTGTTTTGCTCAAGCCTAGCGCTTCTACCACTTGAGCCACAATGCCACTTTTGGTTTTTGGGTGGTTAGTTGGACATAAGAGTCTCACAGGGACTTTTCTTCCCAGGCTGGTTTTGAACCATGATCCTCAGATCTCAGCTTCCTGAGTAGCATCTTTACCTTTGCCCTTTGGATGTCTTCGTAATACTTAGTAATACTGGAAAAAAGAAACTCAGAAGGAAATTGCTTAATGAATCTTTACTATATAGCTGGTGTGTGTGTGTGCGCGCGTGCGTGCGCACATGTGTGTGCTGGTCCTCCTGGGGCTTGAACTAAAGGCCTGGCCACTGTCCCTGACCTTTTTGGCTCAAAGCTAGTGCTTTCCCTTGAGCTACAGCTATTGGAGATAAGAGTTTCACAAACTTTCCTGCCCATGCTTGCTGTGAGCATTGTCCAACAGATTTTAGCCTCCTTATTTAGGGTTACAGGTATGAGCCATGGGCACCTGACTTTGTAGAGGTGATTTTTAAGAACCAATCAAGTTTCATATTTGAAACAGGTCACAGGCCTGAGCTTGGTCCCTTGTGTGCAGGGTTAGCACTCTCAGAAGCTCCTTGAGAGCCCTGTATCTTTACAGAAAAGGTATTCTCAGCTTTTATGCCTTTGTTAGGACCTGGAGCTGCATATTAATTGTGTCAGGTAGAAATAGATACAGGAAGTTGCTGAGTGCTGGTGGCTCATACCCATAATCCTAGCTACTCAGGAGGCTGAGATCTGAAGACTGTCTTTGATGCCAGCCTGTGCAGGAAAGTCAGTGAATCTTTTAATTCAGTTGACGAGCAAAAAGCCAAAGGTGGAGCTCTGGTTCAAGTGATACAGCACTACCCTGCTCAGAAAAGCTCAGGAATAGTGCCCAGTCCCTGAGTTTATTTTGTTTGTTGGTCATGGGGCTTGAATGATGGGCCTGGGCGCTGTCCCTCAGCTCAAGATGAGTGCCACAGTGCCACTTCTGGTTTTCTAGTGGTTTATTGTAGATAAGAGTCTCATGGGCCGGGTGCTGGTGGCTCATGCCTGTAATCCTAGCTATTCAGGAGGCTGAGATCTGAGGATCTTGGTTCAAAGCCAGCCTGGGCAGGAAAGTCTGTGAGACTTGAGCTGAAGAGTGCAGGGACAGCGCCCAAGCCCAGAGTTCAAGCCCCACAACTGACCAAAAAAAAAAAAAGTCTTATGGACTTTCCTGCCCGGGCTGGTTTTGACCCATGATCCTCAGATCTCAGCCTCCCAAGTAGTTAGGATTACAGACGTGAGCCACCAGTGCCGGGCTCCAGTCCCTGAGTTTAATCCCCAGGATTGTCACATGTGTGCGAGCACACATGTGTGTGAGTGCATGTGCATACATGCTCATGCACACACACACTCAAGACAGGAAGAAAGCGGTCTTCATTTGATCCTGCTTTTGTTTTGTGCATATACTTTTTTCTCTTAAAGCACTCTAATTTTATCCTTTTTTTTTTTTCCCTTAAGGGTTTGAGAAATTTTTTAAGAGGCGTGGAAGGAAAACAGATTCAGAAAATTCAACAGCTCCAAAGAAAGGTAAAACTGGCTGGGCGCTGGTGGCTCATGCCTGTAATCCTAGCTACTCAGGAGGCTGAGATCTGAGGATCACAGTTCAAAGCCAGACCGGGCAGGAAAATCCGTGAAACTCTTATCTCCAATAAACCACCAGAAAACTGGAAGTGGCGCTGTAGCTCAAGTGGTAGAGCACTAGCCTTGAGCTGAAGAGCTGAGGGATAGCGCTCAGGCCCAGAGTTCAAGCCCCACGACTGACCAAAAAAAAAAGAAAGGTAAAACTGAAGTTACATGTTTGAGTAATTCGAAAGCATTCTGTGTTCCTTGGGAAGTGACAAATAGGTATGCCTGGGTGTGTGAGGTTGACCTCATTGTGTATGAGTGCTGCTGCTTGTTCCCAAGTCATGCTTTTCTTTGTCTTTATCTTCATTTTTCAGTATTTTCTTTGCTTATTTGAATCTAAGCCTCAGTGAATCATCTTTTAAGTTGCTTAATGGTTTAGTTATGTGTACTTGGTTTTGGAATTGGTAAAGTCAGTATTTAAAAGATGTGTTTCTCTCCTGAAATTTATGAACATAAAATAGGAAGAAATACATAAAAGCATAGTGGGAGATATGGTGATATACCTTCCTGTGGATGGAAAATTTCTTTTTTAATTAATTTAATTTTTTATTGTGAAAATACTGTGCAGAGGGGTTACAGTTACATGTGGAAAATTTCTTAAAATTTGTCATGGGGCTTGAACTTAGGGTCTGGACACTGTCCCTTAGCTTTTTGCTCAAGGCTAGTGCTGTCCCACTTTGAGCCATAGCAGCACTTCCAGTTTTCAGGTGGTTAATTGGAGATAAAATTCCCATGGACTTTTCATTCTGGGCTGTCTTTGAACTGTAATGCTCTGAGTCTCAGCCTCCTGTGTAGCTAAGATTATAACTACGTGCCAACAGGCTTTCCTAATGCACTGGTTACAATTAGATGTCTGGATAGGGCTTTTTTTTTTTTTTTTTTTTTTTTTGCCAGTCCTGGGGCTTGAACTCAGCCTGGGCATTGCCCCTGAGCTCTACTACTTGAGCCACAGTGCCACTTCCAGCCTTTTCTGTGTATGTGGTACTGAGGAATTGAACCCAGGGCTTCATGAATGCTAGGCAAGCACTCTACCATTAAGCCACATTCCCAGCCCTCTGGATAGGTTTTATTTATGTATTTAATTTGTTTTAGGAGAATTAAACTCTGCCTTAGAGCAGGTAGACATACATGGTTCTCTTGTGAAGGCACTCTGCCTCATTTTTTTCTTTTTTCTTTTCCTTTATTACAGCTATGGTATCCTTAGCAAAAAGAGAGGAGGTGGGGGAGGAGATTAAAGCTTAAGTCCAAAGCCAACAAGATGAAATTTGAGAGATTTTAGGTGTGTCTGGAGATACTTCTCAGATATGTCCTAGCCTCTTTTCACCTCTTTATTTCCAAAAGGTTACATACTAATTACATTTTTATGTTGGAAAATGTGTTTCTGTTCTTGAAATTCTTGTTCTCTGTAAAATTATATAGAACTACTTTGTGAAGTAAGACTTTATTTTTTCTTAGAAACCGGTGAATCAAAGAATGCTGGCCCTGGAACAGATGGAAGCAAGAGAGGAAGTATGCAGGATGACTTTACCTGGTGGAAACGGATACAGAAGGTTTGTGTGCATCTAAGGATCAGAACCAGATATCCTGTCACTTCTCCAGAATATGCACTAGCTGCAGAGCTGAGGCTCTGTTTTATTTACATTTTAATCTGTTCCTGTTGCTATAACAAAATACATAAATAGAAATAAACAGCATGAGGTAAAATGATCAAATCTTCTGTACGTTTATGCAGTGAAACCCATTGTGGGACCCCTTTGAACAATTAATAAACATTAATTAAAAAGAACCAGCATATGAGGCACCAGTGGCTCAAGCCTGTAGTCTTAGCTATTTTAGATGTTGAGATCTGAGGAGCCAGTCCAGGCAAACAACTCTGAAAGGCAGTTATATGTAATTAACCAGCAAAAAGGTGGGGCCAGCAAGAAGTGGGAACTGGTGGCATGGCTCAAGTATTAGAGTACCAGCCATGAACAAAGAAACTGAGTGAAGCATGAGGCCCTAAGTCTAAGCCCCAACACTGGCATACATGCACACAAAAAAATAGCATACAATTATGCTGGAAAGTGGACAATCAAGGTGTCAGCAGGCATAGTGTTTTAAAAGGACTTGGCCTGACTTAATATAGTAAAGATGGTAATACTTCCAAAACTAATATACAAATTCAATGCAATTCCTATTAAAATCCCAATGACGTACATCACTGAAATACAGAAAACAGTCCAAAAATTTATATGGAACAACAAAAGACCTAGAATAGCCAAAACAATTCTAGGGGATAAAGACAATATGGGAGGGCTATCCATGCCGAACTTCAAACTCTACTACAGAGCTATAATCACAAAGACAGCATGGTACTGGCACAAAAACAGACCCGAAGACCAATGGAACAGAATAGAAGATCCAGATATAAATCCACAGGCCTACAGCCAGCTGATATTCGACAAAGGAGCCAAAGACATACAATGGAAGAAACACAGCCTCTTCAACCGCTGGTGCTGGGAAAACTGGGCAGCCACATGCAGAAAACTAAAAGTGGACCCCAGCCTATCACCATGCACCAACATCAACTCAAAATGGATTAAAGACCTTAACATTAAACCTGAATCTCTGAAACTACTACAGGACAGAGTAGGAGAGACACTTGAACTAATAGGCACAGGAAGGAACTTCCTGAACAGAGTCCCAGGGTCACAACAAGTTGGAGAGAGACTCGACAAATGGGACTACCTTAAAATAAAAAGCTTCTGCACAGCTAAATCTATCGCAACTAAGCTAGAAAGACAACCAACTAATTGGGAAAAAATATTTACCAGCAATATATCAGACAAGGGGTTAACATCCTGTATATACAGGGAACTCAAGAAACTAATCCCTCCCAAACCTAACAAACCAATTACTAAATGGGCAAGGGAACTAAAGAGGGACTTCTCAAATGAAGAAATAAAAATGGCAAAGAAACACATGAGGAAATGTTCATCATCCCTGGTGGTGAAGGAAATGCAAATAAAGACAACCCTGAGATACCACCTTACCCCAGTCAGAATGTCCCACATCCACAAATCAGCCAACGACAAATGCTGGAGGGGATGTGGAGAAAGAGGAACCCTGTTACACTGCTGGTGGGAATGTACACTTATGCAACCACTTTGGAAAGCAGTCTGGAGGGTCCTTAGAAAGCTAAAGATTGACCTCCCTTACGACCCAGTCATACCACTTCTAGGCATCTACCCTGAACAACAGGAACCAATATACAAGGACACGTGCACCTCCATGTTTATTGCAGCACTGTTCGCAATAGCCAGGATATGGAAACAACCTAGATGCCCCACCACAGATGAATGGATCCAAAAATTGTATCTATACACAATGGAATATTATGCAGCCATTAGAACTGACAAAATAATGGCAATTGCAGGGAAATGGATGGAGCTAGAAGGAATCATGTTGAGCGAGGTAAGCCAAGAACGAAGAGACAAATGGTACATGGTCTCCCTGATAAATGGATGCTAAATCCAAAAGGTTAGGTGATACGATAAAACTAACAGGACTTAAGAAACAAAGAACTCCCGCTCATCTGGTTGAACCACTACTAAATATCCCCATGCTGCTGATCACAAATATGGTATATAACATGTGAACACTGTTATATATTACAGACTGTGGTAGACAATTTGCTCCAGGGAAGTTAGAATGAACTTGTGACTTTGAAATTATGTAATCATTTAATCACAATCAAAAAAAAAAAAAAAAAAGAACCTCGGGGAAGGGAGGGAGGGAGGGGATGGTAGGGGGAAAACAATGGAGGGGGTAACAATGTTCAAGAGGAAGTGTACTCATAACCTCACTCATGTAACTGTTACCCTCTGTATAGTAGCTTTACAATAAAAAAAAAAAGAAAAAAAAAAAAAAAAGGACTTGGCCTGCTACCTCCTCCAGAAAGGCCAATATTGTGTCTTCACATGGTGGGAAGACAGACTATTCTGTCATGGAGATGGAGCCCTCATAACAATCAAGGTGTCCAAGGATTCCCTTCTTTCTTTGTATGTGTTTGCTCGTACTGGGGCTTGAACAGAGGACCTCGAGCTATTGATTGTCTTTTTTGTTCAAGGTTGGTGCTCTATCCCTGCTTCCAGTATTTTGGTGGATAAATTGGAAATAAGAGTCTCAAAGTCTTTTCTTCCTGTGCTGGCTCAAAGCCACAGACCTCAGATCTCAGTCTTTTGAGTAGCTGGGATTATAGGTGTGAGCCACCAGTTCCTGGCTTCAATGGGGACCCTTAATGCCATTACTGTAGTAAAGTTCCAATATGAGTTTTGGAGGGACAGGTAACATTCAAGCTATGCAGTCTCTGCCTATTTAGGGCCGAGCTAGTGGATTAGTTCAAAGATGCTAAGACATTAATTGATTAAAATGCATGGAGATTTCTGTCTGAATTGTCAGAGACCCAGTTAAGAGAAGCCTAACTTGGCAATACCAGGGACAGACTCTTTACGAGTTTTCTGCTTCTCCTGGGGTATATACTGAGGTGTAGGTTTAGTGTATGCTTGTACATCATATAAATGTTTTTGCCTCCTGAGATGAATTATTTGGCTTCACTCTACTTTTGTCTTTCAGGAAAGGATGGTTTGGAGACTTCTCTGATACCATATGAAAAGAGAATGTCTTTTTTTTTTTTTTTTTTGGTTGGTCATGGGACTTGAACTCTGGGCCTGGTGCTGTCCCTTGTGCTCTTCAGCTCAAGGCTAGCACTCTACCATTTGAGCCACAGCGCCACTTCCATTTTCTAGTGGTTTATTGGAGATAAGAGTCTCATGGACTTTCCTGCCCAGGCTGGCTTTGAACCATGATCCTCAGATCTCACCCTCCCAAGTAACTAGGATTACAGTTGTGAGCCACCAACACCTGGCTTCTTTTTTCTTTTTTAATCTTTTTCGTGCTGGTACTGGAATTTAAACTCAAGACCTGGGTACTGTCCCTGTACTTTTTTGCTCAAGGCTCACATTCTACCACTTGAGCCATAGCTCCATTTCTAGCTTTTTGGTAGTTAATTGGAGATAAGAGTCTCATGGACTTTCCTGGTGGGACTAGCTTCTAACCATGATCTTCAGATCTCAACTTCTTTTTGTTGTTGTTGGTGGTGGTGGTCATGGGGCCTGAACTCTGGGTCTGGGCGATGTTCCTCAGCTCTTCAGCTCAAAGCAAGCACTCTCCCACTTGAGCCACAGTGCCACTTCCAGCTTTTTCTGCTGATGTGCTGAGGAATGGAACCCAGAGCCTCATGTATGCAAGGCAAGCAGTCTACTATTGAGCTACCTTCCCAGCCCTTGGCTTCTTGAATAGCTAGGGTTACAAGTATGAGCTATGACTACCTGGCATAAATAACTATTTTCATTAAGAAAACACCCTAGGTTTCAGAGTATGACTCAGTGCAGTGTGTTTATCTAGCAAATTCAAGGCACTGGGTTCAGTTTCCAACACTGAAGGGAAAAGAAAGAAAAGAAACTATCATTTAACTAGAAAAAGTGTTACCTTTTCTTCCACAGGGAGAATTACCCTGGGATGACAAAGATTTCCGAAATCTGGCCCTTTTGGGGGCAGGTGTTGCTGCGGGACTTTTCTACTTCTACTTTCAAGAGCACGGAAAAGAGATCACCTGGAAACACTTTGTACAATATTACCTGTCCAGAGGTCTGGTGAGGGGACTTACAATCTATCAGCAAAGAGGGTATTGTGTTGCTATGCTCTTGAAGGAGGCTAAATATGCCCTAGAGAGGCTATGAGCTCTTGGCTGAGAGTCAGTCCATTGTACAGTTGATGTTCTGAGCAGACCACTGTAGGATATGGCCTACACAGTTTACTTTTCTATGAGTTACCCCAGCAGAACGGTGCTGGTTGCAAGCTACTTTCACGTCATGGCTAACTTTCTTCCCTTTTTTTCTTTTTTGTGGTTACTCCCTCCTCTCTCCCTAGTAAGGCTTGAACTCAGGCTCTTGTACTTGTTGCTCACAGCTGGTGCTCTGCCACTTGGTATTTGCTTGGTAATTGGAGCTGGAGTCTGTTAGGTTTCTAAGCTAGTTTAAAATGGTGCTACCAGATGTACCAAGTTTTAGAAGCTTTTCTTACTTTGGTTTTTTTTTTTTTTTTTTGTCAGTCATGGGGCTTGAACTCTGGGCCTGGGTGCTGTCCCTGCCCACTTCAGCTCAAAGCGAGCACTCTGTCACTGGAGCCACAGCCCCACCTCTGGTTTTCTAGTGGTTTATTGGAGATAAGAGTCTCATGGACTTTCCTGCCCGGCTGGCTTTGAAACTCGATCTTTAGATCTCAGCCTCCTGAGTAGTTAGGATTACAGGTGTGAGCCACTGGCACCCGGGTCGGTTCTTATTTATTTATAATGGAAATAACTTCATACCCAGGCTAAAATGTCTAAGATAGTAAGAAAACAAAAGTTGGACTGGGCTGCACAGGGTATGCAGGTAAGCTTGTGGCTGCACTGGTTTACTTGAGTATCCTGCTTATTTCCTTAGTTGTTCAGATCACTTCTCTATTTTTACTAGGTGGACCAGCTAGAAGTTGTGAACAAGCAATTTGTGCGTGTTATTCCTGCTCCTGGGACAACTTCTGAGGTGAGGGGTGGGTTTAAGGCCAAGTATTCCAGATATAGGTTTTGTTTTTTGTTTTTGTTTTTGGTCCGGTCGTGGGCCTGAACTCTGGGCCTGGGTGCTGTCCCTCAGCTCTTCACCTCAAGGCTAGCGCTCTACTATTTGAGCCACAGCGCCACTTCTGGTTTTCTAGTGGTTTATTGGAGATAAGAGTCTCACAGACTTTCCTGCCCGGACTGGCGTTGAACCATGATCCTCAGATCTCATCCTCCTGAGTAGCTAGGATTACAGGCGTGAGCTACTGGCGCCCGACTCAACAGTCCCTGTTAATGTGATAATTTATCTGGTTGACCTGTATTAATACTACTGTAAAGCTGGACACCGGTGGTTCATGCCTGCAATCCTAGCTACTCAGGAGGCTGAGATCTAAAGATCACAATTCAAAGCCAGCCCAGGCAGGAAAGTCCGTGAGACTCTTATCTCCAATAAACCACTAGAAAACCAGAAGTGGCTCTGTGGCTCAAGCAGTAGAGTGCTTGCTTTGAGCTGAAGTACTCAGGGACAGTACCCAGGCCCTGAGTTCAAGCCCCATGACTGACAAAAAAAAAAAGAAAATACTACTGTATGATTAGTAGAGCAGGAGCCCTTTAAAGACTAAACTGTCATTGTCAAGTAACGTATGAGAACTACTTGCCAAGATTTGAAGGATAGAACATTGAAGAGACAAAAGAAGGAAATGGAAAACATTGGCAGTTGCCGCTAGAATTGAGAACATGCAGTTTAAGTAAGGCCAGGACCAAAGGAGCCTCTGCTATTTGCGTAGTTAGCCTACTATCTCAGGGAAAGAGGCTTTGCTGGAAGAGGAGTCAGTAAACAAGAACTCAGGCTGTGGACTGGGGTGCGTGTGAGGGTGATTCTCCATGGGAGACAGTGGTGTGGCTTAAACTTGCTTTGGTCTCTGCAGAAGTTCGTATGGTTTAACATCGGCAGTGTTGACACCTTTGAACGTAACCTGGAGTCTGCTCAGTGGGAGCTGGGAATTGAGCCCACCAACCAGGTCACAGTGGTCTATACTACTGAAAGTGATGGGTGAGTGTTCGAACCTCTGATGCTGAGCATAAAATAAGATTCAGTGTTATGCCGGTCATAAGCCATAGTTCTACTTCTGGCTTAATTTTTTTTTTTATTATCATGATTAAGGTGTTGTACAGAGGGGCTACAATTTCATAAGTCAGGTAATGAGTACATTTCCTTTTTTTGGACAATGTTACCTTTTTCTTTTCACTTTTTTTTTTTTAATGAAGACTCGCACTGATTTTCCTGCCTACGCTGGCTTTGAATTATGATCTCAGATCTCAGCCCCCTGAGTAGCTAGGCAGTTCCTTTTTTTTTTTCTTTTGGTCTCGGGACGTGAACTCAGAGCCTAGGTGCTATTCCTGAGCTTTTTTGCCCAAGTCTAGCACTCTACTACTTTGAGTCACTGCACCATTTCCGTTTTTCTGACACTTAATTAGAGATAAGAATCACGTGGACTTTCCTAGCCTGGGGTGGCTTCAAACTGTAGATCTCAGCCTCCTGAGTAGCTTGGGTTACAGGCATGAGTTACTAGCACCCAGTTTTCCTTTTGTTTTTGAGATGGAGTCTCATTATGTTTCTCAGGCTGTTATTCAGTCTCCAGGTTTAAGTGATCCTCCTGTCTCAGCCTCCCAGTAGCTTGGACCATAGGTATTTGTTATGGCCATGGTTTGCATCTGTTTGTTGAGAAGAGAATTAGAGCAGGGAAATTGTTTGCTGAGCAACCTTAAAACATTGTTAGATGGGCTACGGGCCAGTGGCTCACACCTTTTTGCTTATTAAGCAGCAAAAAGCTAGAGGTTGAGCTTTGGCTAAAGTCTTAGCCTTGAGCACAAAGCTCAGGGGCAGCACCTAGGCACTGTGTTCAATCCCCAGGACTGGTGTCCGAGTGTGTACATACCTCCTCCTCCCAACTGTTACATGGGAAAAAGAAATCAAAGAGATGTTAATTATTGATAAAATCCTGATAGCATGGTTTCCCGAAGCATTTTAGAAAGGCATATGTCACTATGTTAGTTCTTTTTGGATGTAGTCCACTCCCAATTCCTGCAGACCTACTGACTCAACGTGCCAAAAAGTGGGGCTCAGGCACATTACTGGGACTCTCCTTGTACTCTGCATACTTACATAATACTTGTCAGGCACACTTTCCACAATGCTCACATCAATTCTCTGAATTTGTGCATCACAGTATCCTCCTGATAAAAATTGTATATTACGGGTTTCAGAGGAAATACCAGATTAACTACTCAATGAATATCCTAGGCCCCAGACAGTATTGAAGTCAACTTGTTAAGCTTGGAGACTGCTCTTATATTTACGGTATGAGATACCATTGCTCTGCCTTCTTGACCCTGAATCAGGAGGGTACAGGCTGAATACCAGCTTTAGCCAGGATGGTTGTAAAGAATGGGGATCCTGGCTGGGAATGTGGCTCAGTGGTAGAGTGTTTGCCCAGCATGCATGAAGCCCTTTGATTCCTTAATATCACATAAACAGAAAAAGCCAGAAGTAGTACTGTGGCTCAGGTGGTAGAGTGCTAGCCTTGAGCACAGGGCTCAGGCAGTGCCCAGGCCTTGAGTTTAAGCCCCAGAACTGGCACAAAAAAAGAAAAGAAAAAAAATGGGGGGCTGAGAAGGTGGCTCAGTGGTAGAGTGCTTGCCTTGCATGCATGAGGCCCTGGGTTCGATTCCTCAGCACCACATAAGCAAAAAAAAAAAAAAAGCCGGAAGTGGTGCTGTGGCTCAAGTGGTAGAGAGCTCACCTTGAGCTGAAGAGCTGAGGGACAGCGCCCAGGCCCAGAGTTCAGGCCTATGACTGACAAAAAAGAAAAAAAAGAAAAAGAAAATGGGGATCCTGATGTCTTAATTTTTTCAGTTTCTAGACCAATATTTAAAAGTAGGGTGGAGATTGTAGTGGGAGTGAGAGTCTCTTAGTACATTTTTCTAGTGTAACAATACCATAAACTGGGTAATTTATAAAGAAAGGAAATTGATTTCTCACAGTCTGGGAGCTCCAAGATTGAAGGGCTACATCTGGTCAGGACCTTCTTGCTGCCTCATAACATGATGTAAAGATGTAAGTCACAGCCGGGTGCCGGTGGCTCACGCCTGTAATCCTAGCTACTCAGGAGGCTGAGATCTGAGGATTGCGATTCAAAGCCAGCCCGGACAGGAAAGTCCGTGAGACTCTTATCTCCAATAAACCACTAGAAAACCGGAAGTGGCGCTGTGGCTCAAGTGGTAGAGCACTCGCCTTGAGCTGAAGAGCTCAGGGATAGCGCCCAAGCCCAGAGTTCAAGCCCCATGACTGACCAAAAAAAAAAACGTGTAAGTCACATGGCTGGGGAGAGAAGAGAGAGAAGGAAAGTAGGGGCAAGCCTGAACTCTCCCTTTTTGTAAATGACTTCCTGAGAACTAAGCTGACCTCAGTCTGTTTATTAGCATTGAGCCTTCATAGTCTAATCACCTCTAAAAGCCCTATTTGTACTATTACAGTAGCAGTTAATTCAGTATGAGGTTTTTTTTTTTGGTCAGTCCTGAGGCTTGAACTCTGGGCCTGAGCTCTGTCCCTTAACTCTTCAGCTCAAGGCTAGTGCTCTGCCACTTCCGGTTTTCTGGTGCTTTATTGGAGATAAGAGTTTCACTTACTTTCCTGCCTGGGCTGGCTTTGAACTGTGATCCTCAGATCTCAGCCTCCTGAGTAGCTAGGATTACAGGCATGAGCCACCAGTGCCCGGCTTAGTATGAGTTTTTGAGGGGAATCTTCCAACCACAGCAGTTCTGGGGACAAATTTGCAGAGTTCTAGTGGTAAGGCCTGAAATACTTAGAGCCTCCTACAGGAGCCCTGAATGTCTCTGGGTTGTTATTTACTTTGGGTTACTGAGTTTCCAAGAATACTAGTTGTGTGAGGGGAATTGAAGGTTTGGCCTAGGGACTGGAAGTGATGAGAGTCACCTGGGTCACCTCAGCTCCACAGTGCCATGGGAACTCCCTCTTTTGCTGATGTGCCCATAAGATTGGGAATCAAGTCCATTTTCATGTGTGGAGTAAAAGATAAAATAGGACGAGATTCAGCTGAAATAGAAGATGTGCTGTGAAAAGATGGAGGCTGTGCTGGGTTTGGAGGGCTCACGAGGGGGGAGGAGTAGGTGTGACAAAGTCTGGGTCAGGGCTACTGGTCATAGGCTTGGATTATTAGCCTCCTCTTGACCTGCCAAGCCTCCTGAAGGGTGGGCTGGGACAGAGAGAACTGACTATGAGTAGACTCGGACACATTTTGGAAAGGAAGTTTCCCCTTCTGTGTGGTGAGCTTTCTGAAGCATTTTTCTTTTCCTAGCTGATGGTGGTACTTCTTACCTCTCTTCAGAAATAACCTGATGAGTGGTTTTCTGTGATGTTACAGGTCTTTCCTGCGAAGCCTGGTACCCAGCCTAGTACTGGTTGGTATCCTCCTGTATGCTGTGAGGAGGGGCCCGATGCGGGCTGGGCGTGGTGGGCGAGGAGTGGGCCTCTTCAGTGTCGGTGAGACAACAGCCAAGATCTTAAAGAACAGCGTGAATGTGCGATTTGCAGATGTCGCTGGCTGCGAAGAGGCCAAGTTGGAGGTTATGGAGTTTGTGAATTTCTTAAAGAACCCTAAGCAGTATCAGGACTTGGGGGCCAGAATTCCAAAGGTGCTGACTTGAGAAATTCTTGACATACTTAATTTTTTGTCCTGACTGTGTTTTAATTTGTTTTGCAGCCCATACTAGGGTCTAAACTCAGGATCTCTTGCTCTCACTCAGCTTTTTTATTCCCTGATTGCACTATAACACTTGAGCTTTTCACTGGCTAATTGGACATGAGAATCTCACAGTTCTAGCTTTTTGCTGGTTAATTGAACATAAGAATCTCACAGATTTGTCTGTTCTGGCTGGCTGTAAACTTTGATTCTCAAATGACAGTAGTTAGGATTATAGGCAAGAGCCACTGGTACTAGCATTTTAATAATTTATTAACCACAGTGGAATATGGAAATCGCATCTGTAGAGAAAAGTGAGATTCATCTTATGTGTTGAACTTGAGACTACAATTCTTAAAATTCTTTAAAATTAAGTATGAAATTGTAGACATAAAAATACATGCTCCTCAGAAGTGTGTTTATTTATATATTTATTTATTTAATATATTTTTTGGTCGGTCATGGGGCTTGAACTCTGGGCTTGGGTGCTGTCCCTGCACTCATCAGCTCAAGGCAAGCGCTCTTCCACTTGAGCCACAACACCACTTGTGGTTTTCTGAGTGGTTTATTGGAGATAAGAGTCTCATGGAGGGGCTGGGAAGGTGGCTCAGTGGTAGAGTGCTTGCCCTGCATGCATGAGGCCCTGAGTTCGATTCCTTAGCACCACATAAGCAAAAAGAAAAAAGCTGGAAGTGGCGCTGTGGCTCAAGTGGTAGAGCGCTAGCCTTGAGCTGAAGGGCTGAGGGGCAGTGCCCAGGCCCAGAGTTCAGGCCCCACGACCAGAACTAAAAAAAAAAAAAAAAGAGTCTCATGGATTTCCTGCCCAGGGTTGACTTTGAACCGAGATCCTTAGATCTCACCTTCCTGAGAAGCTAGGATTATAGGTGTGAGCTACCGGCGCCCAGCCTGGGGCTTTCATTTTCTGTGCTATGTCTTTAATGAGTGTCTGTATTCAATGTATATTAATTTTATAAGCAGGAAAGACTCTAGGTTATAAGACTGATGGGTTTAATGTGATTCTTTTTTATTTTATTTTTTTGGTGCCTGCCCTGGGGCTTGAACTCAGGACCTGGGCACTGTCTCTGAGCTGTTTTGCTAACACTCTATCACTTGTACCTCAGTTCCACATCTGGCTTTTTGCTGTTTAATTGGAGAGTCTCATGAACTTTCCTGTCTTAGCTTTCTTTAAAATGTGATCTTCACTTCTCAGCCCAATGAGTAGCTATAATTGCCGGGGTGAGTTACCTTTGATGAGTTTTAATTGGACTCTTATTAGTTTACCCTAAGGTCACCTGTGGAAGTGAACATTTCTAGTCACATGTAAGTGGAAATCAGGACTTACTCTCCATGTGCCTTATGTCCCCATTGAGTGTTAAGTGTGCCTTTTCTCTTGCAGGGAGCCATGCTTACTGGCCCGCCTGGTACTGGCAAAACGCTTCTTGCGAAAGCCACTGCAGGAGAGGCCAGTGTGCCCTTCATCACTGTGAATGGGTCAGAGTTCCTGGAAATGTTTGTTGGAGTCGGTCCAGCAAGGGTAGGTGGATGGCTGGCTGGCCACAGAATGTGTCACACACTTACTGGCCACTTTGTGTAGTTCCAGGTTTTGTGTGGGATCTGGATGAGTCTTCCTTTTGAGAGATGCTGCTTTTCCAGAGGGAGGGTAAGCTGTTACTGCTGCCTGTTGATTGGCATGTACATGGATTCCTCTTCCAGGTTCGTGACATGTTTGCAATGGCTCGAAAAAATGCACCTTGTATCTTATTCATTGATGAGATTGATGCTATTGGACGGAAGCGAGGCCGAGGGCACCTGGGAGGCCAGAGTGAGCAGGAGAACACACTGAACCAGATGCTTGTGGAGATGGATGGTAAGTGGACATTGTAGTTGCTCTGTGCTTCTGGCCTTGTCCATAGGTGTTCAACTTTGCAAGAATTACCTTGGCACAAAGTCATGTGATTCCTCACTAGCTTTTGTCTCCTCCTACAACACTCCCAGTTGTTCCCTTCTTAAAGAAGGCTACTCTTAGGCAAACATGGACAGTGTTGAATTTCTAATCACCTCACTGTGAAAAGCAGGTGAAACATGTGCATTCACCTGCCTTCTAGCAGGAAGTAAGTTACCTGGCGTGAAATCATCCTTGCTTTGAGGAGGGAGCACAATCTGATGCTAATTAGTGCTCCTGATGGTGCACCCAGGATGGAGTGAACAGTACTCTGCTCCTTAAGGAGCATAGTTTTTGTCCTACTACCTCAGAGTAATTCTAGATAAATTATGCCTTCATAGGATGTATCTAGGTATTTATACTAGTGTATAAATCTGGAAATGATACCACTGACCCTTTGACAGAATTTATTAATCTCTTTGGTTTCAGGGTTGTATTGAGATCCCTTACACCTTCCCAGGTTTTAATTTTGTCAGAAGTTATAGGATCAGCTTGCAGTTGTACTTAGCTGTGTTCCATAAAACTAGTCAAAGGGGACAGCACACAGGGAGACCTGGTATAGCTTTTGAAATGATCCATCCCAGTAATGAGCGGTGACAATATATGTTAGGGTATGTTGATCAGAAGGCTCATGACAGACTCAGTTTCCCTGTGCTTTCACTGGGAGCTGATCACTGAAGGCATGCCTCATATTCCAGATTCCCAGGAGAAAGGCAGGTGGTCTGTGTGAGCTGTGTTATTTGCACAGACAGGTTGTTTAGAGGGGAGGCTCTGTGGTGAACGTGGATCACAGCTCCCCAGATTTCAAGTAAGAGCAGCCACTCAGAAATAGGCCTTTCTGGGTGGGGAAGGTGGCTCAGCAGTAGAGTGCTTCCCTTGCATGCATGTGGCCCTGGGTTTGATTCCTCAGCACCACATAAGCAGAAAAAGCCAGAAATGGTGCTTTGGCTCAATTGGTAGGGTGCTAGCCTTGAGCTAAAGAGCTGAGGGTCAGTGCCCAGGCCCAGAGTTCAGGCCCCATGACCAACAGAAAAAAAAGAAATAGGCCTTTCTGGGGACATCTCGAACCTGCTGTTAGAGACACTTCTATACTAGCTTGAGTCATCTTCCAACTCCTCTATCGTCTTTAGTACCCTACAGTATACATAATTAGGTTATTACTGTGTTCTCTTCTGGAGTGGAAACAGTGGTAAGGAGAGGGAGGCAGGCACCTAGCCACTGTCTCTGTGCATTTCCTTAGGTGAGTGTCCCTGTTCTCTGCATAGTCCCCTGTCTGTCCCATCTGGCTGTTTTCCCTGGACCCTGCAAGCCCACAAGAATGTGGGTGGTTGGAACCATTGAACACTGCAAGAGCAGAGGAAGTACTATGTGGTATAAGGCTAGCAGGAATCACTTGTGTATCAGGGTAGAGGCTGTGCCCTGGGACTCAGCTGTTACTCTAGTCCCAGGCTGTGGAGTTCTGCATCAGCCACAGAAGGTCTGATTTCCTTCTGTTTATACAGAAGGGAATAGTGAGAGCTATGAACCAGAGATCATGCCTCTGTAGGTTGAATCTCCCTGGCCAGAGCAGCTGGGCAGGGTCTCATGCCTGCTTCATGACCTTTGAAGTGGGGTCAGCACAGGGAGGCAGGGCTGGTATGCACCTGACCTGCAAGGAGATACTGGTGTCTGTCTGGGCTTTCCTTGGGTTTCCTTGCTTCTTTTTTTGTTCAGGGTTTAATTCCACCACCAATGTGGTGGTGCTGGCTGGCACCAACCGCCCTGATATCCTTGACCCAGCCTTGACACGGCCCGGCCGGTTTGATCGCCAGATATATATTGGTGAGTTGAGTGCATTGTGCTTAAATGTTCATGTTTGGGCCCCAACTCTGAGATTAAAAGTTTGGGAAGAACATTGTTTATGTATTTCTGGGAGATTTTGATGGAACATCTGAAGTAATGAGCACAACGTTGTAGCTGGACGCCATTGGCTCACGCCTGTAATCCTAGCTACTCAGGAGGCTGAGATCTGAGGATTGCTGTTCAAAGCCAGCCCGGGCAGGAAAGTACGTTAGACTCTTATCTCAATAAAAACCACTAGAAAACCAGAAGTGGCGCTGTGGCCCAAGTGCTAGAGTGCTCACCGTGATCTGAAGAGCTGAGGGACAGCGCCCAAGCCCAGAGTTCAAGCCCCACAACTGACCAAAAAATAAATGAACACAACGTTGTGAAAAGATAGAGATGCCCAAACTACCCATGTTGCTACTGGACTCTGCCTCCTGCGAATAACAGGTACTACAGTTGAGTCCTGTCACAATGTTGCTGCAGTGCATACATGTGGGAATGGAGCAGCAGATTTGTTTCCTCCAGGGTTTATTTTCATTTAATTTTACAGAAACTTGATGGTTTAAAAATCTGGAATTTGTTCCTTATCCTTCTCCTATATGGTCAGCCATCTTCTCTTTCCCTGATGTTTTCCTATCAGAACACCTTGGTCCTGTGTGAACAGCCCTTGCTGTTCAAAACAGTGTTGTATTGCTTGCTCTTGGTTCTCATGGCCCTAGGAGTGGACTTAATATCGGTTAAGTCATCAGGAAACATTTCAGTGTGCTATACAGTCCAGCTCATGTACTCTTTGGGCTGCGTTGCCATTGAGCTCTGACTCTGGTCAGGTAGTGGTCAGGTGGTGATACCAGGGAGCTCTGCTAGCTATCCTTGTAGTTTTCTGAAGTGGTGGGGCTGGAGGATGACACCCTGTTCCGAAGGCCCAGAGAGGAGAGATCTGTGTGTCCCTTTTTCTTTATTAGGTCCCCCTGACATCAAAGGTAGGTCCTCTATCTTCAAGGTCCACCTTCGTCCACTCAAGCTGGATGAGACCCTTAGTAAGAATGTCCTAGCGAGGAAGCTGGCAGCTCTCACTCCAGGCTTCACTGGTAAGTTGCTGTGCTCCATACCTTAACAGGGGCTAAAGATACTCAGCTGTGTGCAGTTAATATGTGATTGCTGTGGCTACCCATTTGGTACTGGATACTTCCTGCCCTGTAGGACCTTGAACCTCCCGAGCTCTTTCAGAGGCCTCAGAGGCCTTGGCCTAATGTCTATTTGTGTTTTTTTTTTTCTCTGTCACTCTTTCTGTCTATCTGTGTCTCCCCCCCCCTTTTTTTTTTTTTTTTTGCTTGGGACTGGGGTTTGATCTCAGTGCCTTATACTTGCTCAGCTGGCACTCTACCACTTGAGCCACACCTCTAACCCCTACAGTCTGTTTGTACCCATTTGATTTTCTGTTTTAATTCTGTTCTGACTTAGTCTTTACTGCAGAGACCAAAAATAACATCTGGGGAAGGGATGAGACTCTTATCTCCAATTAACCACTCAAAAAACCAGAAGTAGAGCTGTGGCTCAAAGTGGTAGAGCTCTAGCCTTAAGCACAGTGAGGTTCAGGAACAGTAGTTAGGCCCTGAGTTCAAGGCTTACAACCAATTACAACAATAACAACAAAAAGGAAATATGAAAACATAAGAAAATTTTAAAAGACTGAATGAATTTTTTACTAGTATACTTGCCTTACAAGAAAAGCTGAATACAAGAAAAAGAGAAGGGCTGGGTACTGGTGGTCACGCTTGTAATCCTAGCTACTCAGAAGGCTAAGATCTGAGGATCATGGTTCCAAGCCCGCTCGAGCAGGAAAGTCCATGAGACTCTTATCTCCAATAAATCACCAGAAAACTGGAAGTGGTGCTGTGGCTCAAGTGGTAGCGTGCTTACTTTGAGCTGAAGAGCTGAGGGACAGCACCCAGGCCCAGAGTTTAAGCCCCATGACTAACAAAAAGAAAAGAAAAGAAAAAGAAATGCTGGATTTGGGCTGGGAATGTGGCTTGGTGGTGGAGTGCTTGCCATACATGCATGAAGCCCTAGGTTCAATTCCTTAGTACCACATACACAGAAAAAGCCTGAAGTGGTGCTGTGACTCAAGTGGTAGAGTGCTACCTTGAGTCAAAGAAGCTCAGGGACAGCGCTCAGGCCCTGGGTTCAAGCCCCAGGATTGGCAAAAAAAAAAAGTTTAATCACTGGGCACTGGGGCTTACATATAATCCTAACTACTTAAGAAGCTGAGATCTAAAGATAGTGGTTGGGCTGGGAAGGTGGTTCAGTGGTAGAGTGCTTGCCTTGCATGCATGAAGCCCTGGGTTCGATTCCCCATCACCACATAAGCAAAAAGAAAGCCGGAAGTGGCGCTGTGGCTCAAGTGGTAGAGCGCTAGCCTTGAGCTGAAGAGCTGAGGGACAGCGCCCAGGCTCAGAGTTCAGGCCCCACGACTGGACCCAAAAAAATAAAAATAAAAAATAAAGATAGTGGTTAAAGCCAGCCCAGGCAGGGAAAGTCTATGAGACAAGGTTACTGTACTACCCTGTACTTTCCCCTCACCCTTTCTTTTCTTCCCCTTCTCCTCCCCCTGCCCTGCCCTGCCTGCCCTCCCTCCTTTCCTTTCCCTTCCCTTCCCTTTTCTCTTCCCTTTTCCTTTCCTTTCGCCCTTTGCCTTTTGCCTTTGCCTTTCCTATTGTGGGACTTGAATGCAGGGCCTGGGAGCTGTTCCTGAGGTTTTCTGCTCAATCCTACCCCTCTATGACTTTGAGCCACAGCTCCTCTTTCTGTTCTCTGGTGGCTAATTGGAGATAAAGAGTCTCACAGACTTGCTTCAAACATGACCCTCAGAACTTAACCTCCTGAATGGCTAGAATCCGTGAGTAACCCCTGGTTAGCACCACCCTCACCCTGTGCTTTCAAGAAAATTGAAAACATGTTCAGATTTCTGCATGCATGTTCACAGCATGTTTTATTTTTTAGTTTATGTGCTGGGCTTAAACTCAGGGCTTGTCTCACTAGATTGTGGCAAGAGTTGACATTTGTTGAAGAAAATCAGTATTCTTTTTTTTTTTTTTTTTTTTTGCCAGTTCTGGGCTTGAACTCAGGGCCTGGGTGCCATCCCTGAGCTTCTTTTGCTCAAGGCTAGCACTCTACCACTTGAGCCACAGCGCCACTTCCAGCTTTTTGTGTATGTGGTGAGGAATTGAACCCAGGGCTTCATACTTGCTAGGCAAGCACTTTACCACTAAGCCACTTTTCCAGCTTGAAAAAAATCAGTGTTCTTCAATGCTGTATGAATTATTCCTCAGTAAAGTTGTGTAACCAGAAAGTTTGGCTAAAATTAATGGTGACTAATGAAGCAGTTCCTATTCTCTGTTCCCTGCTGAAGTTTATTTATTTTTTTATTTTTTTGGGGTCCAGTCGTGGGGCCTGAACTGTGGGCCTGGGCGCTGTCCCTCAGCTCTTCAGCTCAAGGCTAGCGCTCTACCACTTGAGCCACAGCGCCACTTCTGGCTTTTTTCTTTTTGCTTATGTGGTGCTGAGGAATCGAACCCAGGGCCTCATGCGTGTAAGGCAAGCGCTCTACCACTGAGCCACCTTCCCAGCCCCCCCTGCTGAAGTTTAAAGATTTCCCCTTCACCAAACTGATCTGGTAGAACACTGATGTCTAGGAGTACTAACTTGGCTGCTTCTCTTTTCCTGGGTCAGGTGCTGATATTTCTAATGTATGCAATGAAGCAGCTCTGATTGCAGCCCGCCATCTGAGCTCTTCTGTCCAGGAGCAGCACTTTGAGCAAGCCATTGAAAGGGTCATTGGAGGTAAGCTTGCAGGCATGTCTGAGCCTCACTTTTGCTATGGAAACATGGGCACTCCCAGCAGGCTTTGCTGCCTTCTAAGAGTTACATGCAGGCCGTTCAGAGGCCCTAGGAAACAGGAGAGTTACACTTGGCTATGTAAAGAACGGAAATTCTCCCAAAGGGAGGGTTGGGAGGGAGGAGGGGGGGCGCAGTTAGGGTGGAGGAACTGGGGCCAGTGGTATTTGTTAAAAAAGACCAGGAGTGTGTGGACCCTACTGACCCTGAGCCTTCTTAGTGTAGCACTGTTAACAGAATGAACATGGTTGAAGTTTCCTTTTGTATTGGTGGTACTGGGGCTTAAGGCAGTAGGTGAGCATTTCCTCATTTGAGCCTCACCTCCAGCCCATCTTGTATTCAGTTTGTAGATAGGGTCTCTCTCTCTCTCTCTCTTTTTTTTTTTTTTGCCTGGGCTGGGCATGTACCACAATCCTTCTTTCTATTAACTTATCCTGCGTATTGGGATGATTGGTGCCTGCAACTATGCCTGACTTACTTTGTTGAGATGGAGTTTCACTAATGTTTTGTCTGGGCTTGCATCAAACCTGGCTTGCTTCAAACCTAGGTCCTCTCAATCTCAGTGGTATTACAGATGTGAGCCAGAGTGCCTGTTGGTGCTTAAAAAAGAAAGAAAGAAAGAAACTACACACACACACACACACACACACACGTTATTACGAAGGTGTTGCACAAAGGCATCTTCATTCATAAGTCAGGTAATGAGTACAATTCTTTTTGGATAATGTCACCCCTTTTCTACCCCTTCTTTCACTTTTCCCTTCCTCACCCACAAGTTGTATAGTTCTTTGTTTTGTTTTGTTTTATGCTGGGGCTTGAACTCAGGGTCTGAGCACTGTCTTGAGCTTTTTTTTTTGCCAGTCATGGTGCCTGAACTCTGGGTCTGGGCACTGCCCCATAGCTCTTCAGCTCAAGGCTAGTGTTCTACCACTTGAGCCACAGCACCACTTCCAGTTTTTTCTGCTTGTGTGGTGCTGAGGAATCGAACCCAGGACCTCATGCATGCAAGGCAAGCGCTCTACCATTCAGCCACCTTCCCAGCCCCTGTCTTAAGCTTTTTTTGCTCAAGGGTAGTACTCTACCATTTGAGTCACAGCTCTGCTTCCAACCTTAGCTAGCTTCAAACCATTATCCTCAAATCTCAGTCTCCCAAGTAGCATGTGCTACTGGTGCCTGGCTTGCTTGGTCTCCTGGTTTTAGTCAGCAGCCTCTTTTAGCTTAGCTCTCAGTTGGGCCAGATAGGAGGGACCTGGAATCAGTGGCAGATTAGGGTCTCCTGCCACATCAGAAAATGTTAGATGTTGTATTGGATGGTTTAGGCTACTCCTATTGCTGTTCCTGCAGATGAAGTTTAGGTTGGTGGCAGGCAGCAGCTGTCATGATCCAGCCTCACCTAGCTCCAAATTTAGGCAGGTGAGAGGCAATCTTTGAGCTTAGTCTTTGAATGTTTTGAAGTTTAACTTCTAGGGAAATAGATGCAGTACTTACTCAATTGCCCAGAGCAAGTTACCAGAGCTTCTTAAGAGGAAAGCCACCCTAGGGTTCTACCGAGCCTGAATATTCACTCAGTGGTAGGTAGACACAGTTCAGGACAGGCTGCTTGCTCTTGTCCTTTATCTTCTGTGATCTGTGGTTAGGACATTTGGGGATTGTTCCTCTCTGGACACCTTTGGGTATTGCTTCTTGTTACACCACAGAAAGTGATTGGGTTCTCTGACTCATACATAGCTGTTTGATTGGCTTAAAGGGTCCTTTGAAGCATTGTGTGTGGGAGCTGTGTGGATGGGTCGTGGGCAGAGTAGATGAAGCTAGGAGACAGAACACAGATCATCCTGGAGCTGGTAGATCTCAAGCTTTTTTCCCCTCTGATATATCAGAAGAGATGGGTTCTTGGCTGGGCCTTGGGAATTGAGTGTGACAGTACATACAAGCTGTCCGTTTGTGAAGGGTGTTAGACATTCTTCCCCTACCTCTAACTGCCCTGGAAATGTGGTTTATAGGTTTGGAGAAGAAGACCCAGGTCCTACAGCCCAGTGAGAAGACAACTGTGGCCTATCATGAGGCCGGCCACGCAGTGGTGGGCTGGTTCTTGGAGCACGCAGACCCCCTGCTGAAGGTCAGCACTTCACACTGATTGTGTCCGTTGGCCTGCCAACTCCCAGCCTTGTCCAAGTGCCACCCCACGCAAACACAGTATATTCATAGGCATGTCCTTTACTTTTCAAGGGTTAAGTTAACAAAGGGTATTGGCTTCAGGCAGGGCCTTTCTTCACTTGTAAGCCTTTTTTTTTTTTTTTGGTTGGTCATGGGCTTTTTCTGCTTATGTGGTGCTGAGGAATCGAACCCAGGGCCTCATGCATGCAAAGCAAGCACTCTACCACTGAGCCACCTTCCCAGCCCACTTGTAAGCTTTGATCTGACCTTGAAATCAGGTGACCAGGGCCTGGGCACTGTGGGCCTGGGTACATAGACCTGGGAAATTTTTGGGACTGGTGATGCTATCGGCTTATGTTTTGCAGGTGTCCATCATCCCCCGGGGCAAGGGACTTGGCTATGCCCAGTACCTTCCCCGGGAGCAGTACCTCTACACAAGAGAGCAGCTCTTGGACCGCATGTGCATGATGCTGGGGGGCAGGGTGGCTGAGCAGCTTTTCTTTGGGCGGATCACCACAGGGGCTCAGGATGATCTGAGGAAGGTCACTCAAAGTGCCTATGCTCAGGTAAGGTGCAGTTGTCCCAGTGCATGGCCTCCAACAGGCATATCCTCTTACGGCTCACCTGCCTTCTCATGCACTCCAGATTGTGCAGTTTGGAATGAGTGAAAAGCTGGGCCAGGTGTCCTTTGACTTCCCCAGACAAGGTGAGGCTCTGGTGGAGAAGCCGTACAGTGAGGCAACTGCCCAGCTCATCGATGAGGAGGTTCGGTGCCTCGTCAGCTCTGCCTATGATCGGACCCTGGAACTGCTTACCCAGTGCCGGGAGCAAGTGGAGAAAGTGAGTGGCGCAGCCAGGGTCATGAGTCATAGGACAGGTGTGGTCAAGCCATACTCTTCCTTGTGGCCCTGCTAAGGTTTGGGACTGGCCTGTGGCAGGGCCATTAAGCACAGCTCTGTGCTGGGCTTTAGTGCGAGCAGGCCCCTCATAGTAGTCTTAATGGGGAACCATGTTTTTCAGGTGGGCAGGCGGCTCCTGGAGAAAGAAGTTCTGGAGAAGGCCGACATGGTGGAGTTACTGGGCCCTCGGCCCTTTGCAGAGAAGTCCACTTATGAGGAGTTTGTGGACGGCACTGGCAGTCTTGAGGAAGACACATCTCTTCCTGAGGGCCTGAAGGACTGGAACCGGGAACGGGAGGAGGGCGGCACTGAGCAGCATCTGCAGGAGAGCCCGGTGTAGCCTGTGCAAGGCAGCCTAGTGTTTGCGACTGCTACTACCCAAAGCCCTCCACTGCAGCTGCTAGAATAACTGGAAAACAAATTAAAACAGGTGACAACTGCCAACAGATGTTTTTAGGTAATGTTGCTCAGAACTCAAAGAAAGGAGATGGCTGAGGAGCCAGAGGGCTATCCTGAGATCCCGGGCCCTGTTTGTTAAAGTTAGTTGCTGCAGGGGCTGGGAATGTGGCTTACTGGCTGGTAGAGTGCTTGCCTAGCATGCTCGCAACCCTAGGTTCGATTCCTCAGTACCACATATGCAGAAAAAGCCGCAAGTGGCACTGTGGCTCAAGTGGTATAGCGCACTAGCCTTGAGCAAAAGTAGCTCAGGGACAATGCCCAGGCCCTGAGTTCAAGCCCAGGACTGGCCGAAAAAAAACAAGTTGCTGAAAGAAGGAGCCTAAGCTGAACATAGATACCTGCAAAGTTTTGTGAAGAATGAGGAGCTGGGCATAGGTGGCCCATGCACGTAGTTGTAGCTACACTGGAGGCTGATACCAGGAGTGTTGTGATTTGAATCCAACTGGGGTTGAAGAGTCCGTAAGACTGTCTTTAATTAACCAGCAAAATGAGCCTGGAGGATTGGCTTACATGGTAGTCGTGTCATCCATGAGCAAAAAAGCCAAGCACAAGCACAGACCCTGAGTTCAAGTATTAGCAAACAATAACAACAACAATAATATAATAAAAACTGGAAACTGTCAGCTAATTGTCACATGTAGACTAGGGTTTTTTTTTTTAGCTGGTTTTTTTTTTTTTTGTCGGTTGTGGGGCTTGAACTCTGGGCTTGGGCACTGTCATTGCGCTCTTCAGCTCAAAGCGAGTGCTCTACCACTTTAGACTAGGATTTCTAAAAATTTTTTATTACTATTATTTTTGTAGTACTAGGATTTGAACTCAAGACTTTTAACACTTGTTAGGCTGGTGCTCTACAACTTAAGCTAGGCCTACAGCCCTGCTTTTTTGGCTGGTTACTTTGGAGACAGTGTAGTAAACTTTGAAGTTTTCTGCCCAGGTTGGCCTCTTAGCACAGTTCTTTAGATCTCAGTTTCCTGAGCAGCTAGGATTATAGGCATGAGTTACTAGCACCTGGCTTAGACAGGTTCTTTATTTATTTTGGTCGGTTGTAGGCTTGAATTCTGGGCCCGGGCTCTGTCTCTTAGCTTTTCAGCTCGAGGCGAGCACTCTGCCACTTGAGCCACAGCATTACTAGTGGTTTTCTAGTGGTTTATTAGAGGTAAGAGTTTCACGAACTTTCCTGCCCAGGCTGGCTTTGAACTGAGATCCTTGGATCTCAGCCTCCTGAGTAGCTGGGATTTCAGGCAGGAGCCACCAGCCCCCAGCTAGACAGGTTCTTTTTTTTTTTTTTTTCTTTTTCTTTTTTGTCATGGGGCTTGAACCTCTGGGCCTGGGCGCTGTCCCTGTGGTCTTCAGCTCAAGGTGAGTACTCTACCACTTGAGCTTCAGCACCACTTCCAGTTTTCTAGTGGGTTATTGGAGGTAAGAGTTTCACAGACTTTCCTGCCCAGGCTGGCTTTGAACCATGATCCTCAGATCTCAGCCTCCTGAGTAGCTAGGATTACAGGTGTGAGCTACAGGCACCCAGCCTAGACTTAGGTTCTTAATGTTATCACCTTTTGGTGAAGGGTAGACTCAAAGGGCATCCCTGGGGCCTACCTTTAGGCTTTCTGGTATATCACTTGAGTGTGAGGGAGAACTAGAACTCGGCACCTGTTCTTAGGGTTGGCCTGCCTTACTGGGTAGTGTCAAGTTCAATTCCATTCCCTCATATGCCACTTTGCCCCCAAACCCCTTCAGTTAGAATTATAGAGAGGGTGTGACCTGAGCTCCAAGGCCTCCTTTTATCCTTGAGGGAGGGTCTACAGGGCACCTATGGGTACCTCACAGGTTCCTGCTTAGTAGCTTTCTCTTGAGTAAAGGATGGCTGGCTCTTGGTTATGAGTACCAAGTTCTTTTGATGCATTAGGCTGAAAGGTACCTTGTTCTTGGTGGTCCTGGGGTATGGTAAAGATTGGGGACTGAGTGTGTGAGGCTTGGGTGTGTGGGGGTCACAGGTTGTAGGTTGGTAACAAGTCATCAGCTGTATTAGCCATCTAGGGAGACACCTCTACACAACCAACTGTTCCTCAGGGCTTCCTGAGTGACCAGCAGGGAGAGTGGGACTCAGTTGCTGTCGTGCATGCCTGTGTATGCTCAGGTTCCCTTGGTGGCTGTCTGAGGCCTGACGCCAGGACCTTGCAGTACATTTTCCAAGCTATTGTGTTTGCCTCAGAGCCTCAAATGTTGAATTTCCAATGGGGACAGGTGCTTTCAACTTTTACTGTTTATAAACTATACCTTATTAAAGAATTTAAATCTCTAGGGCTCAACCTGTATTGTGGCGTCTTCCAACCCAGATGAGTTGAGCTACTTGGGGGTCTTGTTGAGGTCCTGGCCTGGTCCCTCAACCCCGGAAGGGCCCGTTTTGTCCTAATGTCTGTAGCAGGGCTTCCAGGACCTTATGGGGCCGTGATGTTGCTGCCATGGCTCAGCTGTGGGGCTGGCCACCTCATTGGCTGATGAGAAGGTCCTGTGTGTTTGTCTCTTGTGAAACTGGCATGCCCGCTGATCTGTCACCTCCTAACAATCCACAGTCACCCAGGCCTTTTGAGGTAATCCAAGGATGAGGCTTCTTGTGTCCTGGACCTCAGAGATTAGCACACCCCATCTGACACACCTGCTGCTCCTGTCAGTCAGGTCAGTGTTCCTATACTTTTTAAAAATTTTCCACTTCTTTCACCCCGTTTGATCTAGTTGTCTTGTGTGTTAATGTCCCCATCTTCCACAAGTTACTAGCTAATAAACTAGAATTGTGTCTTGCTCTATAAGTGCCCACCAACTTAATCAGTTTTCCTGTCCACCTGTGTGACTGAGTGGGTGTGTGTGCCCCCTCTGCCTATAGCACCCATCCCTGGAGTAAGCCAGTGCTGTGGTTCTCTTCTGCTCACCTGGGGAATCTCTTGCTGTGCCAGCTGGTGAAAGAGCCTACAGGAGGTGGGAATAGCCAGAACAGGGCACAGCTAGTGCTGGCAGCCTAGGGTACTCCTGGTTGGTATTCTCAGCCTGCCTGCCTTCTGTGAGGGGAAGGGAGGGGAATGGTGTGCTCAGAAGCCACGACTTGCTGAGACTGCTGTCGACTCAGGAGGCTGAGCTCTGAAGATTGAGATTCAAAGCCAGCCCGGGCAGGAAAGTCCATGAGACTTTTTACCTCCAATAAACTGACAGAAAACCAAAGTGGCGCTGTGGCTCAGGTGGTAGAGGACTAGCCTTGAGCTGAAGAGCTGAGGAACAGCGCCCAGGCCCAGCATTCAAGCCCCATGACCAACAGGGAAAAAAATTTTTTTTTTGCTTTCCTTAGCAACTTGAAATCCAGTGTACACATTGCTGAAGTGTATCACCCAATCGGACAGCATATAGCACGGTCTAGCAGAGCCCTCCATGGCACCCTGCTGTTCGCTAGAAAGAAGAACCGTGATTAGGTCTTCAGTTGGTGGTGAAGCTCTAATCCCACTCTATAAATGGCTCTACGGTAGCTGCAGTAGGAGGTTGGACTGGGGTTTTGGGAATGGGAGAAACCTTGCTAGCAAAAGTATGGCCAGAGGCTCACAGCTGCCATGGTAAGATTGAAAGAGACAGCTGCTGTGTTCTGTCTTGGAAACAGAGATGGTTTACGTTTTAGGAGACTTGGTCAGGCAGGAACTGGACTTTTATTCAGAAAAGAGCCTCTTGATGGCCACTGCACACAGCAAAAGCCCAAGGTATGCCTGGGGCATCTCCGCAGGACAGTCCAGTGAGAGGATCAGGAGCCTGTTTTCCTTCTCCAGAAAGGCTTTAGTGGAGAAAAGGGTAGAGAAGATTGGCTTGGGGACAAAGAGCAAGCTTAAACCTTTATTTCAAAACCATTTTCTGGTTCATGGTCATATCAGCAGTGCCCTTTAGCACATAAAAAGCAGTAACTGGAAAAGGCTTAGCTGGGTGTCCTAACATCTCACCACAGAGTGAGCAGCTGGTTGGTCCTGCCTCCCCTGCACATCCTTGGGTTCCCAGGACACAGACCCTCAGGGTCTCAGAGTCTCCTACTGAGTTGACAGACTGGGTGGCCCATACAACTGGACAGTGGGGGACAGGCACAAGTATGTATTACAGACAGCAGGAAAGGGTGAAAGTGGATCCCCCCCCCCCCAGGTTAGGAGCTGTCACAGGTTCTGAGGCAGTCTGATGGTATTTGGTGTTCTGAGCTAGGGAGGAGGTGGGCCAGGCCTCCAGCTCTCAGCTGTCATTTACCATAACTAGGAGAAGTGGACCTGGAACCAGTGGTGCCTGTCTGTGGCACAGGAAAAGGGCAGGATTGAAATTAATCTGGAAAGTTTGGGAACGAACCCACCCTCCCACATGCTTGGCTGGACAGCAGAGCATGCCAGAAGTCACCCCCAAACCCACCTCCCATTTCCAAGCCGAGGTCTGAGGAAACACATTGGAAACACTGCTGAGGGGTTCCTGAAGTGTCCCTCACAGGCTTTGGTCTCACGCTGAGCCTGATTTGGGGATCGGTGGCAGACAAGAGCACTGGTCCTATAGACGAGTTTCCAGAAGGCTCACCATTGTCTACTCTGGTTTTACCCAGAGCAGTCACTCCATGTGTCGTCCCTGGTCCAGGGTGCAGAAACCAGCTGGATGCAAGGCCACTGGGCTAAACTTGTGCTGGGTGCCCAGGGGCCTGATGTGGTGTCAGGAGGCAAACAGCTGGAGTCCTGGGTAGGAGGAGATGTCCCTGGGGTGAGGACTATCCCGAGCTGCCATCGCAGTGGTGGTCGGCCTGGTCCTGTGGCTCCAGGGAAGGCTGGACCACTAGTCCTCCTTGGGCCCCTCCACAGTGAGGAAAGTGTCTACAATTGCATTCTGCCGCTCCAGGTCTCCAAGGGGCTGCTTCTCCAGGTTCTGCTCAGCCCTTGCTCTTGTCCAGGAGGGGGAGCGCAGGCAGCCTGCCCGGGGCAATGGCTGCAGACCTGGTGGGGACACAGGAGAGGTCAGAGGCTGGGGCGGGCACATGGTGGCTCTGTTCTACTTGCCGATCTCCTGGGGGCTTCTGTGGATGCAACTGCCACCCCTTCCCCTCGGGAGCCTAGCTTTGGCTCTTGTCAAGACAACAGGGTGTGGGGTCTCCCCAGAACCGCCCTCCCCCCCCAACCCCACCAGTGATGTAGTCAGCCTCCAAGCTCCACCCTGTCACAGATTCACGTCATCTCAGTGTGGGCTGTGTGGCTGGACCCCTTTCCCGACCCTCTGCCACCCTCCGCACAGAACAGCTGGGGCAAGGGTGCCCGTGAGCGCGGTTCCAGGGTCTTCCTGTTTCTGACATACTCAAGCTCCCAGGGGACACGCAGGGTGCCCCCACCCCCATGTGACATGCCCTCACAGGGAGCATGTGAGCAGTTGGTCTGCTGACAAGGTACATTCTGTGAGCCCTTGGGTGGGGGTGGAGGGGTGTATGTGTGTGCATACCTTAACCTTGCACTAGATGTACATTTGTTGGTTCAAGCCTGGGCCTGGTATGCTGGGGAGGGGTAGAGGGGTACGGTGGTGGGGAGTTATCCTGGGCCATGCGTCACTCAGGTTCTAAACTGGGCCTGGAGGGGCTGGGAAGGTAGCTCAGTGGTAGAGCGCTTGCCTTGCATGCCTGAGGCCCTGGGTTGGATTCCTCAGCACCACATAAGCAAAAAGAAAAAAAGCTGGAAGTGGTGCTGTGGCTCAAGTGGTAGAGTGCTAGCCTTGAGCTGAAGAGCTGAGGGACAGCGCCCAGGCCCAGAGTTCAAGCCCCACGACCGGACCCAAAATAAATAAAAAAAATAAACTGGGCCTGGAGGTCAGAGAACAGAAGCTGAACCAGGCTAATGGGGAGGCTGAGTTTTTTGCCCTCCCTCCCTCAGCCTGAGGCTGATAGTTGGCCATATTGGAGACAGACTGCAGACTGCACTTGAACCCTACTCTGACTAGCAATTGTGGGGGAGGCGTGAGGAGACAACACGTCAGGGCTCTGCCTGTGTGAGATGAACAGGAAGGGCAAAGGAGACTTCTGGGGCTGGCCTTTCCCACACTCATTTTGGAGCTCTGGAAAATGACCGTGCTTCCTCGGCATCCACAGAGGGGCCAGGGCTGCTCAGCATGCCCCATCCCACCTTGTGCTTGGCCTGACTTCATTTCCAGTGCTACTTTGAAGGGACAGCAGCTTTGCTTCTTATTGCTCACTTGCAAAGTAAGGCTAAGGAGAGGTTCGTGTAATGGGAGATAAATCCCCATTAGATAATTTGTAATGTAAAATATATATAGTGAATTATATGGTGTGATAGTGAAAAGCACTTAAACAAGATTGGTGTGAAACTTTCATAGTGGGTCCTGAGGGAGCAGCAGCATGGGCTTCCTCAGGCCACCTCCTATGCCTCTCATCCCTCCAAGCCCCATGCCAGCCTCACCTGCTGGGGATTCATTGGTAAAATTCTCATCATCAGAATCTGCAAAGACCTCGGCGAGTTCTTGGTCAGACATGTCGGTCAGCTCAGTGAGATCCAGTAGGTCGAAGTGGACCTCCAGAGAGGAGACGCTGCTCAGGGGCTCTGGAGGCGGGGAGGAAGGAGGCATAGTCACCCCACAGTGATGTGATTGCTTGGAAGCCCCACAGCCAGCGGGTGAGCCAGAACTTTCTCTGTAAAGCCAGCACAGACTAAGATGTGGGCAAACCTGGAGTCAGACGATCATCTGTGCACATTCAATATTGGAACACTTTCTGGGATCTTCCATTGTGCAGGCAGTACAGCTGAGGCACAGCTATAAAAGTTCTGTGCTCAGTGCTGAGCCCAGACCATGCTCTGTGGCGCTGTTGCCATCCCTGCCCGCCCCGCCCCCCACTGGCTGCGTGGCTCTCTGGGGAGACAGGGCCCCCCAGGATGCTGGGCTGGTTGTTGATACTTACGCCTCCTCTCAGTGACCTGCAGGAGCCCTGGTGCTGGTATTGGGATGCCTGCCTCCTCCTCCACCACAGGTGTATGGCAAGTGTCCCCTGATCCATGGGCTGAGACACCCAGGGCAGCTTCTTTAATAATCTCTGCAACCAACACATGGTGTCACTTTGAGTCTGACAGGACTCTCCCACTCCCCAAGATCAAGGAAGTCTCAGAAGGACCTGAAAACTTGTCAACTCATTACTGGGCAATGACTAGAAGGTCACTGGGCAGACCCATGCCTCAGTAAAGGGGGCAGAGAAGCCATTTCTTCCACTCAGGCCTTCCTGAGATGGAGGTGATGAGAATGTATATGCAGACCACTCTCAGTACTACAGCATCAGGCTGCTGTCCTACTGCAGGAATTCCACAATAGGCAAATCAGTTCAGACCCTTAGTATTCCCACATATCTCAGGTTTTTGGTCAGCCCAGATCCAATGCAGGTTCATTTATGAGCTTTTGTGTCAGCTTTCCTGTCCTTCCTCTGGTGTAGGAGGAAGAGGGCTCTGGTTGCTCATTCCTATATAATCCAAGCTACTCAGGAGGCTGAGACTTGAGCATTGCAGTTCAAAGCTAGCCCAGATAGGGAAGTCCATAAGATTTTTATCTCCAATTAACCTCCAAAAAGCCAGAATTGGAGCTGTGGCTCAAGTGCAGAGCATCAGCCTTGAGTACAACACAGCCAAGGAGCAGTGCTCTAGTCCCAAGCACTGTCACAGAACAAACCTGTGACATTTGCATTCACAATGAAAAGAGATAAAGTAGAAAGTGGTAGCCCTGCCATCCACCATCCCTCTCTACCAGTCACATGTCACACTGGGTGAATGCTCTTCCAGGTTACTTCTATAAAACCTTGACCAAATATAATTGCTCATTTTTTCACATTTATCTTTTTCTGTCTTGCAGGTATGCAGACAGTCCTTTGGTCTTGCACAAAACACGTTTCTTTCCATTGCCTAGTGGACTCCATTCACAAATCATGCATCTCCTAAAGCAGCATGTGTGTCCGCGCGTGCAGACCAGTACTGGAGCTTGAACTCAGGGTTCTGTTCAAGGCTGGGGCTCTAACCACTTGAGCTATACCTCTACTTCCTGCTTGCTGATTGATTGGAGATAAGAATCTCATGGACTTTTTTTTCCTGTTGTGGGGCCTGAACTCTGGGCCTGGGCGCTGCCCCTCAGGTCTTCAGCTCAAGGCTAGCGCTCTACTACTTGAGCCACAGTACCACTTCCAGCTTTTTCTGTGTATGTGGTGCTGAGGAATCAAACCCAGGGCCTCATGTGAGGCACATGAGGCAAGCACTCCACCACTAAGCGACCTTCCCAGCCCCTCATGGACTTTTCTGTACAGTCTGGCTTAGATCTCAACCTCCAGAGTAGCTAGGATTATAGGCATGAACCACCAGCACCAGGCACAGCAGGGTATTTTGAAGGTGGTAACTCCCCAAGAGAATAGACAGAGTAAGTACCTGCCTTCCTGTTATCCTATCCCATTATCTTCTCCCTTTTTCCAAGGATCTCTCCCAAGACCCTCCATCTTCCTCTCCTGCTGGTTTCTAGGCCCTTCATGGGAAGGGTCTGCCTGCCTGACCCACACCCAAGAAGGTGCTCAGGATGAACCTGGGTGAAAGAAGGCCTTGTGTGGTGGAGCATGACCCTGTGGAGTGTATTCTGGCAGCCCTGGCTGCCATCCGGCGCAGCAGCTGCTGCCAGGAGGGTCGCAAGGGGACAGCGGGCCGGGTTTGCAGTGTTGACAGCTACTAGTTAGAGACTAGCCTGCCTTCCCCTTTGACCTAGGCCCAGGAGTCTGGAAGGTTCCAGGCAGGACACCTGGGTCTGGAGGTATGTCAGCTGAGCTGAGAAAGGTAAGGGACGAGAGTCCCATCTTCAGAGATGGGGCACTCCTGGCCTTCTGAATAAGGACAGCTGGTGCTGGCAGGGTAGGTCCTATATTCCTTGGGTAGTCAGGATCACCTTCCAGACTGAAAGCCTGTCAGGCTTAGCCTGGGATGCAGTCCCTTTTGCCTAGAGGACTCTACATGCAGTGGAGTCCTCTAAAGCTGAGAAGGAACTCTGCCAGTTCCTGCCTTCAGGTGTGTGCAGAGGTCCTGGAGGGAGTGCAGACTGCATCTAAGGCAGGGAGAACTGAGATAGGGTCAGATGACTGAGGATGAGGCAGAGGGACATGGGCACATTCTCAGGACAGACTCCACTGTGTGAGGGAGAAGAAAGGGATGGGGTCTACTTGGTTTTATTGGGTGGCCAATGAGAACAACATGTAGGTGGAAGACTTGGCACTGACCTCACTGGTACTCCTGTCTTGGTCCTTGGAACCTCAGTCAAAGTGTCCATCTTACACTGGGTTTGGGGTGGAGGGAGAAGGGCTTTGCTGGAATACTATCATTCCTCCTTTGATTTCTGGAATCACATGGTATAGCCCTGGGACAAACTTCTGGTCCCAAGCAGAGTGGCCTTGTTAAAAAATGATTCTAAAAGCCAGGAGCTGGTCGCTTATGGCTGTAATCCTAGCTACTGAGGATTCTGAGATCCAAAGGTTGCAGTTAGAAGCCAGCCCAAGCAGAAGAGCCCATGAGACTCTTATCTCTCTATTTAACCACCAGAAAACTGGAAATGATGCTGTGGCTAAAGTGGTAGCGTGCTTGCCTTGATCTGAAGAGCTGAGGGACAGCGCCTAGGCCCAGAGTTCAAGCCCCATGAATGACAAAAAATAAATTAAAAAATTTAAGAACCTGGAGCCTTGAACTCAGGACCTTGAGCTTGCTAGATACGTGCACAGGCAAGCCTTATTCCACTTGAGCCACACCCCAGTCCTTTATCTTTTTTTTTTCTTTTTTTTCCTGTTGGTCATGAGGCCTGAACTCTGGGCCTGGGCACTGTTGCTTAGCTCTTCAAGGCAAGCGCTGTACTACTTTAGTCACAGCGCCACTTCCGGCCTTTTCTGCTTATGTGGTGCTGAGGAATCGAACCCAGGGCTTCATGCACTATCCCCCTGAGCGACCTTCCTATTTGTGTTTCTTGATCTTCCTATTTATGCTTTCCCTGTAGTTAGGATGACAGGTGCCTGCTGCTTGCCCAGCTTCTCACTCTCTCAAACTTTCTGCCTAAAGTGGCCCTCCCTATCTCTGCCTCTGTAGTGGCTAGGATTATCTTCATGGGTAACTGAGCCCAGTTCTTTTCCCATTTTAGTAGTCGATGGTATCACAGAGTTGAATGAATCAAATACCTCTCAACTTTTCCCCTCTCTCTCTCTTCCTTCCCAGTATTACATAGTGGTGAAGATGGCACAATTTTGTGACTAAAGTAAGGACACTGAACTGTATACTTTCATTTTAATTTTTTTTTTTTTTTTTTTGCTGGTTGTGGGGCTTGAACTCTGGGCCTGGGTGCTGTCCCTCGGCTCTTCAGCTCAAGGCTAGCGCCCTACCACTTGAGCCACAGCGCCACTTGAAGCTTTTTCTGCATATGTGGTGCTGAGGAATCGAACCCAGGGCCTCATGCATGCAAGGCAAGCACTCTACCACTGAGCCACCTTCCCAGCCCTGAACTGTATACTTTTAAAGGGTTATTTATATTTATTTGTGCTGGTACAGAGGCTTGAACTCAGGGCCTGAGTGCTGTCCCTGATTCTTTTCCACTCAAGGCTGGTATTCTACCACTTCAACCACAGCTCTATTTCCAGCTTTTTTTTAGGGGGTGGGGGGAGGAATGGGACTCAAACTCAGGCCCTGGGCAATGTCCCTAAGCTTTTTTGCTCAAGGCTAGTGCTCTACCACTTTGAGCCACAGTTCCACTTTTGTTTTTCTGGTAGTTAATTAGTGCTAAGAGTTTCACAGACTTCTCTCTGTGCTGGCTTCAAACTGCAACCATCAGATCTCAGCCTCTTGAGTAGCTAGGCAGAGTCACCAGCAGCTGGCTTCTTTGGGCTTTTTGATGGTTAATTGTAGATAAAGTCTTGTACATTTTCTTGTCCAGGCTGGCTTTGAACTGCAATACTTATAGGATTACAGGCATGAGCCATTGGTATCTAGCTAAAGGGTTAGTTTTTTTTTTTTTTTTTTTGATACGTGAATTACATCTCAGTGAAAACCCTCAATTGAAACAAAGGTTGATGTTGGCTGGAATTAATGGGCAAACCTGGGGGAGAAAGGCCATATACTAATATTTGCTGTGCACTCACCATGCATCAGACACCATGGGCCAAATACCATTTGGGCTCAGGTATTAGAAGTGCACACTCTGGGAGAATCTGTTTGCTGCATTCCCAGGACCTATACTTGGTTCCAGAGTATATCATATTTAAAATGTGTTTGCTAAGTGAATGAGAGGATGGTGAAGAGGTGATCCCAAGGTTCTATAATGAATGCTCGTTTGAAAAATCACCTAGGCCTGTCTACATCCTTGTGGCAATCTCTTAGAAAAAGAAGTTCCCATGGGCAAGATGTGCTGCTCTTTCTAGGGTAGGGGCAGAGCCACCATGGCACAAAGGCTCTGTTAGGGTGGTGCTGGCTAACTGGTCCCACTCAGGGCCCTTGGCAGAGTAGAGGAAGCAGGTGCTTCTGGTGCCCCTCAAAGGACCCCACAATGTCCTGGTCCTTACATAGCACTTATTAAGGGGGATTGTCTGGGCCTCTCTGGGGCTCCTGCTGCCCTGACTGCAGAGTAGAGATGTCCTGCCCACCAAGGCAGCCCCAAGGGTTGATGGCTGCCACTTGTACTTTGCTGCTGACCTATTTTCAGCACATTTGTGACTGAACAACTTGGCCCAAATCTCACGTTCCCTGTTGTGCTCTCCAGACCTGACTACTCTGAGTACCTCTGAACTAATGAAATGAATGAATGTTAAAAAATATGGCTTTAGGGAGGAAGGGATGGTCACAGAGGCAGGAGCTACATGTACCCTACTTTCCCATCACCTTTGTCTCTGAATCCAGATTTTCCTTCTAGCATTTTAAGGAGGCTAGGCACTCTTAAGACTCAGCTTCCTGAGGGCAGGATCATGTCCTTCTTGATCTCCCTGAAGGCTCTCTAACAGACTTTGAAGAGGGTTAGAGGCCTGGTATCTAAATGCTCACACCTGCAATCCTGCCTGTTTAGCAAGAAAAGATCAAGAGGATCACAGTTCAAGACCAATCTGAGAAAAAAGTTCACAAGGTCCATCTCAACCAGTAGAAAGCTGGGCATGGTGTCATGTGCCTGTCAGCCACTCAGGAAGCATAAACAGGAGGATAGAGTCCAGGCTGGCCCAGACATAAATTGGAGACTTTTCAAAAATTAAAGGAAAAGGGCAAGGAGACTGGCTCTCGTAGTAGAGGGTCTACCGGTAGCCCTGAGTATTAATTTGTCTAAGTGCAAAAGCGGTGTTTGGGTAGTTTTCCAGAAGTCATTTTTAGAGAGCTACTTTCTTAAATGACTACTGATGAAACAACGTGCCTAGACTGCTTTAAAGTTGGCCTGGCCTGCTGCGGGTTTGGGGCTGGGAGGTGGTACACGGAGCTTCTAGGTGTCTACTTTCATGTGTGTGCTTCATGGTCTTCAAGGTAAAGTTTCAGAAGTAAGTGCGTGCCTTGTGACGGCCATAGTTACCGATGTGAAGCCTCATGAAGTCCCACAGAGAGGAGGGCAGCGCACAGTGCAGCCAGCCAAGGAAGGTGGATGGCGTGGGCTCGGTCCCCACTGCCCGTCCCTCGTGCCGGGCAGCGCAGACCCGGCGAGCCACGCGGGTTGCGCCCGGGCTCTGCCCTGGGCAGGGGCGACACAGTCAGAAACGGGGGCTGCCCAAGGAGAGAGGGGCGCCTCGCCCCGCCGGGGAGCGGCGGCCGGGGCCAGGACGGCCTTCCGTCCGCGGTGCGGCTTCGAACTGGCTCTGCCTCCCCAAAGCCCTCGCCCGGCGGTCCCCAGCAGGAGCGCTGGGTCCGCTCCCACACGCGGCAGCGCCCAGGCCCTGGGCTCCGGGAGGGGCGCGGCCGCCCTCCTCACCCGCTGGGCTCTAGGGTGGACAGCCCGGGACCGCGATGCGCCGGCGGGCGGGGCGGGGTGGCTCCGGGAGCATCCACGGAGCCCGGGAGAAGGGTCTGGCCGTTTTCCTCCCGGAACCGGCCCCCTCCGGGTGTCGCCCGGCTGCTTGGGCCAGGCGTGGACGGGGCTGTGACCTCGGCCCGCAGGGCCTTGGGCAGGGACGGGGGGCGATAGGAGGCCCTGCCGCCCGCCTTCTTGCCCCTCCGCGCCCGCCTGCCCTCGGAGCAGTGCGGGGCCGAGCCGCCGCGGCCGCCGCCCGCCGCCCGCAGCCTCGTCCTGCGCCCGGGCCACCCCTCCCGGCTCCCCAGGGTCGTCTGGGGCGAACAAAGCAGACGCCGAAGCGGCGGGCGGCCTCTCCGGCCGGGACCCCAGTTCCGGTCCCCCGGCTCTCCGCGCCCCATTCTGGGCCGGGCCGGAGGGGTCTCACCAGCGAGGTGCGCTCGGCCGGGCGCGGGGCAGGCCGGGGGGCGGGGACGCGTTCCGGGAGCCCGGGGCCCGCTCCCGGGGGGGTCCGGCCGGGCTCCGCCCTCGGTCCCCGGGGGCGGGCGGGATGGCGGGGAGGGGGGCGGGGGGCGGGAGGGCTGGCGGGGGGGGGGGGGGGCGGTGGGCGGCGGCCGCGGCCGGCCGCAGGGCGGATCCGCACTCACCTCCGGGAACGGCGCCCTCCGAGGGCTCCATAGGGCCGGCCAGGCCCGGAAGGCGCACGGGCGGCGGCGGCGTCACCCGGCTCCGGCGCCCCAGCAGCTGCGGCGGCGACTCGGCCCCGGTTCCGGGCGCCGCGCATCAGGGCAGCAGCCAGGGGGCCGCGACGGCGGGGAGGAGCCCGCGGGGCGGGGCGCGCAGCTGCTCCTCGGGGCGCGGATCCCCTCCCCGCAGCGCCCCGCAGGGCCGCACAGGTGCAGCCCCGCCCCGCCCCACGCGCGCCCCCTGCCGGCCCCGCGCCCGCAGGCCGCGGCGTCCTGGCCCCGCGCCCCGCCCGCCCGCGGACCCGCCCGGGTCTCGCCGCCGCTTCCCGCCCGCGGGCCGCCGGCCCGCTGGTCGTCCACCCCCAGGAGTCTGTGCGGAGCCCGCTGCGCGTGGCGCGTGGCGGGGCCGAGGGCGGAAGGGCCCAGGTAGGGCGCAGGCGGCGCCGGTTCCCCCGGCCCGGAAAACCTGGACTTGAGGATCACGACGCCCGTTCGGAAGCGACGGTGGCAGCTGGAGACGGAGGTGGGTGCGTCTTGGAAGGGAGCGCGCCTTGCCGGGAGCGCGTTTTGGAGGGGGCGCGTCTTGAAGGGGGCGCGCCTTGGAGAGGAGCGCGCCTTGCCTGGAGCGCGCCTTGGAGGGGAGCGCGCCTTGCCGGGAGCGCGCCTTAGAGGAGGCGCACGGGTCCTTGCCGAGGACATGCCTTGGAGGGGAGCGCGCCTTGGAGGTGCCGCGCCGGTCCTTGCCTTGCCCGGAGCGCGCCTTGGAGGGGGCGCGGCTTGGAGGGGCGCGCCGGTCCTTGCCTTGCCGGGAGCGCGCCTTGGAGGGGGCGCGCCGGTCCTTGCCTTGCCGGGAGCGCGCCTTGGAGGGGGCGCGCCGGTCCTTGCCTTGCCGGGAGCGCGCCTTGGAGGGGGCGCGCCTTGGAGGGGAGCGCGCCTTGGAGGGGGCGTGCCGGTCCTTGCCTTGCCGGGAGCGCGCCTTGGAGGGGAGCGCGCCTTGGAGGGGAGCGCGCCTTGGAGGGGGCGCGCCGGTCCTTGCCTTGCCGGGAGCGCGCCTTGGAGGGGAGCGCGCCTTGGAGGGGGCGCGCCGGTCCTTGCCTTGCCGGGAGCGCACCTCGGAGGGGCGCGCCGGTCCTTGCCCGGGAGCGCACCCGGGCCGCCCTGGCCGAGCCACCGGGAGACCTCAGCGCCGCTGCGTCCCCGTCTCGGAAGACGCCATCCTGACCGCCCGATCGGCCCGGCCCGGCCCGGCCCGGCCCCCGCTCAGCCCCGGACCCCGCGGAGCGCCCGCACCCGCGCTGGCCGGCGCCCAGGCCGGAGTCCCAGTCTCTGGAGTGATTTCTCAGCCCACGGAGACGCGGAGGGGTTCCGGAACGACTGCAGGGTTAAAAAAATAGACGCGCTAACATTCCATTCCTTCCGGAATCTTCCGCTCCTGCCAGGACTGCGAAGGCGCCTGCCCGACGTCGTGCGCCCGCCGGACCTCGTGCGACGTCCACGGCTGGAAGGCCGCGAAGCCATCTGACCTCCCGCCAGCGGCTGCCTCTACCGAGGTTTCCGTCTTTTTTTGTGGGTCGTGGGTCTTGAACTCTGGGCCTGGGCGCTGTCCCTCAGCTCTTCAGCTCAAGGCCAGCGCCCACTTCCCGCTTTTTTCTTTTTGCTTATGTGGTGCTGAGGAATCGAAGCCAGGGCCTCCTGCATGAGCCACCTTCCCAGCCCCGTGCTTCCCTTTCTGAGGACCATCCAGACTGCTTTCCAGAGGGGCTGTATTAGTGTCCATTCCCACCAGCAGAGCCGGAGGTTCCTCTTTCTGCGCATCCCCTCCAGCATTTGACGTTGGCTGAATTTAGGATATAGGCCATTCTGACCCGGGTAAGGTGGTTTCTCAGGGAGGTTTTAATTTGCATTTCCTTTAAGCTGGGGATGATGAACATTTCCTTTGCCAGTTTTATCTCTTCCTCTGAGAAGTCTCTCTTTAGCTCCCTTTCCCATTTAATGATTGGTTAGATTTGGGAGGGTTTAGTTTCTTGAGTTCCCTGTATATAATGGATATTAGGCCCTTGTCTTATATATTGCTGGTAAATATCTTTTCCCAATTAGTTGGGTGTCTTTCTAGGTTGGCAGCTATGTCTTTCTGAAGCTTTAGTTATATATACAGTGACTCATTTCATTTTCCAGTATTACAATATTTACCTCTAAAACAAAGGGCAGGACTATATTGTAGGTGGCTGATGCTAGTTGGGATGTAATCATGACTATCATGACTTCAAGTTAGCCTTGGAAAAAAAGGTTTACATGACCTAATCTCAACAGAAAAAGCTGGTGTGCTGGTTCCTGTCTATCATTGCAGCTACAATGTGAACCAAAGGAGGATCTAGGTCTAGCAAGGCCTAAGCAAAAAGTATGACCCTATAAAAAGAACCACAGCAAAAAAGGATAGATACTTTCAAACAGTAGAGCACCTACTTAGCAAGCACAAACCCTGAGATCAAACACCAGTACTGTCCCAAAAAAGGCCAGTCTGGTTATAATAATATCCAGACCTTCAGTGAACTGATGTGGCTGTCTGGGCCACTTGCTTTTAAGAAACATTAGACAAAATTCCCAGTTTGTATGTATTAACACTTGCTCAAGTACTTTACAGGAGAGTTTGATACCATTTTTCTGGGTTTCTATTATTACTATTGTTGTTGTTACTGTCCTAGGGCTTGAACTCAGGACCTGGGCACTGTCCCTGTGCTTTTTGGCTCATGGCTGGCACTCTAACACTTAAGCCTTTGGTGGTTAATTCGAGATGAGTGTCTCATATACTTCACTTCAAACTACAATCCTTAGATAGCAGCCTCCTGAGTAGTTAAGATTACAGCAGCTACCACATCTAGCTGCTGCCACCTCCTCCTCTTCCTTCTCCTCCTCTTCCTCCTCCTCCTCTTCTTCCTTCTCCTCTTTCTCCTCCTCTTTCTCCTCCTCTTCTTCCTCCTCTTCCTCCTCCTATTCCTCCTCTAACTCTCCCTCCTCCTTGTGATGTAGAGAGGAGTTACAGTTACATAAGACAGGTAAAGAGTACATTTCTTTCTGGACAATGTCATCCCTTCCCTCATTATTATTTTTAATTAAATAGTTGTATAAAGCGGTTTCAATTCCACAAGTTTGTCTGGATTTCTGAGCTGCACAGCTTGTTGCTGAATGAAAGGTATACATGTGAAGAAAAGATTTTTTTTTTCCCTAAAAATCAGACCTCAAATTCAAGATGAAACTCAGAGGTCACATTGGTTTTTGTTTGGAGCTCAAGGTGTCTGCAGCCAATGTTCCCTATTCATCTCTGCAGTCCATACTGCTATATCAAGCTGTGCTATTGGTCTGTGACAAATGCAAACCCTGTACAGGCTTTCTTGAACAAAACCCTCTTTTTCTTGCCCTGTTTACTGAAAGGAGTTCTTTTTTTTTCTTTTTGTCGGTCGTGGAGCTTGAACTCTGGGTTTGGGCGCTGTCCTTTTGCTCTTCAGCTCTACCACTTGAGCCACAATGCCACTTCTGGTTTTCTAGTGGTTTATTGGAGATAAGAGTCTTACAGACTTTCCTGCCTCAGCTGGCTTTGAACCTTGATCCTCAGATCTCAGCCTCCTGAGTAGGTAGGATGACAGGTGTGAGCCTCTGGCGCCTGGCTTCAAGACCATTTTTTTTTCATTGTTTTGGGATCAAACACAGACCCTTGTGCATGCTAGGCAAGAGCTCTGCCACTGAGCTATGGCACCACCTGTGTAAGTTTTTTTTTTTTTTTTTTTGAATGTGCTGGTCTTGGGGCTTGAACTCAGACTTGGGTACTTTCCCTGAGCTGAATGTTTTTGCTCAAGGATAGTGCTCTACCATTTGAGCCATAGCTCCACCTCTGGCTGTTTTGATGCTTTATTGGAGATAAGAGTTTTCACAGACTTTCCTGCCTGGGCTGGCTTTGAGCCGTGGTCCTCATGTCTCAGCCTCCTTAGTAGCTAGGGTTACAGGTGTAAGCCACTGGCACCCTGCTCTATAAGATCATTTTTTAAGGACAAGCACCTGCTTATGATAGCCTTCTGGTTGATGTAGAACATTAAGTGTAGGTAATGGGGTGGTTTCAGGAAATAGAGAGTTGCTTTGAGAATTCTTCAGTGGTTAGTTGTTTCCATAACAATCAGAGAAGAAACATAATGTTTTTCTGCAGTCTTCTCTGGGAGTCTCTGATGTCCATTTCCAGTTTGTCCTTATACATGAGGACCTCTCTTCAAGCAACAGTTTCTTCTCCTTCCCCCTCTTTAGAATGTGTGGCAAAACTAGAGCTTGAACTCATGTTCTTGTGTTTTTGAGATTTTTTTTTTTTGCTCAAAGCTGGAATTCTACCACTTACATCTCTTCTTTTGGCTTTGTAAAAAATGTTATTATAAAGGTGATGTACAGAAGGTTTACACTTATGTAAGTCTGGTAAAGAGTACGTTTCTTTTTGGACAATGTTGCCCCTTCCCTAGCTGTCCCCCACTTTCCCCCTCCACTTTTGGCATTTTGTAGGTCATTGGAGATAAGAGTCTCTTGAACTTTTCTCACTGGGCTGGCTTTGAACCGGGATCTGTCTATCTCAGCCTCCTGAAAAGTTAGAATTCCAGGCTCAAGTCACTGCCGCCTGCCTGCAGAACACTTTATTGAAGGGAAGACCTGCTGACTTCAAAACCTGGAGCAGAACTAGAACTTACTTGTGCGTGTGCGCGCGCGCGTGTGCGCCTTTGATCCTCACTAGGCAGCATGCGTCTTTCTCAGTATCACGGTGGGTAAGCTTAGGAGCAGATCCGCAGCTCGAACTTGGATCCTGCGCGCCTTGCGTGGCAGACTCTGATCGCAGGTGCGGGTAACACCCCACGGAGCACCAGTCTGGTTGTAGAGCCCAAGTAAGCGCAGCGGCAGCAGAGCCAGAGGCACCGAGCGCAGCGCCCCCTCCCGACGTCTGCCAGCCCGCGTTGTCAGGGACGCACTCCCGTAGTTGCCCTGCAGAGGCGGGCGGGTATCGCGAGGCTCTCCGAGACTTCGTGCCAGCCC